ACGGCTAAGTCTAATTTTAAAATAATTTAATACCACGTTATTACCGCCTTTGTATATATTCTTATTATAAAAAGATTTTTATATAAAAATTATATAGGTACTATAAAAAAGGTATAATTTTTAGTTAAATAAGGCACTTTATAAGCTGAGGGTTTTTTTATTGCTATAGTGAAAAGAGGGTTTAAAACTTTACCCAGCTTAAAATTTAACCCGGTTTTATTTAAGCCGTGCTATTATATAAGAAAGAGAATTATAATATTTCCTACGTAAATAACGTGATTGTCGTATATAAAAAACACGTATAAAAAGATATTTAAAACGTAGTTTAATAACTTTAATAAAGATACGAGATTATTAAAAGCGAGCACGCTTAATAGTTCTTTAAAATAGAAATTATTTAAAACCGGCCTTAGTAAAGGATTTAAATATTTTAAACCTTTTATATTAAGAAAGTAACTAACCTAATTAATACGATTAGTATGGAAGGGTCATTTGTGTGTGTATCGCGGGTTGATTTCCTAAGCTAAGCGGGAGCGAGCTGCACACACTTAAGGTGTGGCAGCCGTCTCTTATCTTATCTAGCTAGCTTATGTCATCAACCAGGGCATCCGTGTGGGGTCCCCCTGTTGCCACGCATCACTAATCCATTTAACTAACATACTTTTTCAAGTTTTAATAACTATAAATAAAATACTGTTCTTGTAAGATTACGCCGCCTTTTACGAGATTAAAAAATATTAACGAAAGATTAGTTTTATTTTATTAACCTCTGTTTTTATATAAGTAGACATAGCCTTCGCAATATTACGCCTTGCCACATTCCCTACAAACTTAAGTTGAATTTATTAAGATGCCGCTAACTAAGTTATTTAATACTTGTATAAAACGAGATACCACTTTTTTTAATTTAAAAGAAGAGATAATTTAATAGTAGCTAGTAGTGCTTTTTTTTTTACCGATAAGACTCTTGATAAAAAGAGCTTTTAAACATTTACTATAACTTTTTTTAAAAGCCTAATCGGCTAGAAGGCTAACAAGCAAAACACGGTTACCGCTTTTATCATAAAAGTAAAACTACTCATACTAGCTTAAGTAGGTAAGAAAACTTTATATATTAGCCGGCTACTTCTAAAGCTTAGTATTTAACTTAAACGCAAAACAAGTGAAGTAAAATACGATAACGTAGCTGACAAGCGAGTTGACATTACAAGCGAGTTGGCACTCGTCATGAACTCTCCAACTGCCATGTCAAATAACTTCACCACAACGCATTCAGTTCAATTCAATCAATCGGATTCCTCTTCCTCAGAGGTTTCTATCTCTATTGTACAAGTTCGCGCATTATGGCCAGTATTGCCGCAAACGCCACACTGTCGCCCACGCGCTGCCGCCCGCCTCGGACGACGACTACCTTCACCCATTTCCTGTTTTGCCAGCTCAGTACCATCCTTTGCAGCCTGAAGATCTACTGCATCTTTAACGGAAAGTACTCCTCCTTTCACTAGACGTTTGTTTTTTGTTCTCCGGTGTTTACTTAGTAGGTGATTGGCCTCTTCTAGTTCACGGACCCGAGAATCAACCAAAGCGACCTTATGCATAAGACCGTATGTAGCCTTCGAAAACGAGCTCAATGCATCAACTATTGATGTAGGTGAGCTTCCCTGGTAGTTTCTGACTCGGTTTTAGATATAAACCGATTGGTTTACCGCTTTGTTAATGGTGGTAGGCGTCTTCGAAGTCCAAGTAGTGGGTGGCAGATTGGGGTCTGGCGACGGTGTTCGTATGACAGCGACAGCATCCAGCTTTGAAATGACACTTTCTGGGTCAAAAGGAACAAGCCCAGTGGCACTGAAACCTGCTCGAATGTTTCCTGGCGTCATAGCAGCGTTATGTGCTTCACAAAACGCTGCAAGGAAGTCCTCCTTCGAAACGTGGGTTATATGACGCCGGATGAGATCCTCAATCATGCGACCGTAAGCTCGTTTGAGCGGGCTAAAACAGCCGACATCTAGAGGCTGGAGCCTGTGTGACGAGTGGGCAGGCATACAAAGGGTGATAATGCCATTGTTCTGACAATAATCCTCAAAGACCTGGGAATGGTGGCTTTCGTGACCATCTAGGATGAGGAGGCGTTTACCGGCAGTCATACGCGGTCTGGTATACTTATTGAAATGCTGAATCCATTCCAAACCAATCTTATTCGTGGTCCACCCGTTGTCGGACACGGCCACCTTCCAATCGCATGGTAATATCATGTCGCATGACGCGAGGTGGGTTTTGCCCTGTAGAATGATGAACGGCGGGACCACCCAAGCATCAGCATTAACAGCAGAGATTGCTGTAGACCATTCCCTGTTGCCTTGCTGAGCTTGTCTAGGCCTGCCACGTCTTTCGGCGCTTGTAACGACCATGCCGGACCCAATAATGCCCATCATAAACCCAGTCTCGTCGAAGTTGTAAATATCCGCGTCTTGGATACCATGTTTCGCGACTGCCGCTGCAACTTGGCAAAACCACGCGCGATACGCGTCTGGATCCTTGTTCAAGACCCTCTGGTAGTCTATCTTCTGATGAAAACGCGTCCGGAGGCCTGGTGTACGTTTGATGAAGTTCCGCGTCCAGTTCTTTCCAACGCGTCCAGCCCCACGCGCCGCCAACAATTGATTCGCCATATCTTCAACATAACTGTACCGGGGCAAAAATGCTCGCGCATCCAGGTCGAGAATGAAGGAACAAATGGCATTCTCTTCGGAAACCATAAGTTTCAAAGTATTGGGCATGCTGTCGCGTCGTGATGGCATTCCTTTGACTCTATTGCTCAAAGTGGAACGAGGGACGTTAAAGAGTTTCGCAAGCTGAAATATAGGAATATGAGGGTCACGTCGTTTAGCTTGAACAGCTAGCTGCAAGTCTGATTCGTTATAACGCGGTGCCATTATTGTTGGTGGAGATATGATGGTTTGAATCGTATTGGTTGGAAAGTTCATGACGAGTGCCAACTCGCTTGTAATGTCAACTCGCTTGTCAGCTACGTTAATATATAAATAATTAAGCTAGTAATCGTTAAAATCGCCCTTTTAAAAACCAAGTTAAAGTATGTAAACATATATAACTATTAACTTTAATAAGAAGTAAAACGTAGAACTATTAGCATCAAGCATACGCTTTTAATATAAATAAAAGCGGATATGTTAATTAAGGCATTGCCGGCTTAACAGTAAGCAGGATTTTTAAATTAGTTAAAATTAATAAATACTTAAGCAAATCAGCTCGATTTAAGGTTATAAAAAAGAGACTTCTGGAAAAGAAAAGAGTTTTTAAGTTAAAACCTTCAAGTAGTTTACTTTATAAACTAGCTTAGCTAGAGCCGTTACCTGCCTAGCTAGAAGGGTTTGTTAAATTAAAGGTAAGCTGAAAAGGCACTTTAATAAGTAGACACCGGAACCTAGTTGTTTGTACCGATCCAGCCCCCTTTAGTACAAAACTGCCACGGGTCGTACAAGGACACTTTAAGCAAAAAGAATACATACGCACACTTTACTCTTACGATTAACTTAAATCTAACACCTTCAACTATTAATTCTAGCTAGATCCAGCTGCTTAACAGCTAGCACCACACTTATACAACACCTGTATCCTATATATATATTAATAACCGTAAACCGTATTTATTAATATATATACGAATTAACATATACGGTGTTAAAGTAAAAACGCGACCGTAAAAAACGTACTTTTATTAACCGCGTTAATTAGATATATTTTATTAGCCGAGATATAAACGCTATAAAAAGGCAATAAAAGAATAAGAAAAAGGTAATATTATAACTTTAAAGATAATAATTTATAACTACGCAAATATAAGTTATATAAAACTAATAAAATATAATAAAAAGTATTTAAAAATTAAGACTAAGTTTAAAACATCGTAACTTTAAATTTAAATTTAAATCATGTATATTTATATTAAATAACTTTATTATATCTTTTCAAGAATTCCTATTGATATTTTAATTTTTATCCTTGTATTAGACTATATACTTAATACACATGAACCTTCTTAATATTTTTTCAATTAGTTATATTACGACTTTTTTTATTAAAAAAAGCTCGTTTTAAAAAAAGCTAAGAAATGCCCGCTAGTTGGATTGAAGCTTCGCGGTTTTCGAGGTCCTGCCATAGACAACTTGGAAGCTTCCCAACAGCCACATCTGACTTGTTCACCGTTGAATATGACACACGTTCTACGCATGTTCCAGTTGACCATAGCGCACAAACCGTTGATGGCGGGTGCCACCAAGCCACGGCGGTTCTGACAGATGTTTTAGGTGTTTTCTTGTAGATTCTAAGTTATCTTGAACTGCCGTTGCAATTAGTCTATTTCCCGTCCATGATCGCCGGTGGGTGTGCCGCTATATTTATTTACTTACATGTACCGGTATAACTAATTTACATGCAATGCATGCTGATCATGGGGCCCGCCCAGAGAGCCTACCTTCGAAATTCAGGTACCAATCTCGATCAGGACATGCTTGCGCGTTCGTTTAGGTATGTAGGTATGGACCCATCAATCTCCATGCTGTTGGCTCCGGGGAATCCGGGGATATGCCAGCGAGCCTCCCAGCCACATTCTCGCTGCAGATGGCTCGCAACTTCAGAGGAACTGTTCCGCACTCCGACCTAAGAGAACAGGGCGAACAGAAAGATTGTGAGAAAAACGGCCATGTCGTGTCACGACACGACACGACACGACACGACACGATGCGACTTGGAACAGCTTCGACTCGATTGGCACGTGGTCCAAATAAGCTTTTGTGGAGCTCTGATAGATCGTCGCCAGGAAGCTTTTCCTACCGTAGACTATTTCTGACTATTTCCAGTCTTGACTGATTTTCGATTTTGACCAGCAATCTGCGGCGACACTCGGCGAGCGTGTTGACAACTACATACCTACATACTTCACTTGGGTGTATGTGCTTACCAACCAGATAGGCACCAACATGCACACGGACGCCAACGCCAACGCCAACAACAAGTTTGACCACTCCACCACATCACTCCCACTCGCTACTGATACATGGATAAATGTCATAAACCGTGGACTTGGGATCCTGTCAATGCACGAGCTGCGCATTTGTCACAATCCAGGACCAACAAGCAAGCAAGCGTGAATGTGTCAATGTCGTCTTGGCGCATGCTGCCATCCCAACCGCCGGTCCTGGATGATGCTGGTTCAGAGGGCAGGTTATGCCCTCACCAGCTTTGAAGCCTCGTACAGTGTGTGTCGCTGCTCTCCGGTCTACACTCCAGAGCCCACGCAGCTCCATCACCAACTATTGTGCTGACGTTACCTATCTAGGTTAGGTAAGTCATGACCGATCTTCCGCTGGGCTCTGATCACGACCCCTTGCATTGCCAGTACAGTTCCAAGCTCTGCCAGGCTGGCTAGCGAACCCCCTTTTCCCCCATCCAGACTGAGAAGGCTTCGTCGGATATACGACAGCTCTCAGCGGGCTATCTCGGACTCGTACAAATCATATGGCCGGGGACTCCTAGGCACATGAGTCTTCGAATTTCGGCACTTGTGCTGCTGCAGGCGGACATCTCATTAAAGTCATGCATGACTGATGAGCCAAGGAGACGTATTGCTTACCGTTTATGGCGACAAAGTGGCAGCAAGGCAGAGTTTGTCTCATCAATCTCAGCTGGTCCATGGCAACCACTGGGCTGGTCTCCAAACGACTGCGGATGACGCAAGTCTGCGAGCAGGCTGGGATGACCCCATCTTCGCAAGTTCGCAAACACCTACCTAGTCACCCACTCCAGCCTGAAGCCACACATCGCTACTGTGAGTAGGAGTCGGTGTGGCGGCACGGTGTGATGACGGCCATCCCCCGAGATCCCGCCATATCCACACCAATCCGCTGCCCACGCCACACACCATACTTACTGCCAGAGGCACTGGAAACCCCCCAAGCTTACATACAGGACGCTACCCTGGCGGAATCCTATGCGTGTCTGACGTGCATCACCGACGGCGGGACTTGGTTGCACGGCTTTTCGCTGTCCGCTGTCCGCTCAGCCCTACGCAACATGGCATGTGTACCACAGAGATACATCTGTGCAACAACCGATGTGAGTCCACCCCCACGGGACCGACCCGAAGCTGGCTTATGGTCAATTTCTTACTCACACCGTGACCCGACACGCGGGACTTCACCGGGGAGAGATGCGCCAAAGCAATGTCACCATGACTTGCACAGCGAACCGATCTGGCTGACAGTCCACACTGTGTTCACGTCTACTCTCGCCTACCGATGTCATCTCACGAGTTACACCGACAGTTACACAGCACCGTCGCACGTGCAGCAGGCTCGTCTACGAAAAGAGACTCCTGCGCATGCAACGTTGTGACGTGACACAGGACCTTCAACTCGGTTCCGCTCGTTGCGGCACAGCTGACATGATGGCTTGTGATCGAGGCAACAGAAGCGGCATGCATACGCTTGACAGGGTTCTGCAATGGAGACATTGGAGGGCAGTCTAGGACAACCTGCATATACTCCTCTCGTAATTGACTCGACCGGTCAAGATTGAACCAATCACTCTGGAGAGCACAACTGCCGCTCCTCGCACACTCAAGGATGCCCAGGCCATGTAAGTTTTTTCTTTATGCGAGGAGTCCTACGAATGGCAGTTGGGGAGTTAAGTAGACGGTGACAGGGAGACAAGTCCTTCAGCAACCCAGTCATCCTCGTCATTAGGTTAGATAATACTGAGCCCTGAATTGCTGACCGTTGTGGTGTAACCACCAACTTAGACGCGAGTGTGCGACCTCAGAGCTTGCGACAACTGAATCCTGCCCTGTCTCTGACTGCGGGTGGCACCGAGCGCAATTTCCACCCCGGCGCTTGGGGTGAGTGTACTACGTAGTACCGCGATGCGAAGCCCACCAAGTCACCCAGGGAAGAATAAGTACCGTGCAGGACGAACCCGGCCCCCGGTCTCCACGAGTCTCGGGCCCGAATCTGGGGGCCGCTGGCTTCTGCATGGCTTTCGGCCGTTAACTAGCTGCGCTGCGGGCATGACGTTCTTTTCTATTTCAGGGTCTTTGGTCTTTGGTCGGATCTGATCTAATCCGATGCGCCTTTTCTTGCGAAGCTAAGGCAGGCAGCTATGTGGCTGCGCGGGCGTCCTGCGCGCCGACTTGCTGAGGAATGCGCGAGGCATGCGCGAGGCATGCGCGAGGAATGCGCTTCTGCTCTACTGGACGGGCCTTACGAGACGACGTACGGGATACGATAGCGAGCCTGCCTACCTACTTCAGCTAGCTAGCCCAAGCCTTGCGCGGACCAGGTTTCCGCTCAGCGGGATTTCATTCAAGATTGGGGCTGGGCTGGCTGGATCTGTGTACCCTACCAGTCACTTCCCATGTTGCCCGGTTGGCGGCCCCCAACTTTTATGCGCAGCAAGGCTGAGGAATTCAATTCTTTCAGTCCCAAAATGGAAAGATTTCCCCGAAATGGAAAGATCTGAAGGTAGTCGTAACAGTGCTACGGGATGGGCGAGATGCCACTGCGACCCTTCTTTGGATAGGGGGTGGCAAAGTCGACAATTGGCTGGGCTGACCGGCAGCTTGCCGGCAGGCAGGCAAGAAACCAATCATCACGGCTATGCGGCTCTGATGATCATCATGATGCTCAGGTGATTGGATGGGCCTACGAGGCTCTGGTGCAGATATTGGGGGACAGCTTGGTGCGAGGTTATATGCATGAGACTTGATGGCCGCTTATTGCGTCCGGCAGGCAGGGCGAGGTGAGGTTGCAGGATAGATGGCGAGTCATTGGTGTGTCATTCTCTGGCCTTGCATATCTTCTATAATGTGTTTTCTAATTGATTAAAGGTTTGCCAGGGAGCAAACGTGCAGTTGATATACATCCTGTTATATTCTACACTGAGCTCTGCGTCATGGCTATCCAACTTGTCTTTTAATACCGGCCTTATTTATCTAACCAAGTTCCGTTCAAGCTGGTTGGGGCTCCTTTGATGCTTATCACGACAACGTAGCTTTGCCTACTCTAGATCCAATTTCAGTCCCGGTCATGTTAATACAGATTTGAGCAACGTTCTAGCCCAACTATCTAGTCCTCACCCGTGACATCCACGTTTTAGTGGTCATCGGAGCCCTTCAGATGTTAAGCATGGTAACCCACCTCTCAAGTCACACTCCGCAATAACGCTCGTTCATGACCTCCCCCTTTCATGGCAGAAACCTCGCACACAGACCGTGTGAACATGTCAGTTACCGCCCCGACTGATGTGAAGTTTTCAGACAGCAGGACTGCGGTACCACATTTGTCGTTCGTCCTTGCTGGGCTCTCTGGATGCTATACTTGGAATGTATTGGCATTTAGCGTGAGCTCTGCGGTCTATCACTTTATCTGTGTGCCATTTCAGGGTCCGACAGTGGTATCCGGCCCTGCCGTTTGAGTTGGAACAGAACGCAGCTGGTATCAGAGGGGTTCATGGCCTTGGCTCTCCAGGTCGTGCTTGGGAAACCCACCCGTGATTCATCTGACGCTGGAACTTCATCACGGTCTATACGGCCCTGATGGTCTCCGGTTTTCTTGCTGCAGATTGTCAGGTTACGAGGCAGCGAGGCACCGAGACACTGATATCCTGTGATTACCAAGGAGCCTCTACCGCAAGGTCGTTTGGTCGTCTGATATTCAAGTTTCCCACGGACATGGGAACAGTCGTGGTCTTGTTAATCTGACGATTTGACCTCCAACCCCACGAAACGAGATACTTTATTCCTATCACCATTATGCTGTATGAACTTCTATACAAGCAAATCATCTCTACTAGGCCACGACGCACCGATAAACTTGAGAATAGAGTCTATTAGTAGCCTGTCGTTGTCTTGTAGTAGTTGTTGTTGTTGTTGTTGTAGCATTTAACGCCGGGGGGACTGCCGCGTAGCGGCGTCAACCAGGGGCTCCAAGAGGCCGCTCAGGCGTGCTAGGCTAGGTCTTCTATGTACATACACTGCCCATCTAGCAGGTCAAGTCCGTAAACAGTCACCACACTTAAGCGGCAGATCACACCGTACCATCCCCCCCATAGAAGTCGGACACCCCCACTAGTCGGACAGCCAAACCCCACCATCACCACCAAAACACCCCTTTATTCACAGAGATGTAAAAGAAGTCATTCAGATCAGAGAAATTCAGCAAAATTATCATTCGAGAGCGCTGAAGCTGCTCATTTATACAATCTAGCAGGCGCCCGTATTGCGCGGCCGGAACGTGTCAACCTAGGCTGCTGGATGGCCTCCAAAGCGGCCTCTTCAGGGGCTTCATCCTCATCTTCCTCTTCATCTTCCGACTCAACAATTATCTCTTCTTGTACCTCTGCAGGCGTTTCAGGACTAATGGTACCTCCCTTAGACAAGATCTCCGTCACCGTTTTAAACTTCTTGTTAGGATTAGGGATCTTTTGCCGCTTCTTGGGCCGTAGCCGCTCCAGTTCAGCCTCCAGGGCTTTGATCTTCTGGGCTTGGATGACAACTTCCGTCTCCTTGGTCTCGAACGCGTTGGCTATCTTCCTGTACTTCAAGCGGGTGCCAGGGGATTTATTTTTGCCGAAATCCATGATCTCCCGACTTGTAGTAGGGGTCCGTTGGTCCTCTGGTTCAGAGCTTTCAGGGGTCTCAGGCTCAGGGGTCTTCTGCTTATCTTCCTGGATTTCTGGATGTGTTAGGCACTTCCTGCGGCTGATTGGAAAACATCCAGTGGTTCTGAATCCAGAGAGGATGTTTGCCTTAGTAAAAACAGAAGTTCTTGCTTGGCTATAGCACCGAATAAAGTTGATCTTGTTAACAGGCGAGGCATCCATCAAGGAATTCAGCTGTGAGAGAAATTTCTGGTAGTAAGCCTTCAGGGCATTATAGGGCCCGTTATCCAGGGGCTGCATGCCGTGACTGGTTTGGGCAGGGAAGAAACAGAGCAAGATGTTGGCGAAATAACACATGGTCATAAATTCGTCCTATCACTACGCGTTAGCCCGGATTAATTCCAAAAATTTGAAAGAAATCTAAATAAAATAAGAAAAAATCATATACGTACGGAGGTGTGGCTACCATGGCCATCTAGTATCAAAAGAACAGCCTCAGACTGATCTTTTCCTCGTACCTTGTCCACCTGTGGGATGAACACGTCTTTTAACCACTGGCAGGCGATGTCATTGGAGGTCCAGCCGTTTTCTGAGCATATAAAATGCCAATCGGCGGTTTTTCGGAACTCCTCGATAAACCATTGGACTTGGAGGTCCTTGCCTTTGAAGATAATGCCCGGTTTGAGGATTTTTCCCGTGGCTGAGATGGCCTCGATAAAGGAGGTCTAACTGCGGCTCTGGGGGCTCTTCAGGAAGGATTTCTTGGTAACAGAACTACCAAGAACGAGAGAGTCAATACCTGTGAATACGATTAGAATTTTTTGGAATTAAAGAGGTAAGTAGAGCTACCATAGCCCGCCATAATGCCGCCCTTATCGACATTATACGTGTTCTCTGGCTTCACCCAGCCGTAATCCTCGAGAATTTCGAAGAACCAGTTAATTGCTTTGGGCGTAAACCCCTTAAAGCGCGCTGATTCCATCCTTTTGCCAATTTTGGTCTTTATTTGAGGGTTGCGGCGCTTGAAGCCCGCCATAAAGGTGTCTCCCAAAGGGCGTTCATCTCCCTTCTTTTTCAACAACTTTGTGACAATCTCATGAACTAGGGAGTGCGAAGGGGCTAGTCCTAGCTTCTCCTGACGCAAAATCCATTCGACTATAGTGGTTTCTTGAGCAGGGGAGAGTCTCTGTTGCTGCGTGTGGGCTTCGGCCCTCGTAGGCTTGCCATTAAGTCGATCAGACAGCGTTTGGGGCGGGATGCCGTGTTTTTGAGCGCTTTTTCGTAAAGACAAGCCCTCATCTGTGATATCTAAGATGGCATTTGCCATCTGATCCTCTGTATATGAATAGGGAGGCATTTTGGGCGGCTATACGATGCTGCGTTGCATATAGAACAAGGCTTCAAGGGAGCCTTGCAGGGCTGTAGATTTGCTATTCGAGGTAAGAAACGCGGGGTAATAGATGACTAATCACATAGGCTAGGCGGGGTAAATTTTACATTGAAATAAACCCCAGGGTCAGGCCTATCTATAACAGTAATTACATTCTAAGTAACTTTAATATCGGGCTGAAAGCGTGTAAGTGAATAAAGGGGTGTTTTGGTGGTGATGGTGGGGTTTGGCTGTCCGACTAGTGGGGGTGTCCGACTTCTATGGGGGGGATGGTATCCCCCCTCCTCCGGGTGAGGGGAAGTATCGGCTGGGGTCCCAAATGTTCAGTTTTTAGGGCGCAACGCCAGGTTCAGTGCTCTTAGAGCTTATAGTAGATGCCGCGACATGCCGCAGTGGTTCTTACGCGCCCTGTAAGACGTTAAAAAGGAAAAATGGAAAGATAAAGCCCCCAGACGCCGTAGTAGAAGGAAAGAGTGAGTATGTCCTCAGCAAGGAGGACAGATGCTGCCGTAGAAGTCGGTAGCTACGAGTAGGTCTATGTACTCCCTGGGGTAGTCATAAGTTCGTTTAGATACTCGAGCCTGGCTCCGAGCTCTGGCCGGGATGCCGGGGCCCTCGGCCAGACCATGTACCGTGCCAAAGTCTTCCGGCAGTAGATGAAGTGCGTCAGAGTCTTGCTCCGGCCGCACGAGCAGTCGAGGACGGCGTCCTGATGTTTGAACTTGACATGATAGCAAGAGAAGTCGCCTGGTTCATTAATTATAATTTTTTTCCTGTTTATAAGAAAAAGATAAGGACTTCTTGGAGAAAGATTACTTAGAGGAGCATTTCTTCCAGGAGGATCCCTTGTCAGGATCGGTCATCCAGATCGATGGGCTCTGGGACGATGCGCTTCTTCTTTTGATTCGTGAGGATGGGTTTCTTATCCTCTCCTCCTCCTTCTTCTTCGAATTCGTGACGTCGTCGAGGTCCTTCAGGGAAAGGAAATGAGCAACGAGTCACCAACTTTTTTTCGGCGCTATTGATGGCAAAGCCGACCTCCTGGGTCAGGCCTTTGATGGCCAGGTATGTCAGCTTGTTACTGGTGAACCATATGTCTTGAACCATGCATGACACCAATCTGACATGAACAGATTTAGAGAGGCTTGTGTCACCTTGTTACAGGCCAGAGAGAAGCTGATCAACATCTCACCGTGAGGATTTGCGTCTGCGGTCGCAATCCAGGACTCGCTTGACGATCAGCCTTTACGGACAAGACTGACGAGCCCGTCGTCGAGGAAGAGTCAATTGAGGCCAAGAACTCGCCTGACAGTCAGGCTCTGGCCGTGAACAAACAACGCAACCCCAGTATCGAGCAGGAGCTTACTGTCGCAGTTCAGGACGCACTCATAACCAGACCCCTGCCAATGCCGAAGCAGACGGAGGTCCTAATGAGGAAGATCCAGTCGAAGGGAACCAGCTGCGCGCCAAGTTTCGGGTTTTCCTCGTCGATGAAGAAGGCACAGTTTACAGCGAGATTGACAGAGAACTCAGCCCGGCGAGGGTCCGTTTCGACTTGGGGTTAGGGTTAGGGTTAGAAATCAGTGTGCTCGCCGTGCATTCTCGGGTTCCTGGCCTTCTCTCATTAATTGAACCCCACGACACTCTGCACCCTTGTCGGGTCTGTTCGATCAATTTGAACCTGATCATTACACTGCTGTGACTGTGGGATCTCGGCGGGCATGGCGGCATCCAACCTTGGTATCGCCGCACAACTGAGATTCGGCTTGCAACGACAATTTGCCTCCTCGCAAATACCTTCACACTCGGCATCTCTCCCTTGTACCGAATCACCAAGAGCCGTCAAGAACTATCAGTCACTCACGATGGCCGACGATCCTTGCGGCTCGTCCAACCCGTTCAAGGGCTTGGCTCAGCATGTGAACCATGACCGAGCGACTCAACATGATCGCGCCACGTTGTATCCCCATTTCCCACGGATACGAGGCTCCTTTCGGGCTGATAGGACGGAGACTATCAAGTGCTGGGGGTCTCCCGGCCATGGAGCTGCTGTGAGAGAAGTGGTACAGATAGACTCACACCGCCGCCTTGTGATGCTCGATCTATATAACTACAGGGCCAATAGGCCCTCTCTACATAGTTCTAGCCATGGAGATCCAGCTTGGACCTGACCAAACGAGCGTCACCCTTCGGTAGGCATGCCAGTACCACTGCATCTCACGGCAAACACAATACTTCCCGTCTCGCCGGCTCTTTCTTTGATCGCCTGCAATCTTCTACCAGCAGCCATCACAAGCTTGCAACGATTTCTGCGACTGCACACGCGACTGCATCATCCAACCCTTGGCGACCCAGCCGACCATAATAACGGGCGTCATGCCCATGACTGGTCCTGGCCGACCAGCATGGTAGTTTGACCTCTTCAAACTCTCCAAGAAACCAAAGGGTTTAGACAGTGGTATGAGGCACCCGGGAGTTGGGCCTGAGGGAACCATTGACGTTGTTGATCGCACAGCAAAAGAGTATGCCGGTCCAGATGATGCAGGATGAAGGCTCCCTGTACAGGCGCCCCCGAGAGTCTTCACGTTCGTCCAGTCGAAGATAATGAACGGTTCGTGATTGACCCCTTGATGGAACAGGGCAATGGGAAATGGACACTATGTAGACTTACGTATTCCTCCCCTGGCCTCGAGAACGACTAAAGCGCATGATCCGTCGGCCTGGGATTACCGCGCTGTTCACCCTTGAATCTCGGACACAACCCCCTGACGCAGAGGACGTTGTCCCCATCAAGGAAAAACCAACAGGCGCGCGTTTCATCGCAGAACGCTACCGGCCGGATTTTCGTCTCTGATGAGGGTGAAGTCGGCCGCAAGGAGGGCCCTGGTAATGGTTATTTGCCACTTACAATCGCACCATTCGCCCAAATATCCTGATCGTAGCCTGGCCGGCGTGCACCCACTGTCCCAGCTTCGCCCAACATTTCAAGCGCCCCCCTCAACGACGGCTGTATGATATACAGTACTGACATGTTCGTTCCCACATGGACAGATCAGCAGGCCAGATAGGGTCAGACTGAGGTTGATGAAGGAACGAGGTTCCGTCGTAACGGGGCCAGTTGCGGCGACTCAAGATGTCATGACACGACCAACCTGTTACCATCGATGATAAGCTACGAAGCGCCCGCTCGCTGCAGAAACAATTGTGGCTGCCTCGTCAAGCAAGGCCTCCGAGTGGTGGAAGTCGACTGCCGTTGAACTGTGACAATCCAGTCGTACTTCAGCTGTGCGGATTTGGTCAGGCGGATCATGACGCGTACACTGCGTGGCTGAACGGGACTCTGCCAATTGACAGCAACGTCAACTTAGCAAAGGAGAGCACGGGCTTCTGTTCTACTAAGGGATGCGCAGATAGACCCGAGCCTGGGATGACTCGCCAGCCTCAAGGTCAAGAAGCTGGAGGTATTTTCCGGCAAGAAAATTGCTGAATTCTTGGAGTTCGTGGCATCTTTATCCTCACCAGTTCCGACCTAATCAAAACTGGTGCCAATCGACACCGGCATGGCAAGTTCTCCGGGACTCACTGGAGGACAGTTGTTTGATCAGCCCATCCTGCGACTCGTGCGTGAGAACCAAGAGGTATCGGCAGACGTGGTCTCATCCCAAATACTCGAGAACATAGGCTTCATCTTCGCACGGCTCAAATTTTCATAAAGTGCCGACGTATGCAGCCACTCCTCACCGGTCATACCTTCAGCCCTGGAATGAAAAAGATGATGGTAGCAAGTGCATCTTACTGGCAATTAGAGTTGATCGAGACTCAGCGCCAATGCTTCTCTGAGGTCTGGCAAGGAAAGCATTCACTAGAACAAGGTCAGCCTGTCCGAGATGGAGGAGGCAGCCGCTTCTATTCGTGCGGGGGTTTGGCGACCATCAAGGCAAAGAGCATCAAAGCCGTTCTCGACATGGCCCACCAAGAGAACGCCGAGCGACGGGCTGCCTACATCGCTGAGAAGGAGACCCGTCTATACTACAGGCGAATATTTTTGGGTGCCTCGGAGAAGACTGATGGCCAGAAATACCTCGAGATCCTGAAGGCAGAACAAGACATCCTCTCGAGAGCTGAACATTCTCTTGAAAACTACAGCCGCGAAGAACAAGAAGATCGCCCTCAGCATCCCTCTGTCGGCGAGGATGACGTACTCATCCACCCTCCGAGGACCACCAGAGCGAATGAAAGAGAATTACCAGCACTCGCAAGCGTAAGGTAGGTCTGTGAGTGCTGGTCGTAAGTTCACACCTGAGTTGTGCGTGGGGATGTCTGACCTAGGGTTAGGGTTAGGGTTACTGTTTTGCGTGGGAGCGTCGCTGGGGCCGAGGTTGTGTCCCTGCAGAGACACAGGCATCGCCACCAAGCCATCTTATCCGGCACTGCATTAGCAAGTGCTTTGAATAGGCATGACACGGTTAAAGAGTTCAGCCCCCCCCCCCGGCAGGGAAGCTACAATGAATTCTAGCAGGGAGGTCAAGGACCGGGTTCTGCCAGTGTTGCGAGGACTGGGACCTGAGGGCGATCCCTTCTCCGATCCCGTAAGATTGAGATATACTGTCCTTGAGGTGTATCCCCAGAGTCGGTGACCCCCAAGTGGTGTCGTCGCCCCCAAGTGGTGTCGTCGGGGCATACATCGAGGCGAGGTCATCGCCATCCCCCTTTAGTCGCTGATAGAGTCTTCCTGCTCGACCACACGAATACAGTCCCCTCAGTTTGATCGCCGATTACAGTCTTCCTGCATCGGCAATCCTTTCAATACTCTTCACACAGAAACGACTTGACTCTCCCAAGCTTTCCGTTGTCGCCCTAAACCTGGGACCTTTGGCTCGCGACTTTCAGGTTTGCAATCTTGGCCTGGAAGCAACAGGCGGGCTGCAAACATGTTCTAGCAGACAAACAGCAGACGAGCATCGCTACCAGGAAAGTCGCTCGTCATCGTTGTTCATATGTTGTACTGATATGCTTCTTCTTGCGACTCCGTATGAGCGGAGTAGCGTCGTACGGAAAGGGGGAAGACCACTGAGCCTCTTGGGGATGTCACACCTCAAGCTCATTAAAGATGCCACAAGATCAAAGGCAGCACAACGTCGCTTTGAAATTAACCACGCCTCACAATGGCAATTACCTGTACGCCTGGGGCACTGCGTGCAGCCATACAACGCCGACACCGTTATCGGTACTCATACCGCACCTTGAGGAGACGCATTCATTTCGGCACAAGCACAACGAGAACCGGCAAAATTCGCCACGCTCTCCTTCGCCGACTGACCGGATGTACTGGTGGCTGTTAGTTGCTCCAACTGCACGTAATCGCGTGTCAGGTTGCGTCTCCCCTCTTTTTCAAGTGGTATTGCTCCAGTTGGCTCAAACGGCCGACTGTCATCAGCTCCCTAAATATGCCGTATTTTAAGGCACGCATCAAAGCAATTGCTTCGCTCAGTTCCCAGCCGGATGCTCAGCGCGTCACCATGAAGGGCCCAGTCCGACCCAGCTCCTCGGAGCGTCACAGGCCTAGCCCGAAGAGCCAGCTGCGGGACGTTCTTCGAGTACCAAGATTCTGGACTTCATTCGGTCAGGATAACGCGAGCGGATTGATGCTATTTGAAGCCCTGCTTGGGCACGAGGACGCAGTCCACATCAGACTATATAGAGGATTTCCATTTGAGGGATCCCCTCCATATCAAGCATGTCCTGATGCTGGGGGCTACCACAAGAACAAGAATGCCTCACAGGGGGGCCAGAGTCAAGCACTCTGTCTCCGGGCGGCGCTTGTGATGGAAACTCTCGTTCGCCGCACCCAGAAGAGGAAAGCGCAACTAACAAGCGTCGTGTGCCCTCTGCAGAATCTCGATCCCGCCGATGGGGTCAGCGAAGCCGTACGAGACGCTGAAGAGGAATTGGTCCAACTGGTGGAACGACGGTCATCCCTCATATATACTGTATGCCTGCGAAACTTGTCGCCAGACCTCAGCTGTCCCCGAAGGGGCCGGCTGGGATGTACTGCCGCACAACATGTGCACTTTGACCACCAGTGTATGGGCGCTGACAAAGGCTCTGGAAGAGACAGCGACTGAAGCGCCTACTGAGGCACTGGAAGAGGAAGAGGCGTAGCCCATCATTGAGGATCACTCACTCTGACGAAGAAAGACACAGCCGTGAGGTGATGATTCATGCTCCCAGTCAGCGTTTACCCTTGCGTCCAATGCCGTCCACCACCGCATCGACGCGATGTTCGAGCTTGCTGGTTTTCGTGCAACGTGGTGAGTGGAATACCGTTTTCACTTTCTCTCAAAACCATCCAACATCTATCGACACCAGATCGCGCGTGCCATAATGGCTGAGAACGACCCGTACAGCCAGGATATTCTGTCTGCGCCAATGCCTGCACAGATGCCGGCGCAGATGGACGGTGCCAACGACGCAAAAAGCACGCCGTTCGATCAGATCGCTTGAGGAGACTTCGATGTCAACCCGACCTTGCAGCAGCATATGGCCATGCGAGAGGATGAGGACAGCGTAAGACAGATCAAGGACGCCGTCAGGGCCCAGACAAAGTTCAATCGCCCGACGACATCGGCTAGACCGCGAGGAATGGTGGAGAATAGCCCTTACAAGGTGGACAACTTTGAACTGGTCGGATGCGAACAACCGTCTTGTTCTATAACCAGTCATGCGACTAATCTGTTCGAACCAGCCGCTGTCTACGAGTCTCCACGGCGTAGAAGCAGTACCTTACCAACGCCGGAGAGATGAAGAGACTGTGGCAAGTACAAGCCTACCGGGCTTAGGAACCACAGGGTCCCATCAGGGCGCAGGCGCTGGTGAAGTACGTCCGTGGATGGCAGTGTTTTCTTCATGTAGACCGTGGCTTCGAGTTGAAGAAGAATAGCGGGACCGGGCACGACCCGACATGACCCCCGAGTCCGCCGATAAGAGCAAGAATGTCAAAAAAGACAGACGTCAAGTCGGGCTCCCTCAGCGGAGCCAAGAGTGCTCGTGATGTTCGGGAGCCCCTGATTGAGGTCAAAGGCAATGTACGAAGATCACTGCAGACGGGATGCCGAGCTCGTTGGTGAGGGCATGACCCAATCCAAGACACTGACCAACTTGGCCCGAAAATGCCTTACCCGTAACATCTTGCGACAGTCCTCGCGCGACAGGCTCCTCCCCGTCCTGGCGCGCTGTCATGATCCTCAAGCATGAAGCTTCGCGACGTGGTCACCTTGGTCACCGAACTGGATATGGATATAAAGGAGAGCCAAAACCAGCCTGACGCGCGCGTGGAGCAGCTTTGGAAGAAGCTTGACTACCAGGACAACATGACTCCTGGTACCGCCGTGGTGCACGTCCGATTCGCCATGCCAGTATTGAAAAATAACAGCACATTGCGAATCGACCGCAAATCACGCTGTGTGGACGTCACTGCATCGATAGCACATCCCGCTACAGCAGATTTACTGGCTGACTTCGTATGTCCAAGCAGTCCAGAGCCGGCTTCGATGTCGATCGCCGCGAACATCTCGCGTGTTAATATCGACAGACTCCCCATTCTCAAGCTATCTGACAAGGATTCTCCTCAGTGGATGTTACCGCTGAACTCCTCCTAACTCTCTGCACGCGAAAGAGAAGTGCGAGAATTTTATGGAATGCTTTCGGGCTCACTCGATGTGCTACGCGAATACGTTCAGCCCGGCTGTTATTTCTGAACTCGTGCTATATGGATGCACACCGAGGCCACCGAGGCTGCTTTTCGATGAAAAGGGGCACAGTGACCCGGAAGTAGTCAAAGCAATCATAGACATGCGTTCGGAAGTTGGACGCTTGCAGGACCGTAGAAACGTTCCAGCCAGCAGACACACGGCAGTGCCTTTCGCTCCAGGTTGCAGCAGGGGAAAGACTGTGCTTTTCCAAAATTTGCTGGGTTCATCTTGGAGTCAGCGGACAAATGAGTAGTCTGTTGTCCGACCCATAGTGACTGGCAACGCGATCCAAGGCATCGACCTGGCGGTCGAGAAAGGAGACTTCATTGCTGTCCTGGGCAAGAGTGATCCCCTTGGTAACCCTAGCGAGTAGTGGCGCTGCAGAGCCCGCGATGGACGTTTTAGTTGTCTTTCTGCGACTTTCCTAAAGCTTGCCAAAAGAACGGGTCAATCTGTTGCAGCGATTAAGGCCGCTGCAGTGAACGGGCTACCACGAGCAATGCGGACGAAATTTCGGCTGAGATTTCTAGAAATCACAGTTCGACGAGGAAGCTGTGTCTGCTTCGGGCAGCGTCAAACGACCCAGCCACGAAGCACCGGGCCACGCCCCCTTCCTATCGCTGGCGCTGGTAGACTTCAGGATGAAATGATCGTAGCGAGAAGCAGAGTTCCCGCCCGGCCTCCAAATATCGCTTGATCCGTCACTGCAAGGTACGTAAATAGTGGATTGATTAGCCACAGCGGCCATTGAGTCCTCGCCTAGGTTCGTTGCGTGTAGTATTCAGCTCGCCGTCAGGTTCTGGACACTACGAGCTGTCACCTCAACTGCTAGGGCGACCGGCCAAAATGAAGAGCGACACGTTTCCACCGTGTCATGGCATGATGATATCTCGGCTGGTAACCTCCTCGTCGACGATAAAGGCATGCTGTATGGCGTTATCGACTGACAGGGCGACTCCTGTCTTCTGCTTTACGAGGCCTGCCAATTTCCGGCTCTTCTACAGCAGGCCGTCGATCGCCTAGTGGAGCCTATGACGGTACAGTACATCATTTCCGGCTCTGGAGCAGAGAGCACCGGTCAGAAGGCATCGACATGATCCTCGACACGTGATCTGTCGCCATGAGCACCTCATGAAGCTTCGCCAGGCCACCCCTGAGAGCGCAGCTCGTGACGAGAAATGGATCGAGATGGCTGACCAGATCGTCGCTGCACCCGCCCAGCTCGTCTGCCTCTCGCAAAGAACAATTTCTACCGATTTAACGGTGGCAACGGTCCCCCGATCGAGGACGAACTCGCCCATCGCTGTTCTCCGACGAACTGATGCCTCTGCCCAGAACACGGCCTGGGACTCATTCGCGTCCAACAAAACAAGGATCTCATGCGACGTTATGTTGAGTTTCTTGAGCAGCATGTTGATCGGCCCAAGTCGAAGAACTTGACTGCGGGCGCCAACTAGCCTCTCGTCCAGGAGCAGCAGCTGAACCGGCGCATCATCATTGAACCCGCTCAGATTGGAGTTGCCGGAAGCGATTCCATCTACGCAGAGCGGTTTGACGCGTTGAGCCGAGTTCCTGCTGACATGATGAGGAAGGCTCTTCGAGTCTGGTGACTTCTCCGATCCCGTCATTCACTGCGGTGACAGGACCTGGAACGTCCACAAAGCAATCGTGTGCGCTCGATCCGAGTGGTTTCGCGCGGCCCTCGCCTGCGTCGCGTGCTTCCGACGATGAAGACCAGACGCGATCGCCATACCCGAGGACTTCAGGCCGGCCCTTCAATCTCATCGCGCAGTCGACGATGGTGGTTCCTCCTGCGTAGAGCTGGACGATATAGCAGTACGACCTGGAACCGAAAGCCACCGGGGGCATTCCTGCCTCGGGTCAACGCCGCTGTAACTGGCAGCTATGATGCTGACTTGGGGCCACCGCGTGGTTGAGTTTACGCGTTTGGCTTAGACTATCTTCTCAAGGGAAGGTGGCCCTTAAGCGGGGAAGATTTCAGAAGTGATCAAGCCCTGGCGCTGATTCTCGTCGGCATGCCTCATGAGCTGCACCTCAAGATTGCGCGGTGCCTCGACTGCCGGCTCGTGCATCTTCGAGCACTCTCACTGACCTAGCGCGTACTGCACCAGTCTACCAACCATGGGCTTTATCGCGCCGCAGCACAAGACCGTCCCGAACTGCTCTGCTGGACTTGAGAAACAGGCCAGGTCGCGTTAGCCAACCGTCTCCTGGAGGCTGGTGCAAATTCCAATGTGCCGTACCGAGTCCAGAGTAGGGAGCGGTCACCGGTACTACGATCCAGGAGCGAGCGTGCCGCGCGACATCGGGATCCCGAACAGTTTGAAGAAGAGACCTACGGATTGGATGCACCGCATGGGTTCGAAGACCACTGTCAGTCCCTGTGGCTCCGGCCGCACATGCAATCCGCGCTGCTCATTGGACCAGTCCAGATCACGCCTGAGACCGAGATTCTTCGCACCGTCAAGCCGGACAGCTCGTTCCTGACCCAGCTCGTACGATGGGAGCGAAGCACCATCCAGTCGTTCCTCCGCACGCTGTGGAAATTGCCTCAGATTTACCGGTAGGTACGCGCGGGATGAAGCTATCCTAGGTAAGACTTGTTTTATTAATGAGTCAGTTACAGACGTTGGTATGTCCTTTTCAAGACGGTCGAGCGACTGACACGACCGGTTGTCATTGCCATCCAGTTGGCTAAGTAATATTTCGAGCAGCCAGCCTTAATAGAATCTTCGTAGTGTGCATCTAGAAGTCATTACTTCACAATTTGCCCCTGTAGATGTAGGTATCGCGCTTAATCCGAGAGGTGGAGTCGGTGAAGTCGCCTCTATCTGTAGGGGGCGGGGGCGAGCCCCTATTACGGGGGCGGAATTTCCTTCAGTGGTGGGGCTTCGCTCAAACTTTCCCTGGTCGGCCTAACCAGACTTTGAAATTAAACGGAATAATCGCACATGAACAAGTGGATTGGCGTCGCGTTGTTATTTCCTATCCAGGGCGATACGTGAGTGTCCGAGGAGACCACTAGGTTGTCCGGAAGCCAAAGGACAGAAAGGGGTTATGTGTCTGCTGAGTTCGATATAGCATTGTTGTGCTGCACAGGAAGGATTGGGTGGTGGTATTATTAGAATCCTCAGCCGACGACATGGCATTGACGTTACGCTATCCCTTACGCTATCCAGCGCGTTACATCTACAAGGCGAATATACCCCTGGCCGGTGCGCCAGGGGGTCATGGTCCGGAAGCAAGGATGTGATGTGATGTGATACCGACAGACCGGATTGCAATGTTGGAAGCATGTTGATCTTCCCCCACAGGGTCTATTACCAACTGCGGTCCGAACGCCCCCCCTCCACTGTAACATCACACTCCGAGAGCCCTGTCTTCTGCAATTCGCTGACAGCGCTCTGCTTCTTTGCTGTTGCTGGCTCGCTCTAACTTTTCTTCGTAGCAGAACAGCGTCTTCGAGTCTGCGATTGTTTCTTCAATTTGGCGACCCATCGGCTTGGTCCTCGTTGTGGTTGAGCCGTTACCACACACAAGCCTCAGCAGGTATGGAGCCGAACGTCACTTGGCCTATGGTAGTTGGAGCTGTCATCGCCTACTACGTGACGGTCGTGGTCTACCGCTTATCTTTGCACCCTCTCGCTCGCTTTCCCGGCCCCAAACTGGCTGCCATCTCGCGTTGGTACGAGGCCTACTACGATGTTCTACAAGGTGGGCAATACACTTCGAAGATCGCAGAGCTGCACAAGCTATATGGTAAAGTGGTTATCAGTACGATCGTGCCTTTGCAGTCATTAACCTCGAACAGGCCCCATCATTGGGATCAGCCCATACGAACTGCATGTAATTGACCCAGGGTTCTTTGAGACGCTCTATTGTATGGAAGGACGTTGGGACAAGTACGGCTGGACCTACGATGCTTTTGGGGCCAAAGGGTCTACCGTTTTCGGGTCAGGTACTAAAATCACCCACCAGAATGGACCCTTACTCAGGAACTCACTCAATCGTCTTATAGATCATGATGCCCACAAGGCCCGCCGCCGTGTTATTGCCCCTTATTTTCGAAGCCAAACGTTTATGCTCGACAGGGGCTATTATACAGAAATATAGACAAACTCTGCCAACGCATTTCGACACTCGAAGGGGCTACATCCAACCTCGGCGCAGCCGTCAGCGCGTTCTCGCGAGACAGTGCCAACAAATACATCATGGGCAAAGAGTACAATGAGCTTGACTTGGAAGACTTCGGTATTGGGCTATCTATCGCATCTCAAGGCGCTGGTGTCTTTTGGCACACAACGAAACACGTACGCTGGTTCGGTCCTATATGAAGGCAATACCAATTGGGTGGGCTATGAAGGTGGCAGATGAAGGCACAAAGGCCTTCTTGCGGTACGTCCAGGTAAGTTGTCAGAAACAGGTGTTTTCCGACTGCGCGAGTATTAACTACTCATCCCGACAGCAATATGAACGAGACTCGATGGATATTCTGGCCGCTGCGATGTCCTCTTCTCCAGACAACAAGATCCAGAACACAATAATCTACGAGATCGTTCGCTCCAACCCTCCACCGACCGAGAAAGCCTTTCATCGCGTCCACGAGGAAGTAGCGACTGTGACTGGTGCAGCGTACGAGACGACAGCCAATACCATGAGACTCATTCTCTACCACGTGTACACCAATGACGAAATCATCCGTCGACTCAGAGAAGAGATCGCTTCGATCACCACCGAGGCCTCCGAGCCGATTGCGTTAAGAAAACTAGAGAAGCTGCCCTATCTCAGAGCAGTCCTGATGGAAGGCATACGCCTAAGTCCCGGAATTGCTACACGTGCGGCGCGCCTTACTAATACGGATCTTTTCTACGGTGACTGGCGTATTCCCGCTGGAACGCCGGTCGGAATGACTACGCTGCTAATGCACACCAATGAGGAATTGTATCCAAACCCAATGCGCTTCGACCCAGATCGGTGGATGAACGCGACAGCCCAGGCCACTGGTGGAGCGAATTTTGCACCCTTCTCTCGGGGAATGAGGATATGTCTCGGCATGTAGTACGTCTAATTTCCCTCCTTTCGCTGAAACTCAACAGCCCACCTTCTGTTGCATTGTTCTCTTTCTGACTCCATCATCTAGCCTTGCTTGGGCCGAGATGTATCAGCTTGTCCCTGCTTTAATTCAGCGGTACAACTTCAAGGTGGAGGGCGCGACGGCTGCCGATTTCGAGTTAGAAAGGGATAATTTTGCCATCGGCACCAAGGCTGGGTGCAATTCAATGGCTCATGTTACTCCATTTCAAGGCTGAGATTTCTCGGTCAGGTTATCGCCCGACGAGCAACTGCAATATCGGTGGAGGTGTCTGGTTCTTTTCATCTATCACGTTGCTCTTTGGGAATGGTCTTGAAGTAATAGACTTCTCTCGCATGGATGTATACATATTGCTTGCGTGTCTATTATACGTATGTTACCAATAGCAGCCTAAACCGGCTTGGCTTGTCCATGAAGTATGGGCAGGCTGTGTAGTGGATGTACTGGGATTTAAAAACAAAATAAAAACCTACTAACCAATACCTCAGAGCTCATAGAAACAATCACACCATATTTAAACATGGAGGATAACGTGATGAACTCACCTGCCTCATATGCTTAGATCCGATCACTCCGCATCTCAGCCCCCAGCCGAGCCCGTTACAGGCAGGACAGGCAGTCGTCACCTTTCCCGTCACAAAAACACGACTGTACCGCACAAGAGAATATGTGCTCATTGTGCTCTAGCATGCTAGCAGAGACAAGAACAAGGGAAGCCGAGCGACAGCACCGCATGTGGCTGTCCGAGGGGATGCCCTTCTTTTTGAAGTAAGTACCGCGGTAGTTAGCATAATCAAAGTCATAGCAAGCACCATGGACTTCGCACTTTGGCACGAGGACACCTTCCAAGCGCTACGGTGGTAGAAAGGAGACATATGACTATGACAACAATCAGCTTGGGAGGACCGAGGAGCCAGTCGACGACATGGGGTTCACATCAGCCACCAAGAGGTATGTAAAGGGCGGCGCAGAGATTGTGCAAACAGAGGACTCTGGGGACGATACTTACCTAGACAGCTGTCTTTTGCCTTAGGACCCACGGACTGCTCGCTTTGCTACGGGCAACGTCCTCGTAAGGCAGGCTCGAGCTGGACCAAGGGGAACTTGACGCGCTTAGGAACTTTATAGCTTGCAATACGTATTTCCTTGTAATTCTTAGTAAAGGTTTTTGCTATATTTGAGGTTTTGTCCCTTACTTTGCGTAGCAGAGTGGCAAGTGCTTACGGGCGGGGCATACTACCCTTAAGCCCACGGTTAATCAATACCACCATCCTTCTACCTATGCACATGCTTTCTACACCTTTTTTTATCTGCGCTAAATATCTAGTCCTTACAGAGAGTATTTGAGAACTTGTGCAGTCTTTGCCGCTTACGCATTGTAGCTATTCACGGTCAAGTCAATCGATATTCGATGGCATCTCTTTCAACAACCATGAACTCGAATATCAAGCGTGTCGTCGCTTTCTGGTTCAACCGGCCTCCGATGGATTGGATCGTCGCTCCCACGGGGCTCGATGCCGAACTGAGATCCGAGTTTGGGGAACTCGTTTTGAGCGCCCGACGCAACGACCTGGACGATTGGGCTTCCCAGCCAGAAGGCAGCCTTGCCCTAGTCGTCCTGCTTGACCAATTCTCCCGCAACATCTTCCGCGGCTCCCCCGCCGCATTCAGCGCCGACGCCAAGGCGAGCGACACCGCCACGCGGGCCATCGCGCGCGGCTTCGACAAGCAGGTCTCCGTCATCCATGCCACGGCATTCTACATGCCGCTTATGCAGCAGGAGAGCCTTATATCAGTGATCGCGGCGCGCGGCCTGTTCGAGGGGCTGAGGGGGAGGTGTGAGAGCAAGGAGGAGCGCGAATGGGTCGAAATGGGTGTTTCGGCTATGGGCAGGCACTTGGAGCAGTTGGAGCGGTTTGGGAGGTTTCCTACTCGGAATGCTGTGTTGGGGAGGGTGAACACTGCAGATGAGGACGAGTTTTTGGCACAGCATAAGCCTAGCCTGTCGTAGGTGAAAGGGTGCGGGGTATGTTGTGCCAATCCAATGCGACGGTATCCATCGTTTTCCGTGCGAGTGACTCTGAACTCCTTTCCCCAGTCGAAATCAAGAAATCTCGAGGTCTGGAGTTCCTTTCGCTGTGCCTTCGATAAGTCATGGTAGACCGCGGAGGATGTGGCTCCCATCCTGGGAGGCATTGCGTCGTCGCGGATACGAAGAGATGAGGGGTAGCTGGAGGCGAAGGTGTTTGTAACGAAAATATGAAGGATAATTGGATGTCGAGGGCGATCGTGAAGAAGAGATGGGAAAGATCACAATGCTGTATGGGTTTGGAAGATTGGAGGTCGCGGGCGGTCGTAGAGGTTTTGGGATATAAGTCGGTGTTTGTACAATTTCAAGTCCTATATATACATGCTACCGTTGTTGAAGATCGGCTCCGCCATGTTAAAGCCTCGTGTTCCAAAAATCCCAGAAGGATCTCTTGCCGAAACCTCGTTAGTTTGGTGACCTATACTATACATACGTCTGCGCCAGGCCATCTTCAATACCGCCAGATGGCATCCGCCATCTTGACCACCTGTCCCATCTCAACGACATCATGCACCCTTACAATATCAGCCCCGCCCTGCACCGCAGCCGCGACCGTAGCCGCAGTCCCAAACACGCGATCCATCGGCTTCGGCACGCCCGTGACCTTCCCTATGAAGCTCTTCCGACTAGAACCCAGCAGCCAAGGCAGACCCTCGAGCCCGGGCCAGCACCGCAGCTCGTCGAAGTGCCGCAGGACCGCCAGGTTCTGCTCGCCGACCTTCGCGAACCCGAGTCCCGGGTCCAGCACGATGCGCCAGCGCCTTACGCCCGCGGCCTCGGCCTCACGCACGCGCTCCAGCAGCTCCGTCGCGATGGTGGAGACGAGCTCGCCCTCGGGGTAGCTGTTCAGCTTGCTCATCGTGGACGGTGTGCCGCGCATGTGCATGAGGCACACCGTCTTGCCGGACGCTGCCATGGCGGGCAGCATGGCGGGATCGAGCTGTCCGGCTGACACGTCGTTGATGATGTCGGCGCCGGCTGCGACGGCCGCTTCGGCGACCGAGGCGCGGAATGTGTCGACGCTGATGGCGACGTCGCGCGCTTGGGGGAGAGAGCGGATGAGTTGGATGGCGGGGAGGACACGGGCGATCTCCTGTTCTGCGCCTACGTCGGTGGTGCCGGGCGCGGTGGATTGCCCGCCGACGTCGATCATGCTTGCGCCGCCGCGCACGAAGGATAGAATAGAGTCGCGTAGCGAGCCGGGGGTATGCACGCCGCCGTCGCTGAATGAGTCCGGTGTCACATTCAGGATGGCCATGAGTTGGGTCTTGCGCGTGGGTCGAAGGGCATTCAGGGGCGCGTGAGAGGCACTGATGGGTGTAAGTGTGGAGAGCGGCTCCGAACGGGATAGGGGTAGCTCGTTTAGGTGGTCCTGAATTAGTTTCCAGGGCCGGCTTGGGTCGGGGGCTTTATGCGGAATGAGCTCCGCCAGAGGCCGTAGCACGAACTCGCGCTCGGCGATGCCGATGTGCGGTATCTGCAGGCGCGGCTCGTTGATTATCTCGTCTTCGTAGAGCAAGATGTCCAGGTCGATATTGCGCGGCCCCTTGTCTATTAGCTTCTTCCGGCCCATCGACTTTTCTATGTCCTGGAGCTGGCCCAAGAGCGGTACGGGCTCGAGGTCTGTTTCTACCTGGATGCATCAGCTCAGCATCTAAGATCAACGGAAAGGGGGCGTGCCCAGGACACGCACCTCGCAGGCTCCGTTCACAAATCTCTCCTGCTCTAGGACGTACATGGGCTCAGTCTCCCACAGGCTGCTGGTCCGCTTCACTTTGATTCCCCGTGCGTCCATTTCCTTGCAAGCCTGCTCGATCATAGCGACGCGATCGCCAAGGTTGCTGCCAAGTGCTATGTGGGCAGTCCTCTTGGTTTTGCCGGCTGCACCTTTCGTGCCACCATTTACCAACGCCGCATCTCTGGGCTGGTCCCTTAGGGCAGATGGATACATGGTGTATCTCTTGTAGCTGATTTTCCGATGATGTCGAGGGAAGTACACGGGTTGATGTGCTGACGACGATAGTGAGACGAGAGCACAGCTACTGATAGATGGCCCGCGGGCATGGAGTGGTAAGCAACTCCATGCTCGAAGTGCGAACGACGAGGGAACACTCATTGGAGCTCCAATGAACGCATTGAGTCCCTCAAACTGTTCGCATGGAAGGTTGGAGGATTGCTGACTGTATCACCAAACTTCGATGTCATAATGTCAATGTGAGGCTCACCGGAAAAATTGTTAGTTCAATAAGTTCCAAGTGGGCCAATCTTCAGCGGGCCAGTACGCTAGAGAAGTACCCCAGCTGCTGAGACCCGTTCGCGGCAAGCGTTAACTCCGCGGCGCGGCGCGGGCTGTAGCGCTTCCTCATAACGCTCAGACGCTGTACTCGGATAACATGGCTGAGCTTGCTAGTATCAATACCTTATCATGCTGATACCTGATGGGCGGTGAAGGCAAACAAGCCCTCGCTTCTCAACACCGAGTTTGCTACATACTTCCATTGTGGCGAGAGAGGGCTGTCTGATGATATAAGCCCCGGTTGTTTGCTTCCTTCCTCGTGGACGCTATACCCAGAGCAGACTAGCTTGCGATCCCCGAGTCTCGTGAATAGAAGCCTCGGTTCCCCACTGCTCGGCGCGGCGCATCCGTCTCCAGGTTCAATGTCCATGTGCCCATCGTTGCCGCGACCTGCCGAACCCAGTAGCAATCCCACCTGGCCTCTCTCCTCTTATTATTACTCTGTCCTCTGCTTGATTGCTCCCTCGTGTTCATAGCCTGATTAATCCCGCCTGTCTTTCTTCTCTTTCGTTGTAGATATCCAGTTCGCTCCCCATTTGCAAGCTGAAACCTCCGAGCCTTACGCTTGCTCCAGCATCAGACAGTCAAGATGGCGTCGCCACGTATGTCGCATCCCGATCAACCCATAATCGTAGTTGCGAGACAAAGTGCTGACCGCCGTTCACCAACAGAGAAGATCCGTACGCCGATTACCGACCTCTTCGGAATCAACCACCCCATCATGCTGGCTGGTATGAACGTTGCTGCCGGCCCGAAACTGGCGGCCGCCGTCACGAACGCTGGTGGTCTGGGTGTTATTGGAGGCTTTTCGTACAGCCCCGACATGCTCAAGGAGCAGATCGACGAGATGAAGTCTTACATGAACGACAAGAATGCGCCGTTTGGTATTGACCTGTTGCTTCCCCAGGTTGGTGGCAATGCGAGAAAGACGAAGTGCGTCCAACCAGGCCCCATCGGTCCACTGAGACAATGCACTGACAGTCGCAAACTCACAGTTACGACTACACGAAGGGCAAGCTGAACGAGCTGATCGACATCATCATCGAGTCCGGTGCCAAACTATTCGTCTCCGCCGTCGGTGTACCGCCCAAAGCCGTCGTCGACAAGCTACACAAGAACGGAATCTACTATATGAACATGGTGGGACATCCCAAGCACGTCCAGAAGGCTCTAGATGTCGGCTGCGACATGATTTGCGCCCAGGGTGGCGAGGGTGGTGGCCACACCGGAGACGTCCCCACGACGGTGCTGATCCCAGCATGTGTACAAATATGTAAAGGTCAGAAGGGCCCTTTGACTGGCCAGGATGTTCCGGTCATTGCTGCCGGCGGTATTCACAACGGTCAAATGCTGGCCGCGTCCCTGATGATGGGTGCTGCTGGTGTCTGGGTTGGTACCAGATTCATCCTGGTCGACGAGGCCGGAGCCCCCGAATCGCACAAGGAGGCGGTCAGAACCGCTGGGTTCAACGACACGATCCGCACGCTCATCTTCACCGGGCGACCTCTGAGAGTCCGCACCAACCCCTACATCGAGAACTGGGAGAACGAGCGCCAAGCTGAAATCAAAGAGTTGACTGCCAAGGGTGTGTTGCCCTACGAGGCTGATCTAGAGAAGGTCGCCAACGGCACAGCCGAGGGAGGGCCGCGAGAAGGGTCCAGCGAAGAAGAAGATGTTGATGATCTGATGGACCAGTTCCGCCCCTACCTGATGGGCAAGTGTGCGGCATTGGTCAACGAGCAGAAGAGCGCGAAAGCAGTGGTCGACGAGTTTGTCACTGATGCAGCGGCGGCGCTAGCCCAGGGAACCAGGATGGTGGCGAAGCTGTAGGAAGGAGACGACTCACGAGAATGGGATTGACGAATGCGAGACATCAACAAATAGAATGCTTCCATCCTTCACGCCGCATTTGTAACAGATATCATTTAGCTGCCGAGAGTCGTGGTACAACCACGGCACAGGCACAGGCACAGGCAGAGGCGATGAGTATGATTATTAACCTTACACATTGCATGGCTACCAGCTTTTCCTTCGTCTATTCCATGCCTACTTGATGCAGATTGAAGTTGTGCAGGTGATGATTGATATTGGATATCATCTTTTACGTATCAGGGCGGGGTGTCCCACATTCCCACGTTGACGGTGCCGCAGCGGAGCTCAAGGTCCTGCCTGCCCCTATCGCACGTGGTTGGAGCTGCGACCTACGTCACCGTCTCACACCAAACAAAAAGAGGTACCGTAAGGTAAGTACGTAGGTACCTACACCCTACATCGAAAGCCATCGAGAGCCATCGCACAGCAGTGACCTCACACTTCTGCGGACCATCACTACAAAACCTTCTTAGAAGTTTCCACGTCTTCTCTCAACAAACAACTCTGTTCTGCTCCCTGGACTCTCACCATACCACAACGCAGTACCACCTAATTCTTCACCACAATGGCTGAAACTCACCACTTCGACGTGCAGACACTCTTCGGAGTAAAGGGCTACGTGGCCGTGGTGACTGGAGGAGGTAGCGGCATCGGTCTCATGGCAAGCCAGGCCCTGGCTGCCAACGGAGCCAAAGTATACATCACCGGCCGCCGCATGGAGGCCTTGGAGACCGCAGCCAAGAGCCACGCGCCCACCAACGGCAACGGCGGCCAGATCATCCCCATCGGGCCCTGCGACGTCACGAGCAAGCACGACCTGGAGCGTCTGGTCGCCGACCTCAGCAAGAAGGAGAAGTACATCAACCTGCTGATCTGCAACGCGGGCATCTCGGGGCCCAAGGCCGAGCCCGAGCATGAGGAGGCCGACGATCTGAAAGCTAAGCTCTGGAACAACGAGGACTCCCAGGACTGGGCCGACAACTTCAACACGAATGTGACGTCTGTGTACTTCACCACCGTTGCGTTCTTGCCGCTGCTGCAGGCGGGTATTTCGCCGAAGGGCCCTCTTGAGCCTTATGCTGCGTCTGTCATTACTATTTCGTCCATGTCTGGCATTATGCGACATGCGCAAGGCCACTTCAGGTCAGTATAAGTGACTTCCATGTTTCTCGTAGCAGGCCTAGGATGTGTACATCATTCCGAGATCATCCACCCCTCCTCCGCACCTACATTGTCTGCTTTCCTTATTACAGCTGGACGCACCGAGAAGCCTTCAAACAAACAAATACTAACACGAACCAGCTACAACACCGCCAAGGGTGCGACGGTGCACCTCACCAAGCTGATGTCCGCCGAGTTCTCCAAGGCCAAGATCCGCGTCAACTCGATCGCCCCCGGCTACTTCCCCAGCGAGATGACGGCCAAGGAGAGCGACGACCGCCAGAAGAGCCACGTCCCGCCCGAGAAGATCCAGGAGAAGGGCCACGTGCCCCTCGAGCGCGCCGGCCGCGAGGAGGAGATGGGCATGACTGTCCTGTACCTCGCCAAGAACCAATACGTCAACGGTGAGATCATTGCTGTTGATGGTGGAGTATTGAACGTCGTCGCTGGACGCTAGAGCGGGTGAGGGTATGCGTATTCGGTGGTTCATTGTGGTTGAGTCAAATGGGGCACAGAGCATAGGCTATGATCACGACAGACTGAAGGAGAAAATTGCAGGATGGACTGCTGGAGGACGTTGCAGGCTTGCAAGGAGGAATGTGTATTCATAGGCTAAGCGTTCGGGTGTAGTCAAGGTCACCAAAAAGGAATCTTGAGAAATGAACAAAAGCTAAAATACCCCCAACATGCCACAATCAAATGCATTAATTCTAACCAGAACATTCAAATTCCGCAGGAGCTTTGACAACAAGTCAAGTCACTCACTACTCCTTCCCCTCCCAGACCTTGGCGAGAAAGCTCTCAGCCGAAGCGAACTCGTAGTCGGGGAAGAGCCGATTCATCTCGTCCGACGAATCCCACGCCCCCTTGGTGCTGCTCAGGAGGACGCCGACGCACACCGCCTTGAGCAGAGCCGATGCCTCCTCGTCAGACACGGCGTGGTGGACGGCTTCCAGGCCCCACGACGTGTTCAGCTCGCCGGCTTCGAGATCTTCGACTTTCACCTTCTCGATTTTGAATGGGCGTCCTGCGGAAGGGAATGCGTGTAAGTGACATCAATGATTCTAGAAGCTGCAAACCCAGGGATGGATGGATTCACGCAGAGTAGAACAGGGCACGCACCTCGAACCCTCTCCCCCATCGCAATAACCTGCGCAAAATTAAGTCTATTCCCTCGGACCCCGCCCGTCGCGGGCCACCGGCCACAGTCGTAGTCGACGGCGCGCGCGATGATGGCCGCGAGGTCCTTCACCGAGGTCAGGGTCATGACGGCGTCGTCCGCATGGTTGGCGACGACCAGCGCGCGGCGATTGGCGAAGTCGAAGATGGTCTGTAAGGGGGTGAGGTGCGCGGATGTTTGGTGTGGGAAGGCTAGATAGTCGAGGAAGAGACCGGGTTGGAAGAGGGTGTATTCTAGGACCTGGGGGGAGTCCCATAGAGGGGGGTATTAGTGGTGGTCTGTTGGCGTTAGGATGATTAATTGCGTCTTACGTTGGACTTGGCGTTGACTTCCTTCAGGTATTCCACGATTCTTCCTTTTCCGTACGTCCAGGGCATGTCAATCGTACTCTTGCTGTTTGTTCGTCGGGTCAGTTGCCGCCCACCAATACTCAAATCTCAAGCACTTCCACTTCGGTAGGGAGGTTTGGATAAATAGTTACCTTCCATACTCGCTCGGCGCGAAGCGTTTCACGCCCGCGCCGATGGCGGCGTCGATCAGGTTCCGCTGCGACTTCTCGCCCGGGTCCGAGAGCAGCTGGACGAACGACAGGAGTGTGTGTGTGCCACGAAGGGCTTCGGTCAGGGCTGGCTTGTCGTTGTAGTCTACGACTTGCCACTTGATTCCGGGTGCGGTGGTATTGCTAATGGGTTGGGCCTACGAAGAGAGAGAGGGTATCAGTGTCGGAGACTCATATGAGGCGGGCTTTGCGAGGCTCTTGCTTGCCTTCCTGCTCAGGATGGTGATCTCATGTTTGTTGGCCGCTACTAGGGCGTCGATGACTTCTCTCGCGACCTCTGTTAAGGACGTCAGCTGTTGTAAGTGGTTAAGGTCATGGCAGAGCCAAAGTTGACGTACGTCCGGAACCGCCGGCAATAGCTACTTTGACCATCGTGATGGATGCCTGTTATGTTTAGAGAGACAGAGTTTGGAGATTAGGTTCTTTCAACTGACGAAAGGTTATGGAAACTAACTGGGAAGAACATGAGAATAGAATATGAGCGGGCGGATTCTGGCTTATATAGAGTCTTCTCAGCCTGTCGGCCCCCTTCCGTCCCCTCGGTGTGGGTAATACCGTACAGGCAGTGCCCATCCGATTACCAGCTCGCGGGAACACAAGCGAACAGTAGTCCTGAGGCAAACGCAACCCATGATTCCTTCGGCCGCGGAGCAATTCACGCTGTTATTCTGCACCCCTGAACACCTCATTGCTTGACCAGGTCAACCGTCGACGGGTATGTGGGTCCGTGCACGGCAAGGGGCTCTTCTTCCGCCGCGGCGGTTGCGGTCGTCCGCAGCGGAGATAAGTTCAGCTCAAGTCCTACCAGGGTTTACTACTCCCTTCACCCAGCTTACAACCCGTCGCATGTTCTGCACGCATTATATCAGCTGTCTTGTCTTCCAGGACGGAGGAGAAGGTCGAAAGCTCGAGTCGCCGAAATGTCTGAAGTGGGCCGGAGCTGCGGCTCCCCCGCGGCGAGAACAAATCCATCTTCGCCCAAGAGACGGAAGATCCGCAAGGGCACGCAGAGCTGCTGGGAATGCAAGCGGCGGAAGACCCGGTGCAGCTTTGCCAAGTCTACTGCATTGGTATGTGATGGGTGTCGAAGTCGTCGCACCAAATGCGTCAGCCAAGAGTTTGACGACGAGAGGATCGACCGAATGGCATCACTGGCTGGGCAGTCAGTCAAGCGGAATGGTAGGGACGCGCCACACAACTTGAACCAGAGTCGTCCGGATCAAGAAGAGGGTGCAGAGCCGATAGTAAGAGCCATCGTCATTATCTGGTCTACCCCGTACTCATCTAATCGTGCGGGAAGTAGGGCGCTTTCGAGGGTAGTCCTCCCTCTGTTCTGCTCACGATGTCTGGTCTGGAACCAGGCGTCCAGGTGAATGGAGGCCTCGAAGACATATCCAGTGCTCTCCGAGCAGTTTGGCCTAATCAGCACGACCTCGATCTAATACTGAGTGTCCCGGTCGGTGTATCCGTGCTTCTTCACGGTGTGATGTGCATGCCATACTCAGCATTCGCCTCTGAGAAGCTCGCATCACCGCGGCACCTGCTGGAACTACCACCAGAAGGATCACATCCAGTCCACATCGCCAGAAGGCTCTTGATGTTGGGCACATTTCTACAGGGCATCTCTCCATCGTTCGCAGACAAGCTCGCTGACATGAGGTCGGAATATCGCAATCTCATGTCTCGTGTGGTCGACACCGCTACTAGGCTAGTGACAAGTAACGATGAGCTTGTCGAATCGCTGGAGGGTATCGAATGCGTGATGATCGAGAGCATGTATCTGAACAACGCCGGCAATCTCCGCCGCGCCTGGCTTGCAAATCGCAGGGCCATGGTCATGGCGCAGATGATGGGGTTGGGACTACCTACAGGCACAGGCTCCTTGGTCAAGGTTCTCGAGAAAGAGACCTACGATCGCATCGACCCAGAATACATGTGGTTCCGCATAGTCTCCTCGGATCGGTACCTGTCATTGATGCTTGGTCTTCCGCAAGGCACACTCGAAAACGTGTTTGCCAGTCCGAAGGCACTGGAGAATTGTATGAGCATGGAGCGAATGGAACGCATGATGTCCGTTGCCGGCCGGCTTATCCTCCAGCGGAACGGCGCCGAACGGACTGACATACAAGCGACGTACCAAATTGACAAGATGCTGCAGGAGGCTGCAGCGATGATGCCTCCGCAGTGGTGGTCGATGGCCCCTGACCTTACTGAGGTCTCCAACAATGATGCGAAGGCATTTCAGGAGACAGTCCGCCTCATGAACCAGTTCGCATATCACCACATGTTGGTACAGCTGCACCTGCCATACATCTTGCAGGCCTCATCCACAGCCTCGAGCTACGACTACAACAAGATGACTGCCGCTACTGCGAGTCGCGCGATCGTTGCCTTGTTCGTGTCTATCCGCAACTCCGTCCTAGCCAGTGCTTATTGCCGAGGCATCGATTTCGTCGTCTTCATCGCTAGCACGACGCTGTGTCTCGTGCACATCGAAGCTCGTCGGCAGCTCTTCAATGGCCTCCAACACCAGCGGTTAAGCGACCGTGGGTTGCTCGAGCGTACCCTCGAGATCATGGAGACGATGGCCGAGCAGAACCAGGACGTGATTGCTCGAGAGATCTGCGGCATCTTGCGACCACTCCTTGCTATCGAGGACAGTTCTGCCAAGGGTGGATATTATCATGCCAGTGCCTCCCCTGATGGTGAGAACCGGGGAGCGCGAGGTGTCAGCGGCGCGGGGGACGCCCACGATGTGCTGCGTATTGAGATCCCATACTTTGGTACCATCAGGATAGAGCATCGTCCCTCCCTTGGCTCCCCAATACAGGTGCCGTCAGACGAGCGTATCCAGAGCACATCTACCTCGCAAGCAACTGAGAACAGCCTTATTTTTCTGCGCGAACGAGCTTCATCGCCTAACCAAGAGCAGCACCATCTGAGACAAGGAGGACCGGCATCTGACCTTCAACCAGCGGGCTACGAAATAAGCACCACTGAGCCCGCTAACACTGACTGGCAATCCGTACCGTCACATGTTTCTGCCAACCTGGACCCGGATCTCCTGTCGTCCGATACTGGCGGTGATTACGAGCAGCTTCTTGTTCCTGGTCTGGAGGCAGGCATACACGACTGGGCTCTGCAAGGCGTGGATATGGCCTTGTTCAGTAGCCTCACGCAAGGCTCGGTAGACCCGACTGAGACGACTTTGTTGTCTGATATGTAGTGGTGGTCACATGCGAGCTTCGCGAGGAAAAGCGCTTGCGGGTGGCAGGGATCGTCTATGCATTAGGTACCTAGTCTGTCAGATGAGTTAGACCCTGGTGTGCTGTATTTGGGCAACCGCGTAGCTCGTTTTGATGAAAAAACATTTGATTGTTGCGTACCTCCTCGTGGGACGCAATGCTTCGTCGTCTCGCCTGGCTGGATCTTACCAAAGGGTAATTGAGTTGTCTTCGTATCTGCAGTTTGACATTTCAGATCAATCGTGCTTCCCGTGCTGATGGAAGACGGTTACTGAAACCTAGCTGTAGGGTCTTCGTACTATCCGCCCTAATGAGCACAGTTTACGAGAATGGATCATTCTGACCACAGTCTTATAAGAGACACCAGTGATACCGGACTATCAATTGATGGACTGCAGGCATTACCGACTTTGATGGTGGAATGTGACGCGGATTCTTGACCTGGGAAAGAGTCACCATGAAGAGTCAGAACGCACGGGCCAGCTGAATCTAACCTCAGTTATTGAGTCATCCGATCGACCACTCTATTCCTTCCACTTCACACCCAGGCAGGCCCGGTTTGCCTCAACTCCTTGGTTTTTCTTTGGCAATCAGGCGACATAGACACCTCATGTTGCCAGCCGGTCAACTGTTATGCCTAAGAAAAGACACCAAAACCTGTACTCGAAACCTCCGTCTACCGCCCCGGCATCACTGCGCTTGTCCTCGTCGTCGCAATCGACTTCAGGTGAGAGAGCTCCCAGCTGCCCCCCACCAGTGGACGTCAACAACATCGTGAAGAGACCTTTCTAACTTCAGACCGATGAATCAGAACACCATGATCGATCGGTCAACGAGATCCTCGCAAATATGCGACGGAGCAATCTGAACGGCAGCAACTCCCAGAACAACCACTTCCCTTTCACGACCCCGAGCGTCCCTCCAGCGATCCGCCACATCCTACAGATCCCCGAGACGCCCGCCCCGGTACCGCGGATAAGGGGTCCTCAGAGACGTGCAATCAATGGTCGGCGTGGACCACCTGGCCCGCCACCGCCTCGCAGCTGGGTCTCGCTTGCGCAATCTCGACACGCGCCACCGACCTTCAAGGCAGACATCGCGGGACGGGTCCAGAGCTGGCCGCTGTCGGGTGCCTATGCGCCTGGCGAGGGGACCTTAGTGGATATGGTGCTGCGACGCATGGCGTTGGACTGGGAGCAGCAACGAGACTGGAACAGGTATTACCTATATACACTACCGAGCCGGCTGAGAACAACGCTGCTGGGGCAGGTGGCCGAGCTTTACGAGCCCGGGGTGTCGATCAAGGACTTGCGTCTTGTTCTAACAGGTCCCTTCGAGGAAGAGCTCGCCAAATATGACGTTGAGAAAGTTGATGCTGGCAAGCTGAATGCGGATGTCTTCTACTTGGATCTGACCGGGTCTCTGGGGAAGTCCCTGACGCTGAAAGAGCTGAGCGAGCTGCTTCACCCTCCCAAGGCAGATCTGGAAGACGATATCCAGGAATCCTGGGACGAGCCAGAGCTGACGTCCGGCCCAGCACAGCTGCTGCCCAACCTGACGCACCTTTCTCTCGCTGTCGATCCCGGCTCCAATGCTGCGGTGTCTTGGAAACAGCTCCTTTCCTTGGCGGGCAAGATGTCTCAATTGACGCATCTGAATCTGGCCGGCTGGCCAGAACCCTCTCTGACACCAAATGCCAAATTCGCAAAGGTTACCTCATCGTCCACGGGACGAACTGTTCAGTACGGTGGCACGGGCCCATACAGTCATAACCTTGATGGTGACTGGTCGGAGGCAATAATGGTGCTAAAGCGCTTGAGCAAAGCTCTCTACGGTCTGGAGTACCTCGACCTAACAGGCTGTGCTGACTGGTCCCCGGCGCTGATGAAGGAGTCGGATGGGGACTTTACTATCGATTTTATTGACTGGGTTGGCGACTGGGGCAAGGTCGCGACGCTGCGACTGAACTCCGGCTACGCGCTTACCGACAATTCGTCGAAGGGCCAGATTATGCAAATTTCGGATTGGATCGACTCTGCGGCGGCAGTAGAGAAGCATATTAGGGCCCAGCGGTCCGGAAGAGGCCGCTGGATCACAGTTGAGCGAGATACTCTGCCTGATAGCGCGAAGACTATTGTAGAGAACGAGCGGCTTAGGGCGGCACTGGTCTCAGCAGCCTGGTAGGTACGATAGGCGAAGCATATGCAGAACCAGTAAAAAAACCAACAAGGTTAACTTCGCAATTTTGCGGTTCTTGGCGCATGATCTCGCGGTTAGGGAAGTCGTTTTCGGCGGAAGTTGCAGATGTATCAATCTCATCGGGCAAACACACGCGCCGTGTAGACTACTATTACGAGCACACTGAGGTCATATCTGAATAGTCCAGAACCGTGAGACTGCATAGGGGTCGGCTTAGATCACGGCCCTCTTGCTCAATGTGACTCATGCTTGCTTGCCCAAGAATTGCTACGTATGGATACCTTTCGTCTCATCTCAAACCGAAAGTCGGAGAGTTTCCGCCCGGAATGTCCGACGTTACGAGGCGGTCGCGGTGGTCACCCCCGGCCCTGATAAGATCTCCCACAACTGGATTCGCGCGCGGTGCAGCATGACTCATAGGTGCCAGCAATGGCACTCTCCAGGTATATGAGAAGGCATATAAATTCGCGTGAGATGTCCACTTCCGCTTAATATTTAATTGTCTACCTACTACCGTTATCTCCTTAAGCGCGATCAAAGCTGCGATCAAGAGAGATGGCGCAAGGATACACCCACGAGCCGGCCTATGAAACCGGCCATCTCAAAGTCGGCTCGGTTCACGAGATCTACTACGAGCAGTACGGAAAGAAAGATGGGCTTCCTGGTGAGTATCCAAGCGATATCCACGACGGTGTACAAAAGCCAGGAAGGAAGCTAACGAGAACCCTCAGTCATCTTCTTACACGGCGGTCCGGGCGGCAACACGAGCCCGGGGAACGCCAAGTACTTCAACCCGGCCGTATACCGGGTCGTGCTGATGGACCAGCGCGGGGCCGGCAAATCGCGGCCCAGGAACGAGCTCCGGGAGAACACGACGCAGCACCTCTGCGACGACATCGAGGCCCTGCGCGAGCACCTCGGCATCGCGAAGTGGCACATGGTATTCGGGGGGTCGTGGGGCTCTACGCTGGCGCTTTACTACACGCAGAAGCACGCCGACTGCGTCGGGAGCATGGTCCTCCGCGGCGTGTTTACGGTGCGCTAGTCCGAGATACGGTTTAAGGGCGAGCACGACCAGCCGGTACCCGCGGAGTTCTTCCCGATGGAGTGGGAGCGGTTCCTCTCGCACCTGTCCGAGGACGAGCGGCGCGGCGATCCCATGGAGGCGTACTATCGGCGCATCACGTCGTCCGACCCGGCGGTACGGGATCCGGCGGCGCGGGAGTGGAATCCATGGGGTATGTCGATCAGCGCACTGCGGCAGGATCCGGCCGACTTTGCCAAGCTGGATGATGAGGAGTGGTGTCTGACGCACGCGTTGTTCGAGTCGCATTATCTGTTCAAGCACAGCGGGTGGATGGAGGACGGCTATCTGCTGCGGCCCGAGAACATGGCCAAGATCGGGGATGTGGCCGGGGCTATTGTTCAGGGACGGTATGACTTGCTGTGTACGCCGAAGACGGCTTGGGAGGTGAGCAAGAAGTGGCCCAAGGCTGAGCTTCACTGGGTCGACGATGCGGGACATTCGGCTGGCGAGCCGGGGACTACGGCGAAGCTTGTCGAGGCTTGCGATTCTTTGGCGAAGATATAGGGGATATGATAGGACTGCCGAATACAAGAATCAACATAATTTAACGACGGAAAATGGGGTTACGTCTCTTGTCGGAATCCGACTCTCGCTTCCATGGCATCATGTGAGCTCAATGAGATCCTCAGCCGTGACTTGGCAGCTCTCGATTATGATAGTGTCTTCATGCTGCTATTGCCCGTGAGCCGAGTGGCTTGTCATCTTCGTCACATTGAGGCAATATGCCAAGTGACTCAAGGTTGTGACAGATTAGAAGTTGATAGGTTGGACGTCAATGTGCCAACGTGTTAGCCAGAGCCCAGCGACAGCGGCAGCTGAGAGCAGACAAAGGAACTAGCAACACCATATGCTGAGACTGTACGGTGTACCTATTTGGATAGCATGAGCAGACAATAGCCAGACCATGGTGTCGACATAGTAGTAATAATACCTTAGCATCTGATACCCAGACACGCCAGAATTATGGCAGGCGCTTCCCTGGAAGCTTGCGAAAGGGGCCGTTTCGAGAGGGATGCCAAGGACGGTGACGTGTGGCCGTCGCTGTTCCATCGTGAAGCTGACTCTGGTGGTTCTGACTGGTCGACAGGCCACAGAACCGGTTTTACAGGGTTTGATGGGTAACTATCAGATGACCCATAGAACACCACAGGGCTGGCGCCGGTACGCGCCTAGATAGCGCCAGCGGGGTCCGGGCTATGACACATCAGCCACTGACAGCCAATCAACGCGCCCAATCTCGCTCAAACTGGGCATATCCCAAGCTTGATTTCTGGAAGACCCCTGCCCCTCAGTAGCCGCCAACGAATTTCTGAAATTTGACTGACCTCCTTTGTTCTCCTACCTCTACCAGCTTGCGATATCTATCATGTGTCGGTGAGAGACGGTCTAACACCCACGGACCTGCGTGTGCCGAGACGGCGGTTGGTTGGCGGGTGAGTATGCTGTAACGGGCCAATAGACTATTTGGGGACTACCTTACTGTGCAATCTATCCGAAAGCGTCGAATGTTGCTTCGTTATTCACACAATCAAGCCAAGCCAGTCAGTCATTCCAGTCCAGTAAGTCCACCAATGCCTGTACGTCTGTTGCATCATGGCTGCCACTGTCAGGTTGGTTGGCCTCCATCGGCTTTTCTATAACACTCTATTCCTGTCGCTTCCTTTGTCTCCCAAGTTTCACCTGTCACATACCTACATATCTAGCTTTTCTCTGCCACGACTACGCTGTCGACTTGCTCTCTCTTCTTCTCTTGAGCAAGGCGAGACGACTGATCACTGAGCATACTTACCTGCATGCCTATCAACCCCAGAGGGAACCATAATACTATAACCCCAGAGGGAAACATCATCACCATGACTGTGAGAAGAGCTTCCACCTTTGCTGTGGTTATACCACTAGTTCTGTCCCTGGCAGGCTTCGTGCTGGCCATGTTGGCGCTGTTCGCTGGGACTGGATCTCAACAACAAGTTATGGAAGACTACCATATCATCGCGGTATGTTCCTGTCCCAACTCGAACCCATACTCTGCGCGATGTGTTACTGACGAGGGACTCTCTTTAGGTCAACATGTCCGACTTCGGCCACGATCTGATCGCATCAGCAGCAACCACTTCCACAGCCCCCGAACCGACAAAGACGGACGACGGTGGCTTCTGGAGCAGTATTGAGAGTGGTATAAGTGATATTGGACAAGATGTAAAGAACGACCTGACGGACATCGCAAATAATATTGCAAACGACGTTGCCGACAAGCTTGCGGACGCGATTGGCATCTCTGAGTGGTATAGCTTGCATATCATGACTGCCTGCGAAGGTGTCTTCTCGCCGAATGCGACGAACCCAGGCGCATGGTTCAATACCACCAACTGCACTGCGCAGGAAGCTGGGTGTATGTTGCCCCTTCACCCCTTCACGTACTTTTAAACCCGACACTAAGAAGCTCGCAGTGCACTTCAACCTGACTGAGCTCATTAATGGTGAACTGCAGGCCGGTCCCCTACACTTGAGTGCCGCCGATTTAAGATTCCCGCAAAAAGTACAAGATGCGGTCGACCTGATCAACGATACGCTCCTCGCCGTCTTCCTCTTCTACGTGCTTGGAAGCGCATTCACTGGCCTATCCTTCCTCGTCTGCATCGTCCTGCTCACCTTGCGCCCCGACATGTCGAGGCTCGTGATCCTGGCCAACTTGGCCATTTCAATCCTTGCCGCCTTGACACTAGCCATCGGAAGCGCCATGACGACCGCTGTCGCGAAGAAAGGTGTTTCCAAGATCAACGACGCAGGCGAGGACGTGGGGATATCCGCTGTCGAGGGGACAAAGTTCATAACCATCTCGTGGGTTGCCTTTGCGGTTATGTTTGCGTCCTGCCTGTTCTGGACAGCGACGTGCTTTCTACCGCGCAAGTCGAAAAACTATGGTGGAGAGAAGGGGCCGCGCACTAGCGCAGACAGTGGTCGGCCATTCTTGGCCATGTTCAGGCGACGACACTGAGCAACAGCTCAGAGGGGTATATACGTGATGATACAGTAGAGCGGAGGAACCTGAAAGGGGATCAAGGGCTCGCAAGAGTCCCTTATAACTAACGATACCACGGATGAAGAACGCAGCGTTTGGATTTAATACGATACCTGAGATAGCCTTGGTTTAAGCCTAATTGGAGTTGGATAGATTACCTCGTGGGACGCTTTCAACAGTCTCGCTCTTCTACGTGTGCCGGGAATCCCATTGGAAAAGGGAGGGCTGGCAGAAACCTGGTGCTGCAGTCGCGGATCTCCTCGGATACTTCCACAGGACACCCAACCCATGAAGTATGAACAGTTACTCGGAAACAAGTCTCCTCGGCACCACGCTTCTTAGTGCACGGTCCGCAGAACTGTTTCGTCGCTGTTGGAGCGCTAGGCGCCGTCGGCATGGGCGGGGACTCGGGCGGCCTGGTGGACCCCTTCGGCATCGAGAAAGGCCCCGTGGGGAACGGCGGCACGGGCCCCGAGAAGGCCCACTTGGGCGACATGTCAACGCCGCCCTCCTTGTAGTCGGCCGAGCCGTTGATCCCGCCCGTCGCCCACTTCATTGACAGAGACCGAGACCGAGACGACGATTCACTGCCTGCGATATTGCGCTTCTCACGCAGCTCGGCGGCCTTCATGGCACGACGCAGCGCAGCCTTCTTGATCATGGCCTGGCTCGCGGCACTGAGGCTCACCATTTTCTCTGGAGTGGACGTGACGATGGAGTCGGGAGAGGCGGGGAAGTGGACAGAGACACTGCACGAAGAGACGGGGGTCTCTCTAATCTCATTCGAAAAAGTAGGCAGTGCGTTGCAATGTGCCAAATTTCTGAACCGGGGGAAGTCATGGGTAGTCACTACATTCGAGTTACATCCAGACTACCCCAATCACCCGGGCAAGCCTTGTTACAAGTTGGTATGCATTTCATAGTCACATCATGATCAACGTGTGTGAGCGCAAAGATGTAAGAGCTACGCAAAATCATATCTCAACAGCGACCATCAACCGGAATGACAACAATGAGTTCACCGGTCTAGGCCCAGCGATTCGAATAATCCTATACTTTAATAGCTTGAAAATGCCATTATCTAGCTCCCTCAAAGGAATAAAGAAAGAGTTGATTGTTTTCCACCACCGTCGAGCACAAAGCAGCATCGCAAGCGTCAAGACATAAAGCCACATCCGCCCCGTGCCATTCCAGTCAGCCAGCAATCCACAAATCAAAATCATCAGCATCAACTCTCAGGAAGGTAAGTAAAATCTCAGCGAAGGCAAACTAACAGCAGTAGGAAAGAAAGTAGACAACATGGCCGCAGTAAGAATGACACAAGCTTCCCACCCAGCCCCCTGGGACACCAAGCCCCACCACCAGGAAGTCGTCAAGCTCTCCTACAGCCTAATCAAACACGGAGCAGAGAAACCCCCGTCGCGGAAGACGTATTTCATAGAAGACGACGGAAGAATTGTAGAGACGGGCCTGCAGTGGCAAGTGACCACTCGCCACAGCGACGACGACTTCGACGACAGCGACGAGGAGACACTGGTCGCAGCAGACGACAGCGGAGCGGCCTCGCCCAAGCCCGACTTCAACTCCAACGCGAAGATGGACGAGATCAAGCGCAAGCTGCGCGAAGACGACCTCAAGTTCATGGCCGAGGTCGGCCTGTCGGGGGAGGAGTTCGCCGAGTACATCGCCCAGGCGGACTCGTTTGGCAGTGCTCCTTCGACGCGGTCGAGTGGGACTCTAGGTGCGGAGTGGGGTGACTATGAGGATTACGAGGATGGGGATGATGGGGATGATGAGGAGTCGGTCTTTGAGGTTGGGTATGATGACGAGGCTCCGCTGGCGGAGGTCGTTGATGTCTACCTTGAGGATTTGTCTGCTCCTGTTGAGGTTGTCAGTGAGGTTGAGTTGCCGCGCCCGACAATGCGGGCGTCTGTCGAGGTTGTCGAGGGTGTTGAGGACCTTGAGGTTGTCGAGGCTATCCAGGTCGCCGAGGTCGTCGAGATCGTTGAGGCCGTCGATGCCGTAGATGTCGTCCATGTCGTTGATGTAGTCGAGGAAACCGACTTGCTCGAGGAAGTCCAGTTGAGAACGGAGGGGCCCGTGGAATCACCTGTGCCCGAGAAGAAGACGTCCTTCTTCGGGCGGGTGGTGCAAAAGGTGGCCAGCAGGCTCGAGAACGCCAATGTGTCTAGCGCTTTGGAGAGGGCGAAGAAGGTGAAGAGCGCGTCGTCAAAGTGGGCAACGCGTTTAAGACCTCGGAAAGGATAGGTCTGGGAGGTAGTGGTCATGGTCTCCTATCGGTAGATCTCTGTGCTTGAGGTTTTTGTTTTATTTTGTTTATAAGTTACTAGCATGGAGAGGTACGCTTTAGTTGACAGGATGGGACAATGAATCATGACCTTAGATATGCTTAATTCGTCAGTAAATGTGACACGTTTATCGATCAGCACCTGGCTACATTGCGCTATGCTGATATATCAGCACAGGTGCAACGCAACTCATGAGCCCAGTCCTTCCCCGTCGAAGTGTGGACAACGCGTCCAAAGCCTTTCGTCATTCCCAGAAGTATCTCGGCAATTTCAGACGCCTCGCGTCGCACGGTGCCATCTTGGGGGAACAGGGCGAAGAAGGTGTAGAATACGACCTTGTGCGCCTTGACGCCTTCGACTCCGTCCCAAACCGGCTTTAGATCTTTGCCACAAGCGGCTTCGATGATTGGCCGGCCCTTCTTGAACAGCTCTTGCAACACCATCCAGCAGACGCGATTCAGGGATATGTAGTCGAAGGTCTGCTCCAGTGCCTCGGCGTCAAGGGCCTGCGCAAGCCGCAGAAAGGGGTTGTCAGTCTTGGAGGAAGCCGCAGAATTTTTATGACTTTGATAGTCACCAGCCTTGGCCCAGCCGTGATGGAAGCAAGGCCTTACAGCTTTGCCTCCGTACCAACGCAGCTTCGTCTCAGCCATAAGTTGCTCCAACTCGTTCTCACTGATCCCTTCGACATCGCGCAACGCGAAGGCGTCGAAGATTTTCGTCGAGACTGGTGCGCCGTATGAGAGGTTGGCCTTGGCGTCTTTGCGAATCGCAGATCTTCTTGTGTAGCGAGCATCGCGGGCAGATCCGACGGTGGAGCCTCCTGCGGCGAGCATCAAGCTTTTCAGGTACTGGCCGCGCCTCGGCGCTTCACCCAACCACAAGTCGCCTCGATGCAGGATAGAGAAAGCTTCCATATCAGGCCAGCTTCCTTTCGGAAGCAAGCCCTCCTCCGTGGAAGCGAAATACAGTCGAGCGCAGGATTTGGGTAAAATCAAGGAATTGGCCATTGTCATCCCGTGGGCATAGAAATTGGCTCGAAGACAATGCAGCCACCATCCACTGAGTGGTAGATTGTGTGTTAGCACCGTGTAATCTTCGCCTTCCGGAGGCATGTTCGAAGAATCCGCCGTAAGGCCCTGAACCTGTAAGCGAAACTTGGCGACTGGGTCTGGATCCCGCCAGAACTGGGCTGATCTCTCTACTTCATCAGCGAAGGATGGCCCAGGTAGTTGCCCAAGGGCGACAGACCCAGCAGCGCTCTTGTAGAAGTCCCGCGTACCCTTGCAGGATTTGAAAATACGAGCGGATATGTCTCGGAGCTCCCGCCCAGGACGGGCGACGATTCTGCCCAAAGCGTGGACCGAATCGAGCAGCAGCTGAGTTGCGAAAACCATCCGGAAAGTGATATTGGTTTCACGAGTAGGGAAAATCATGCCCTCATGTTTGAAAGCATCTTCAAAGCTCCATGGGACTAACTCTTCGATGGCTATCGATAGCCCATCCAGTTTCATCCCCACACGCCGGTTCAGAAATATCGCGAGAATCTGTATATCGACGACTGCTTTGCAAGCGGTCACTTTGTCTTGATTGTATCTCTCGCGGTTTGACATGTTTTGGCGGTCATCGCTTGGAACGAATGGTCCCCATTTGCCCTCGTAGGTGTGAACGCCCCCACAAGTATTCCAAGCCACGACCTCGCTTCCCAGGGCTTGCCAGGCGAAGAGCATCTCCTCCTCCGCAATATCGAAGCCGTCGATGAATGATCGACTTTCGGCTCCAGGAACAGTCCCCCTTCGATGTGCATGCGAGCGAAACGTGCATCTAGTTCCTCTTTGTTTGCCGCCGTCCCAAGATATCGCGTCGTGAAACTGGCTTTGGACATATTGCGGTAGCCTACGTGTTTGTCGAAAACGGGTTGGAAGTCCTGCTCCAGATTCCGCACCACGTGGATGGCCATGTTGTGGGCGGTGGCAACACTCGCGAGGTCCAGCTCATCCGCTCGGTACAGTCCCCAGAGCTGGGTGATCTGGTTTCGAATACGCTGCACATCCATGTTGAACAGGCGCCATTGGAACAAGGCCTCTTCCAGGTCGTCTTTCCAAGGTTCGAAAACCACATCATCTTGGACGTGTTTCGTGAATACGCCGGGTTCTGTAGTTACTGGCTCATCGACATTGCGGTCGTCTTCTGTTGTTTCTTGCAGCGTCAAGCCAGCGAATCTATTGACCGCCTGTACATCTGGGCTGACAGGTGTCTTGGGGGCTGTGGGCGTGGAGACGGAACTGAATGTACGTTGGACTTTCTCCAGCTCGTCAATGAAGTACAGGTGTGTCTTATCTGAGACGGTCTGTCTTTAGTGGTCGTGGTAGGCCTCCATTGCTGGAGGTAATCGCCATGAGTGGTCCTGTCACGGATGGCACGTTTCAGGAAGGCGTACATGAACGAGGGCATAAATACATTGCTCCTGAGTGATAGAAAGTCGGCCATGGCTCTGAAGTCAGCGGTAGTCATCGTACGTCTCTTCGGGGCGCCGCTGAAGCCATAGGCCTTGGACATGGCGGACAACCATTGTGCCACTGTGTCGGTGTCCTCCTTGTACTGCGGGCGCAAAGCTGCATGCCAATCCAACACTGAATCTTGCCAATCATTAAATTCAATTACAGTAGCTACCCTTAATAGGAAATGATGTGGCTCCTCAACCCATTTTCCAGCCACATAGCTACTTCTGGGATGGGGACACCACCCATCCCTTCTTTCAATCAAGCAACTTCCAGAATACAGACCAATGGCCACCATTCGTGACCCTGGTCCTTATTCTGGATACCGCTACCACAAGGCACAAATAGCTATTTTTGCAGGTAGACCACCACGAAGGTATCACGCCTTCAAATCCCTGCGAAAACCGACCAGTCCCAACCAAACGAGCTAAAAACGCCCACGCCACTCGCTCCACCACGGAGCCTGAGAGAGCTGCAGCTGAAGCCAAACGCCAGCGACGCGAAGAGATCGCTGAGATTTTCAACGAATCCATGAACAAGGTGGTATGGTCTGAAGTCCTCCCCTGGGAGGAGATCATCACCAAGGTGACAACACCGAGCATAGAGGCTCAAGACTAGCACAACCAGAAGCTTGAGGAGTTGGTTACTGACCTCAAGGATGCCCTGGAGGCATCTGACGAGAAGCACTCAACCAGATTTGATCAACTCAAGCACATTATCGAGGCTGACAAGGCTTCACAAAAAGAGATTAATGACCAGCTTGCTCAGATGATGAACCTCCAAGGTCAAATCTCTACCCTGCTCACTACAAACGGGATCAAGAAAACCAACCCAACCCGTGAGGATGATGCCTTTCTATTCTTAATAGTACCATCTGAAGACTTCAAGAGCGAACGCCTTGCCAACGGCCGACTGAACCTCTAACGATTACCTTATAATTCACGATTCAAGAACCCCCAGGAGAAGCGTGTCAAGTCGGCGTGGAACGAAGCAGTGCTTCAGGAGGAAGCAGACACCTTCCAGAACATCTCAGAGAAGAACAAAGTTGTACTTCCTTCTAAACTTCGTCTCCAATGGGCGAATGAAGAAGTCTTGAGCAAGTTGTCAGCTATCCAGGACTGTTTTAGAGCCGTATTGGTACCATACGAGCACTGGGCACAAAGAGTGGCGATCGAGATGTCTAGAGATTTTCAGCAAATCGCCATCTTTGCTCGCACTGGTTCAGTGAACTGGGTTACCTTGTTGGAGGCCATCTTCCAGGTCCTGGCAGATCATCAGGTTCTTTACGGATCTATGGTTTCATTCTTTATGTTACTACTGATACAGAACGAGAGTATGCTGAATTTCACCAGACGGATGAGAGAAGCCTGGTACAAGCTGCCAACAACTTACCGCCAAGGTGTGATGAACAGAGAGGGCGTGATCAACCTCCTTCGTCAGTACACTCCGAGTATCTGGATGATGATGAAGGACAATAGCGGCAACTGGTCGACCACAGAGATGATTGAGCAAGCTGTCACGCGCAGCCAGATGATGGCTTGAAGCGCTATTGAAGATCATATCTTCACAAAACCATCTGTAACAGTACAACTTCAGGGACAGTCATCTCCTTTCTATAATCTAGACATCTTTGAAGCCACACCCACGAAACCAGGAGTGCTTAAGATCGAGCCTGTTGATGCTCGAACCACCCATATCCCCAAGCAGATCATTGCAGATCCTCGCCTTGAGGATAACCAGGTGAACTCAACCAGAGAGGATTCAAGATACCCGGCTTCAGAGACCGATAAGTGCAACAACTGCGACAAACCAGGGCACTGGGTGAGAGACTGCCCTCACCAGAGTACGCAAGTGACGCGTTTTCGGCGCTCCCAGTCACCTCGCACCCCGGCTCAAGGCCATGTTGACAAGGTCACAATCAGAGGCACGATGACGAAGGAAGACAGATCTCCCATTGACTTCAGTAGACTGAAGGGCAAATTAAGGGGCTGGAAGTCTAGGTCCAGTAACAACATTCGACCATCTACCCCTGCCCGACTCAACAACCCCAAGAAGGTACATTACTCTGACAGTGTGGATATGTACCAGCCTGAAAATGACGACAGAAGCAAGGCCGAAACCCTTGCGGATGAAGATAAAGACGACCCCATCTTCAATAATATCATTAAGAGGATACTAGATGATGAAGATGACCAATAGGGGAGCCGCGCACACTTCGTGGCAATGTGTGAGGGACATAATCCGCCACCCATACCTCTGAGACCTCTCAGAGAAGGCTATGACCAACATCATCAGGTCTACGCAGCCAGATTGAACAACAAGACCCCATTCATGGTCTTCATTGATAATAGTTGTTCTGGCTGCTATATAGATCATGAGATCGCCAATTACCTGAAGCTGTATCCAAGCCAGAAGCCAATCACAATGACCGGAATTGGCGGTCAAGGACCTCGACTCGCACAAGATGTGATTGTTGAGGCAACATTTCGAACAATTTCAACACCTTCTGGCTACAGTGCGCCATTTCAGGTCTCAGCAGGCCTGGTACCCAACGGCACTTTCCCTGCCAATCTGACGATCGGCAGGACCGTTTTCCATCTTTGGGGCTTCCATTTTGGCAATAAATCGATCATTTTAACCAACTACCCATTGTCTCCAATACTTGAGCCAATACAACGAGAACAAGTGCACCTTTCCTCGGAACCTGCGTACAAAGCAGATGAGCCCGTCAGAGAAGAACTAATCAAAGAAATCAAGGTTAAATAGAGTCACCAAACCCCTACAGACAACGCCCAGATCAACGAATACCTGGCGTCATATGAGAGGGATTTTCCTGGCTTATTTGGCCCTGCTAAACAACGTACCAATGTCCTTGCAAAGACTGTACACACGATCGATACTGGAGATTCTCCACCAGTGAAGCTACCCCCAAGACGATACAGCCCTCCGCAAGTACAAGCTATGAAAGACTTCGTCAATAAGCATGAGGGCAAGATCATACGGAAAGGCAAAGGTCCATGGGGAGCGCCAGCACTGTTGACACCAAAGAAGGCACCTGTGCAGACTACGATACCCACAAGGTGTCACAATGCCTGCGGCGTTGTGTGGGAATTTGATGTTGTATTCCGAAAATAACAAGGTGGGGAAGGAAAGGAATCAAGGAGTGTATGCACCCGAATGGCTGCAGCACATATGGTGGTGTCTTTCCTTATCTAATCTACACGTGACCTGATGACTCAGCATCCAACCAGGTGGATACAGGTGCTGGACCGTCACAGCCGCAGGCATCGTGACACCTGTGATGGTTCCACCATCAGTGGTGGCGACGGTCCCCATGGTCCCCGGGTCACGTGACATAGCACGTGACTGATCGGACGACAGGTTGTTCCACCCCTGGTGGGGGACGACCGCCCACTTCTAGCCGCCCACCAATTTAGGTGCGTTTCTAGATCTTTCTTTTCCTTCAACCAGAGTCCGTTATACGTCGATAGTTAATAAGGGTCTCTGTACCCTTTCAATACATTTACGGAATCGTGACAGCGCCGGTTAAATATTACGCATGAGCGACTTTAGCGCTTTTGATTGATAATTTTTCTATATTTCTCTGGCCTGAATGACTTTATTTATATGTGGGTGAATAATGGGTTGTTTTGGTGGCGAATGCGGGGTTTTGCTGTACGAGATGCGGGGGTGTACGAGATGTATGGGGGGATGGTAGAGCCCTGCGACTTCAGGGCCGGATCCGCTCGAATCTCCGTGCTATATATGACCTTGGAAGCTCTTGTCGTAAGGCTTCAACGTGCTCTTGTCACCCGTCAGGCCGGTGGCGTAGCTGGTTGTGCCCTTGAATATGAGCTGGTAGGTCGCTATCGAGGTGGCCAGGAATCCGATCATGATCTCTATGTCGCCCAGAAATGCTGGTTCCAACGACGCGCGGATTATTGTCGAGGAGCAGTTTAGTGAGTTCCCTCGTACCAGTGGCTGAGCATCAAGGGATGAGATACTAACACACCGCTAGGACCTGTGCTCCCTGTGATGAAGTGGTCAGACGAGACCGACGTCATCAACAGGGCGAACGGCACCGAGTTCGGTCTTGGGGCCTCTGTCTGGAGTAAGGACATGGCACAGGCTGAGCGCATAACGAAGCAGCTCCAGGCCGGCAACGTCTGGATCAACAGCCATGCGAAGATCCAGACCAGCACGCCGTTCGCGGGACACAAGCAGAGCGGGCTGGGTGTGGATATGGACATTGAAGGCCTCAAGGCTTACTGCAACATCCAGAGTGTGTATACGAGACTGGCTGGTGGCGCCGCACAATACTGATAGAGTGGTTGTGCATGAAGACTGCCATGTGGGAAGGGGAAGGGGCTGGGCACCTAAAAGCGCGAGATGATCGGCCTCGACGAGCCAGGCAGTTGTAGTAAGGAACAGCTACTAACTCTCTGTGGCTCATTGATAAATGGGCTGAACACCGTGCTTGTACGTCCAGTGAAGTCAATACCGAGGTGGTGAGCGCCTTATCGCGATATCAGGCGGTTTAGACGTCAGATCTCTACCATGCCCTGGGTGTCACCTCACTACATCTTTCGAGTTTAACAGCGAAGTTTTCTCACACGAAGTATGCAGATCTCTCGTCCCCTGGCTTCATCTCGACGGTGGGCACGAGCTGGCGGTTGTAAGCGTCGCGGGCGAGCTCGACGGCCTCGAAGAGGGCCTGCAGGCCCTCGTCGGCGCCGCTGTCGAAGTACTTGAAAACGGTCTCGGGTATGTCGAGCGCGTCGGCGCTGCTCAGGGTCACGGTGCCGGCGGTGTTGCGCGGGTGCGCCTTCAAAATCGCCCACGAGATCTAGTCGTGCTCGCTGGTGGCGTTGATCGAGTAGCCGGGCCAGTAGCCGCGGAACTCGACGGGGCCACCGAGCACGAACACGTCGTAGCTGTCGTCCGGCCGTTACACTGCTCTTGTGCAGCATTGTCGCGGAAGACCGGCTGACGAGTAGACTCCGCGGTCGCTGAGGCCGGGGTTCTCCCATCGATCGATTCATGGGTTGTCCTGTCCGTCGAAGCTCCACGTGCAACACTCGAAAGCGGTCCAGTTACACCGAATTTTAGCATTGACTGAGATCTCGTAGTGGTCCGGGAGATGGGTAGCGACGCCGGGCAGGTCGGCGACGACGGAGATGTCGAAGGACTCCAGCTCGGCCCGGGACGACAACTTTAGCAGCTCCGGTGGGTTATACACAACACCAGAAAGACTTCGCGCGAAACAGTCGCGGAGCCGGCCCCGCCAGGGTTAGGGTTGGGGTTGGGGTTAGCACTGAAGCGGCTGCGCTGTACAAATGAGCGGCATCGAGAAGCTCGGCTCCTGTGGCGGTAGGAGACGTAGTTCTCTCATCGAAGACAACATTGGTGACGTGGCAGTTGAGTCTGACGTCCAGGGGGTACAGCTTGTTGCCATCGTCGTCGACAGCATCACGGACGGCGATGCCGAACTCGCGAGAGGCCGGAGGATCTTCTTCATCCTTAGATCAATCCGGGGTGGGGGCATTAATCCGAGGAGCCGCAAAGGCAGTCGGGGCTGCCAATCTCCGCAATACTAGGAACTATTTTGGTATATGATGCTGACGAACTGATTAGTAACCTGCCGGCATGCTATGAGACGTTCTCGGTCGAACGGCATTACTCTGCTCGGTACCGGTACTGACCTTGCGCTAGAAGACTGCGAGACTATCGTCATTGGTGCTGTCAAGCGGTTCCAGAGTAGTGCAGGGTAAAAACGGAGATGTGCCGAGATCGCTAACCCATCCGACCCTGCCCTGACACGCTACGGTCGACCCCGTTAGCTCATGTACAAGCAGATGGATCAGGATTTGTTCAGGTGAGACCTACCAGGGTCTAGACATAGTGCTTCGGTAGCCACCGGTAGAAGTTAAGGAAGTATTCTTCTTCGGGAAGAACAGTGCTCTGTTTTCTCGCTTGTTTCCCTTGGTAACCAAAGCGCCGGGCATTCCGCGCGTTCCTGGCCCGGTGCTTGGTAAGTTTTGGTCAACAGTTGAGACGAAAAGCATCATCATCGTGGACACAGTAACCTAGAATTATGGAGAAAGCCCGGATACCATGATCTCCGGCCCTTCTGGATGAAAGCAGAAGCGTGAACGTGATGCGTCTTCCGAAAAGAGTGCCAGTATCAGGCTGGCGGGTCGCCGCGTTCGTTTGTCACTCACGAGGTGTAAAGGGGACCAGAAGTTCAGAGCGCAATGGGTCTTAAATTATGACACCATGGAGGATCTTCACGCGAGGTTCCCGTCGTCCGGTAGCTTGCAGCACTCTGATGGTCTAAGTTAGGACATCATATTGAACCTTTGTGATAGTTTAACTTACCATGCTGAATAGACGAAGTCGCACGTGAAGGTTTCGTGCGTCGGTCGCGAAGTTGGACGGGTATTAGCTTAGATGTACAAGTCATGTTGATTAATAGTGGCTGGAAATGCAGCAGTACTCAAAGTCATAGAAAGTGGCTATATGAAAGATAATCTACTTGCTGTCTTGATTCGACTGTAGAAAGCTTCTAGGAACCGCCGGGGACAGCTCTGGCCGTAGCGCCTCTATGCTGTCACTGTCACTGGTCTCGTTTCTTGGCCTTGTGAAGCTCGATTTCCCCACCTGACTTGATATTGACTTCGGCTTCTCCGTGCACGAGCCTGATTCGATGGACTTAGAGGTCACCTCGTAAGTCCGTCCTTGAGATATCGCCCCTGGCAAAGGGCCATCGCGAGCACCAGGACTGCCAAGCCCAGCCTCACACCTGACTTCATAGACGGCCGTCAAGTCGTATTCATCTTTCGCGTCCCTGAAAACGCTTTTGTTGAGAGTGTTGAGGATCAGTGCATTTGCAGCGCTTTGACTGCCTCGACGCCGGCTGATAGGTCCTGAGAGACTGCCAAGGTGAGCAGATGGTCCCTTATACCCATCGCTGGGACCCGTAGGCCTTGTGGTTATGCCCAACTTGTAGCCGATGAGCTTTATCAAGGGACGGAGAGTCGCAAGACTGGCCGCTGAGATGGCAAGGCCCTGCTCGACGGTCGACCATACCGCAATATCGGCGGTAGCCCAAAGATAGTCGGGACTTCGAAAGGTTGACATGTAAATGCAACGGACGATGACGGCTGAGCTGGCACTGCAGGACAGTTAGTATGCTTGAACGCCCTCGGTATGAAGTCGCACAAAAGGTGGAAATGAGACTTACACGCATCCCATAGCCAGCAGTGGGATCAGCGCGATCTTTGTTCTGGCTTTCATGTTCAGGTGCGAGATGATCCACGCCGGCAGCAGTGCGAAGGTAAAATCGGTGATGATACTGCAGACGCTGTACAAGTACCCCAACGCCACGATTACTTCAACGTTGACACACGTGCCTGATTGTGTGTACTGGTCCCAGAAGTAGGAGACCGGGTAGCATTGGAAGACGGTGACAAAGAAGAATGCCATGCACGTGACAAATGAGATTGCCATCGCACCCCAGATGATCCAAACATGGATCCTATAGGCAGTGACGCGCAACAGGAACAGTGCGATGGAAGCTTTGGACAGGATCATGCTCCAACAGTATGTCAGATAGCAAAACCACCAGAACTAGGAGGGTCAGTACATGGCGCCAGTGTCAGGACCAAGCACTTTGCTCACCTCTCTTCCTTTAGCATATCCCTCCGTAGACAAGTCCCATTTGTGTCGTCCGGTACCGTAGTGAACACCCGAGATGGAGCATACGCAGTAAGAGACGAAGAACGTCTTGTATCTGTCAGCAAGCGATCCCAAGTCCGCCAGGCAGAGGAGGTATTACAGTTGCAAGCAACATTGCCCAGTCATCCAGCCCGAACCTCTTCACCATAAACACCCGGACATAGCATCGCAAACCGACAATGGTAACCGATATGACGAGGAATGCGATGTTGATGGCGTCGAGCAGAGGCCCACGATCCTCGATCTCTTCCGCCATCCTGAGGCCCTGAGGGAGGCCGTGGTCGACGTGAGCTGCTAAGTCTTCTCCGAATGTCGTCTGGATTTCCCTAGAAGGCAGCTTTGAGTGAGCCGTGTATAGATCTAGCCGGCGCGGGAAGGTTTCGAGTCGTGATGTCGAGATCGCATCGTGCTCGCTAAATTCCAGACGGTAGGTGCCTCAACTAATATGATAAGCTCGAACCTGCTTCGCTCCCAGCAGGCCCGGTCAGGGGTACAGTCCAGCTTGTTCATGGGGACTAGGACTGCCTGAGCGTTGCCCAGAGCCGAGGCTGGTCGGCGGCGGGGCATGGCCAGTGGATGGTGGCTGACGTCAAAGAACGACCACTGCAGGCCTACCTAGCGCTTATAGACTACTATTGAACCTTAAATTAGACGAGCGCTATCATTGCTAGCAGCAACATTTGGCATTGGAGCTGTTAGATAGTCGGCTGGCTAGTTGACGACCGCGCGTAGATGCCGACTAACACTCGCGGTACCACGTGTAGCAGGGAACTAACACGAAAACCTCGACAGTATGGGCCTCCTATTTCTTGATGGATAATCTGCTTTGACAAGCGCGCGGCTTCGATCCGGACAGACTCCCTTCACTCCCATGTTTTCAACCCCATCTGCGAGCGTGCTCTACCCACCACGTTGAACCGCAAGCAGAACTTCCTCGAAGTGGCAGGATTGCGTTCCCTATTACCTTCCAGAACGGTCACGGAGAATCACTAGCCAGAGAAACCCAGGTTCCAGAGGCTGGGCCGCTGGGGAGGCCGGTCCAGGCCTCGCTTGACAGAGGCGCCAAGTGGGCATCGCGGCTGCGCGCCGTCCGGCCGTCGGCCGCTCACATTGTCTCTAGCAACTATCCTAGTTAGAAGCTCTGCCGAGGTTCGAATGCCGAGGTTCGAATACCGAGGTTCCACTATCATGGAGCGATTCACCTTTGTTCGGCAGATTGACAGAATCACCTTGGTTCGGCTGTTTGCTTGTTCAATCAAGTCATCCTCGTGTTCGCCGTTAACATACCCGTAAATGATGAGGATAGCCACTAGTAGCGCGCCTTACACCTTTAACATTGTAAACCAGCGTAGATATCATCATGACATAAAGATATATACACACCTTATACATATTAATTTGTGTCATCATCTTGGTATGTCGACATCGTCAAGGGATATATGACTTGCTGTGATATGGCTGTGCTGAAATCCACCCACCTTGATAACCGGGGTGTAGAGAGGATTACTGGGTACCTGCATTACACTACATCTGCAGGTACGTGAAACACTTGGAAGACGACGACTATCATCGACAAGACGAAAGCAGCATAGCCCGTGCCAAGGGAGCCGAGGCAACAGCCGGTCGGCCGGCCGTACGGCAGACGGCGCATACCAGGAAATTGTATCCCTAGCGGACGGAAACATGGAGTACCTATCAACTGACAGAAATCTTCAGGGGAGGACGGCCAGATTAGAAGACGCAAGTAATGTTGAACAATCTGTAGGGAATAGGCCAATTGTATGTTTGGGCATATTGAACCGGCCAGCCAGCCCAGCTCGATTCCCAGATAGTGGAATGAACGTAGACACGCGGAGATTCTGCCTCCACCAAAAGGTACAAACAGCCAGTTCATATTAAATCAGCGCTATGTGTCATACATTAATCTTAGCTGCATAGTTCCATACTCGATCATATCGTTTTACGTTAGCAGCTGTGGGTCTGAGTATATTCATGACTCGTATGATGATACTGTCGGTGATTACTTCGAGACATCACGACACCGCGGATGTGACCAAAATAAATGTGACTTAGGAGGCCATAACGCAAATCCATACTCGTGAGAGTGGACTACTATGTAAACAATCGTCATTTAGATACGAGATCTCAAGGACGCAAACCCATAGTACAGACATAACCCGATGTGAAGTAGTGGACGGCCTTCGGCGTTATGGTTAGGTCTAGAATTGTCAGAGACACTAATAACTCGACCCGGTAGCTTGGTTTGAGCCTAGCTGGTTCGGCGGACCGGAAGCGGTGCGGTGTTCCGTGACAGGCCAGACCCGAATCCGTCTGGCTGGTTCAACGGCGGCGAAGTACGTAATACGAAATCAGGTTGACAAATTCGGATGGCGTTCCGAAGATGTATCAGATAGGCATCTTCCGTCAGATTACATATAACTAGTCGGTTTGAACCTCGTTGTCTTGCCATTGCGAATTTTATTCGAGCTCTTGGCCGTCGTTTCGTTAACCATTAATAATCATCATCTACCCAATTTCATGAAACTCTTTGAGTGCTACTATCTCCAACGAAACCCGTCTCACTGTGATCACGACCCGGGTGAAAGGGATGAAAACATTGCAATACTTACATGATGAACAGAACGAAACACTGAGAAATGGGGGAAAGATGTCAACCTTGCCTCGAAGGTTTGGTACTTTACTGTTTAAGAGTTTCCGAGCGGCCTACCCTATGTTCATAAATGACGCATGGTAACTGCTACAAAGTCCGTCCACTGCCTTCATGCAGTAGCTTATCATATCATAGTAGATTCTCTTATCCTAATGATTGTCTTGCGGGCTGTAAGTGCAACACGTACCAGCTAAGCAAGAAAAGGGGGCAAGTTAGCTTGTTTGGAGAAAGACTAATGTCAGTATTAGTCAAGCTATCATGGGTTTCCCTCTGGTAAAAGAAGCATTTACAACCTCCACCTCCAAGGTTGGCTTACCTATACTTGCCGGTACAACGGGGATGGGCCCGTGAGCGGGACTGACTGTACTTATTATCTTGAGACCTCTACAACCCTGCGATGCAGAGGCTCTGGGAGGCGTGGTTTGCACTACTGAGGAGCTACCCCCACGTTAAATACAAAACAAACAAACTATACTTGCCGGTAATTTGCTGACACTATGCACATCTGAGATATACTCTTAGTATCGCTGTGAGCATAGGACATCACGTAGACGCCGCGAGCGAAGAGAGTGGTGAGAACGTAAGCACAATCTGCTCGGATGTCTACTGATAGTCACAGACTCGCAGAGGCTGAGTTCACTTGGTTTCAGGCACCAAGTGTTGCACTTGCATGAAGTAAAGTGTCGAACACTTCTTGAACATGTCGTCTTGATCTAGACACGCCGCTTCAAAGGTACAAAGGTGTAAACCCAGCTTGATTGCTGTCCCTCCCGCTGTACATCCTTACACGTGGGATGTGGTGAGCCGAGGAAGCTTCTCGCTACTGAGGCAGCCCTGTCGGAAACAGTGACTCAAGAGTCAAGGGACAGATCACTTGGTAGGAGCAAAGCGGCGTATACATGAAGCACCCATGGTAGAAGCTAGCCGTAGCCGCATACATGAACTGCATTGTCTCAAAACACTCCATCGCTGGTATATTTGATCTTACGACTGTAGATTCTGTCGTCCCAAGCACTTCGCCAAACGTCAGGGGGTAGTCGCCCTGATTAAGAAAGCAAAAGCCATTTGGGTTGAATTACTTGCTTGCAGGTGCGTGTGCCAAACTGCGTGTCGCCCCGACTCGCCAGTGACGCGTCGGGAGTGCTGAATATGTCCTCCATTACATAGATGCCGACGAGACGTAGGTGGCTGATGAAGAGACACAGAAGCTGGTAGAATCCCAGAATATTTACAATCCACGCGAGTCTTTGCTCCATCCAACCCTGAGGCACTTTGGCTGCTTTGTTCAGCGTATCTTGACGGGATCACAGTGTTTCTTAGGGAGGGGAAGGGGCGCGGACACCGAGGCCCTCAGATCAAGCAAAGGCAGCACGAGGCGGCCTGGAAGCTCTGCAGGCCTGGTGCAGCTACTCCGCTTCCGACGTGCAAGCCCAGCCTGGCAGGTTGGTTGGGGAAGGCCCAGGGCCACTGCCAAAACACCCTGGTCACATTGTTACCCCCAACATGATCAACTTACGTCGAACTCGTCACAGACTTGGCATGGATCTTTCGGTGAGGATGTTGGCGATGCTTGGCAGGTTTTTTGAGACTTGGCGAGCGACAAAGCGGCCTGAGCCTTCGCCGTTCGGCGGCAGCCCGGTGCTTGAGCGCGCTTGGTCGAGATGCCATAGGATGCGGAACGATGCTGGGGTCTCTGGAGATATCCCTTCGTCGTTTATTCCCAGTTCATTAGCCACTTTCAGTCACTCGGAAGTGACCATGTGGCGGTGCACCAGCCACAAATGCCTCATGTGCCACAATCCCAGCCACTTGGCAATTCTTGGCTGCTGGAAAACACCAACAACCCCCATTCAGAACAAATCATCCAATCCTTGAAACACAGAAAGCCTCTATTGGGAGCAGGGTCTGTAAGCGTGATGGAGCCTTGGCAGTTGTCACAATTCAACTGGGCGAACGTTGCGTCGGTAGGACCGATTCACCTGGACCGATGCACGCAAAGCCTGCAACATGTTGGCCTTGGCAGATATGCCCTCACCCTTCTGATCCCCCTTTCCGCAGCCTACACATATGGGTGGACTAGACCCTCCACGGGTACGGCAAAGAGCCTCATCAGTCAGCGTCCATGAATGCCAAGAACCCCCACGTTGACTCCCACGTCCAGGTAAGTTAACAAAAGAGCTGCCAGACAGGTGTCCTTGCCTTTCGTCCTATCTTCCCTCTGTGCAATGTGCTATGAGGACCCCAAAGATTACTCTGCTTAGCACCATTCACCCCTTCTACACGTCGACGTACTCTGTTCACGTGGTCATATACACACGGCTTTCCTTACACATATATATCGTGCTCTCAATCGTGCTCTACATGTACCTTTATCGTGACAAGCTCCGTTCTTCAGCACCGCTACTCATACATAACGGGCTCTCCTTATTCATCACGTTGACACGAATGTTGGTCTGAATCGTCATAATATGGCTTCCCAAAGTCACCAAACTTCTCTGGCCATCCCGCGCGATGAACCCCTCGAAGAAAAGCTATCCAGACCGCATCCGGTTGAACTCAAGCGCAGGACTAGTTCCAGCTCATCTCAACACGGCGGGTGTCCCTTGAGCACGAGCACTCCAGATGAGTCAGGATCAATACCACACGTCGACATACGATCTGCTGTTCGACACACCCCGAGTGGCGCGCTCGCCATCGAAGCTGGACATCTGACTCCGATGGAGCACTTCCTGCAGCACAAGGAAGACCGCATCATGGGCGCTTTTCTCCTCTCGCAAGCCTTCTCAACCTTCCATAGGCTCACCCCCGAGCCAGTTGCTGCCTTTTCCGCTACACAGCGGGACACGAGCAACATATCGACACGCTCCGAATCCACGACGTCTGCTGCTTCAACTCAAGGCACCGCGAAGTCATTAATGGAGGAGACACGCGGTCTGCATCTCAGCATTAGCGGTGGCATGTCTGGGTCATGGGATGACTGCTTATCTGGTATCGGGTCCCAATTTGCTAGCTCGAGTCCTATTACCAACGACTGTTCGGGGATGGTAATGGAGGAAGACGCTGTCATCATGGCTTGAGCTGTGGCTGTACCACTGCACGGTACTTTGCATGGGGAAAGGGGCAAGTGGCCTATTTCTTTGGACTATCCGGAACACGTCAGCTTTCTTCTGCTACATACCAACCATACCCATCTGCTTCTCTCCTTCACTACCTCCTCACACACAAGTTGGATGAGGTAGCCGGAGCCTGGCAACGCAACAGCTCGGAACTAGGGGCTTATTACAGCCGCGGTGGGGGGGCATGTTCATTCGCATCTAGGGGGACAGGTCCCTGGTTTTGGGTCAATCCTACACTCCCTGTGATATATATATTCCAGGGTTGACATAATTTTCATTCCACTTTGCGCGCCCAATGCTACTAATGTAGTCCCTCACTGCGCTCACCACCCGGCCCTGTGCTAGCCCGTTTTCTCCCTGGTCAGCCCCCGGCCTGCCATCCGACGAGGCCTGGGTCGTCACGCTCGGGGCCTTGTAGAACTCGCGTTGGTCGATGGTCGTCGACACGTTGATGCCCGCCTCGTCGTACTTGAAGCCAATATCTGGCGCGTGTGCCTTTTGCTGCTGTTGCTCGCGCTGGCGGCGACGGCGGCTGTTGCGGGAGACGAGGTAGCCCAGCATGATGCTGAGTGCAAGCAGGCCGGCGACGACGCCGCCGACTGTCGTAGCTATCATGGCCATGGAGGGGCCCTGGATGGGGGTCGGTCCGAGAGCGCCAACGCTGCCTTGGCCGGACGCGGTGCCGCTAGCGTCCGCCGCAGCAGTGGCTGTCACCCAAGCCGTGGTGGTCACGGACGCAGCTTCGGTACCGTTGATGTCGCCGCTGCCGCCGATCATGGCCGAGTCGAACCCTGCATTGGAGACTAGCTTGGCCCCGGCCATCTTCAGGTAGCAGTTGATTGATTGATTGATTGTATTTATCGTGGGTGCAGTCCCTCCATAGGGCAAACCACGCCTCCCAGAGCCATTGCATCGCAAGGTTGTAGAGGTGTCAGTCTAGATACATTCAGATCCGCGCACGAGCCTATCCTCGCTGTAGCGGTACCAACCTGGAGTGACCAGATGGTTTTAGTCAATACCCAAGCACGATTCCGTCAGAAAAACCTCCTGTCCAGTGACTAAGCGACCCAGTGAACCTCAGTCCTCTGGTGTACACATCGTTCCAGTAGCCGTTCGATATATGTCGCATTGGTGGGTGAAATAGGTGTTTGTTATCTGCTGGCGAGGGAAACCATAAGGGGAAAAACCTCGCAGGAGTGGGTATTATGGAGACAAGCTACTTGGCTATCGGGCTCTGCGATAAGGGGCCTCTCCACTGTCGTGTGCTGGTTATCGACTCGCACAAGCCGGGTCAGAAGGGGGCCATAGTAGGATTCGAACCCACTTGTTCTCGTCGCCCACCGCACAAACGAGAACACAACCAGGCACATTTGACCATTGCGCCATACGGCCTTCAGGTAGCAGTTGTTGTACCCCTGGCTCTGGCTGGCCTCGTAGCTAACGCCGACATACAGCGAATGCGCCGCACATGTGCTGCGGCAGGACGCAAAACTGTCTTGGAACAGTATGTCGAAGTCTTCTCCCTCCCACATCTTCCCATATTGCAGTGTCATTTCCTTGTCCCTAGCCGTCTGTACCGAGCCGTCGCCCAGAGAAGCACAGTCCGTTTCTGGGGCCTCATCGGGCAGGATTCCCATGGCCGAAGTCACGTTCTCCTTCCCGACAGTCATCTGGACGCCGGATATGAGCTCGCATTCCTTGCCCGCGCGATAAACGGCCGCGTCGCAGTGAGGGTTTTGGTGTGATGTGCTGATGGTCTGGGGTCAGCAGGTCGATGCCAACTCGTCCGCGTTGCTCCTGGCTTACCAGGTGGCTATACACTCGTCAAACGAGCATGTGATGTTGCTTTCTATGATGGTACCCCCGATCTGTGTGTCACACAGCACTTGGAAGGACTGCGTTTCTCCTCTATCTGTGCCGTTTCCAAACGGGCATGGTGAAGTGGCGTCTTGCCGGCTGAGCAGGTCAAGTACCGCCATTTGATATTACCGATTAGTATGATGATGAGTTTCGTTGAAGAGCACGTGTGTCGTGATGCCTTATTCCGCCCAGCGGAGAGAAGCGATTAGATAGATTAAGTATAATTATTAATAAGTGGGAATATAGGAATCAAGACGACATATTAAAATGAATGAACAAAATAATGAAGCAAGGAGCCGGCCTTTGCAAGGAAGGAGAAAGGACTGTCAACGACGGGACGGGATCTACATATATTTATTGTGGCATCACGTTGGATGCTCGACCAGATCTGTCGAGCAACTTGTCAGACGGTTTCACAAGCGCAGGGAGCTTTAACGGCCTTGCGGTCACACGTCATATGCTGCCATGAGGATGTATAAGGCTGCGTACTGTATCCCAATGGAGTTCGGGACAATGGACAGTGGGGTATGCTGGCATGAACGAGGGCAACTTGAGACGGGACGACTCCAGGCATCTGACCGTGAGATTCCGGCACTGGCCGATCGGACCAGGTATTCCATCCTATGGAAGATATTCTCATGCGTTTTGATACTTGACACATTGTTGCGTTAGTAGAAACAAACCTGTCTTTGGTAAGTAGCACCAGACGATACATAGTCAGACGACTGGCAGACACCCACTCACGCTCATCAGTGAACGGAAGAGATCGCGCGTATCCTGACTTGGCCAATCCATACAAAAAACTTTGTCCATTGCTAGGACCTTGGCTATCACATACGCACAGGCGTCACTCACGAACTCCGAACCCTGATCGACAGATCTGCAACCACGCTTGAGAATTGTCTGGGAGACGCCAAGCTCCGCCCGGGATAGCACCCCACAAGAGCCGCAAAAATGTTCGGAAACCCAGGCCGTGTCAGTCTGATCTCCAGGTCATGCACGTCTGTCAAATGCCAGGTTCCGAGACCCCTTCTTGGCGCGGCTTCATAGAGTTCGAGCGGAAGATATTGACCACTATTCGCTTCTTAACCGCCGATGCCCTCTCATCACCTCGCCATTTTCATGTAAGTCTAACCCTCATAAACCGCACCGGCATAGTCTATAGACCGTCGTAAACCCGAGAAACGGTGATCGGTGAAGGCACCTACACGCAAACCACCATTCGTGGGCGGGCCGCGACGGACATCCACGCTTCTCTGGAGAGGACCCCACGGCGCCGGAGAACTACATGTACACTGGAAAGCTACGGGTGACTCACACTATACGGTCTACCCTTAACAGTTGAAGGGAAATGGCCGAATTTGTATTCCTCCCTCGGCGTCAACCGAACACTGACAAACACCCGCAGCGCTCTCAGCGGAAATTATCACACAGCGTAGATTATCACCCCGGTTGAGGTTCTACGACAACATAGTGAACAAACGATAAAGAGGGCTCTATTATATATTGGGATCTATAACGAGGACGGGTAGATGCCTCGAGCTGAAATGGTACGGTATATATATATATAAGTATAGTTACATCCAAGCCCTTCACCAATATTAACACTCCCATGTCACCAGCGCACCCATTCCGAGATGACACGCCGCCCGCCCAGATCGACGGGAGACGATGTAGACAACCAAGACCAGATCATGCACTCCCACAGGCGGCGCTTGAAACCCCGTTCTATGTCAGTATGTTATCAGACATAGCTAAAGTGACAAGGAGCAAGTGGCAGTGGTAGGGGAACTCCAATGCACAGAATCTGGGGCGTCCATATGTGGCGAAATAATGAGGTGCCGCGTGGGTGACCGTATTGGTGTCGTAAGCCATCATGGCTCCTAGCTTACGTTATACGAATCCTCGTAGTTCCTCCACTGCACTGGGGATGCGTGTTTAAGCCATGATAAGCAGAAAATGTGGCAGTGCGAATCAATCATCTAGATTCTGACGCTAAGTGCGTATATATACAGAGAAATATAAAATAAAGAATTGGTTATGTTCTTCGGAGTCTGCTCAGAGACAAAATGTACTCAGCATCATCATCAATCATATCATACATTTACTGCCAACCTCCAGCCTGAGTGGGATCCTGCATCACCGGCATGGGACCTCCGTAGCCAGGCATCTGCGGCGGTAGAAAGCTGCTATACTCTTGCACCAGGTAATTCCAGTCCATCTCGCCCCCAAAGTTGACGTCTGGGAATGCGGATGTGAACTGCCTGTTGATGTCCGCCGGTGGCATGCTGGCAAACATGTCGGGGTTCGCATACATTGACGTAGTCGGTAGCACATTAGCTTCCGTTCCAGCGGTGTGCGGAGGTGCCGAGACAAAAGCTCCGCTCGCAGCGGTCAGCGTCGGTGACGGAGTTGGCATGGGAGTCTTGTCCTTGGTCTTTTTAGGCATTCGAGCTTCGATCTGCCGCATGAGTGTGATGAGCCGAGGAGGCGCCAGTGTACGGCCCAGAGCGGCCTCGGCAGCTTCTCGCGCATCCCACGCTTTGACAAAGAGGGTACTGAAAGCCATGTGGAGGGGGGTTTGGGTGTGGGTGGTCATCTTCCTCCGGTCTGCATGCTCGAATATAGTCTCCCACGCACGCTCGCACAGCTCACCGGTTGTGCGATGACGCAGCTCGGTGAGAAGACACACGTATGCTGGGAGAGGGACATGCATGTTCGTGTACCAGAGGAAGCCTTTAAGACTTTCGTGAGCCTGGATCATGCTGTCGTATTCTACCATATTGATCGCTTCGATGAAGAGGGCTTCAGACTCGGCAGATGGTAAAGGCGAAGGTGCCGTAATAGCAACACGAAGGAACCCGGAGAATATCCTCAGTTTGCAAATGTTGGCTCGGGTCATGAGGAGTGTCATGTAGTGTATCGGGATCTTGGGATCGCAAAACTTAAGGTATGTCTCCTCCATGTAATGAGCGAACTGTTCGAGATAGCCCACGAGACGATGGTCGGCCAGGCTAGTGACTGCCTGTGGGTTCGCTGCTGACAACTGAGCTCGCATCTTGTCATTTCCTGGTGCCTTGGAAAATTCAAGCCGCGTAAGTGTGAACATCATCTCGGTGGCACCTAGATGAGGCGGCGGCGGGTCTTTCGCGTGGAGGTGTAGGTCGCCATCGTTGATATTCAGGGGCAGCTTGCAACTGCCACCACTGGAAATTGCCGTGATTGTCGAGCCGCATTGCTCTCCGATCCGTCTGTCAAGGCCAACAAAGTTCCACCACAGCCTTCTTCTCTGCTCGACCTCGAATGGCGATAAGCCGAACTGGGCGCCGTCACGTTGCAACCCCAGCCGATGTGCTAGGCGAATACCCATTCCAGTAAGGCAGAACAAGGACCGAGGATCCGTATATTGTCGTATACCGAACTGCTACTAGTCAGATCCAGAACCCCCTCGGCGTGGAGGGGCGTGAGCTTACACAGAATAACAAGTAAGCTTGCAGCGACGTCAAATCTGGCATCCGCATGAAGCCAGAGTTCAGAAGGGCCTGCTGTGTCGCATGGTAATACTTGGCAAGCAGTGCTGATCTCGGCTCGTTGAATGTTTCTCGCGTTTCCTCGTCACTGAGACTGGTGATGGCCATCAGGTAGATGGCAAACATCAGGGCCTCGAGACTCCTCGATACTTTGTCTAAGTTTGCGCCTGCCTCGATTATGCGGACTTGCAGGGTCGCCGAGTGCGTCAGCTTGAGGAGGGGGTTGACATTGTTCAGGTAAATCTGCCACAGCTGGAAGATCTGGATGGCCGACGGGTGAAGATCAGTGACGCTATCATGCTGGACACCGACTACAAAGGGAAAACCGTCCGTGTTGTTAAACATCTTGTCAAAGGCGTCGTTGATGGTGGAGCCGACGTCTTCTTCCTCTGATGAGTCCCGGGCAGCGTCGTCACTCGGTCGAAACTAGGTTCACGTCAGACTTTAGCAGCAAAAAGAGAAATTCAATGATGCGGAGACTAACATCTTTCTGGAAGGGAAACCATTTGAAAGTCCTAGCCGCAATCGCAGTCAGCATGGGCACGTTATGAAGAACAGGCCCTGAAGAACACACCTGGGCCTATGGACATTTTCTCCAGGTGATGAGATCAGCTCCGGGTTCGTGCCGGACGGCGAGTCCCTGGCCCTCTGCCTCATGAAGTCGGGATCCAACTCGTCACCTTCCTCAGCAGTGCCGGGGTCGGTGATCTTGATATCGGGCCCTAGGGAGTCAAAGTCGATGCCGTTCTGAGACAACAGAGCCTCATATTTCCGCAGACGCTCGACGAGGTCGCGCTCTGGGACGCGCTTCTTCCTCCGGCGTGGCGGTTGGGGTGGCACGATACGGCAATCGACGCCGGCCTTGACACAATTGGAGCATGGCTTCCTCTTGTCACAGCGCACCTTGCGTTGCTGGCAGAGGACGCAACTATGGCCCCGGGTGACCTTGACGATGGAGGAGTCCGTGGGCGGGGGGGTCTGGTTGTAGGGCGGGCTGCCACCGCCAGACTGAGACTCGGGGGTTGCTGGCATGTTTGACTATCGACTGCTCACTGCTCACTGCTCAGTCGGTCCCGAGGGGCGAGGGGCGAGGGGGCACGACAAGGCAACGAACGGCACAGTACAGTACACATGCACCGAGTACACCGAGTACATAGACCGTTAGCGTAAAGCGCACGCTGCGGGCGACGGGAGGGCGGATACACGCAAATGCACGCAAAGAGAATGACGGGACTTTGTTCTACATGAGGTGAGCCCGAGGTGCTGGCACACGGCGATGGCGGCGAGGGCGGCGAGGATGGCGCTGATTGGCAAAAACGCGAGAAGGCGAGGAAACGAGATGCGGGGTTTCGGGACCGAAGCGCTTGCCAAGCCGATCTACCATGGAGATATGTCAGTGTAGGACCTTAAAAGAGTCCGGTACGCGAGTAAGTCGGCACGCCAGCACACGTATGTGATGTGTTGGGTGTCGAGTGTTGAGTGTTGAGTGTAAAGGTGTTGGTAACAATATAGAATCACAAGTTAGAATACTTTAAAAGTATAGGACGCATAGGGCTGTTGTATGTAGTCATCAAGTACGTCCTGTGACACTCCTGTCCCCTTATTTTAACATTGTGACTAATGTAAGGTTAGGCGTTTATTCTTATCCTGGGCTTCTGGCCCAAGAATAGCTGATCCCACAGCCCTGGAACCCTGACGAGTAGCCTCTGGGGTACTGTAGTCTGTTTCCAAACTGAAGAACATGGACAGATGCGGACACGCAGGGCTTGTCAGCAGTGCTGCTTGAGTGATTCCGGTGTCGCATCGCAAGCCCGGAGAGTATCATGACCGCGTGAAGGCAATTCCATATTTCATAAACACAGCTTGAAGGCGTCCATGAATGCCGATGGCCGATAAGCACGAGTGAAGGACCTCGGCAGGATCGATTGAGGGATCCGGCAGTCACACGTCACATCAAGATAAAGACTGGAGGATCAACTGAAAAGGCGTGAAACGTCGAAGGATGCGCTGCCCTGCGCTGCCCTGCCCATAGTTGCATTATTCAGCTGGGTATGGCTGGGTGATGATTTCGGAATTCGGACACGAGATGGCGATGCTCGGGACCGAGGGCAGTCGGGAAGATCCATGTCCGAGCAGCTTATTCAGCCCGCCAGTGGAAACGGCAGATAAGGGGGGTGGTCCAAACTCGCAGCCCCTTGCGTTCCTGGCTGCCTGCCACCTGCCAGCGCCTGTGCGTGTCATTCGCAATTCCACTGACCACCTGCACTCGGTGGTCCGTAAGACTGTATTCTGCTGAAAACATCCATGAATTGAGTGAGGCGTGCCAACCTGCCGCGACACGCATCACCTCCGTCCTACCGATTCCTCGGATTGTAGTACGCCTATGGCGTTGTGACTTCGGCGGCAGAAGGTCGGTCAGTAAGGAAACCTACCTTCTCAGCGTGTATCAGCAAACCGCCGGAGCTCCCCAACCTTAGACCTCGTCAACGATCCGCCCATCACCAACCAGCTCGCCCAAACCGCTCTGCAGCCACAATTTGTCGTGCAATGTCAGTCATGCCCTTTTGACTCGTGCGCCTTCTTCGATGCTTCCGGTTTGTCCATCGGATAGGTAGGTAGTCATGTAAGTTGCGGCTGAGTTCCGACCGCATGTCTCTTATACTCGACACTATCTGCCGCCGTGTCGGAGCAGCAGACAGTTGACGCATGTGCTTCAATAGCCCACGCTCTCTGTCTTGAAGTCTGTCTTGAAACAATAGAAAGTATATTCGAGCCCTTGCAGATCCCGTCCTTGGTGGTTGGCAGATATCTGCCCGATACTCGGTGCCTATTTTCCTCTTTTCTGCTCTCTCTGACCTTTGTGCCTTTCCGTTCTACTATGGCTGCGTCGTCGCAGAGGACATCAGAGACGGCCGTCCAGTCACCAACAGCCATGTCCGACGACTTAGAGCAGGCGAACGGCCCAAAGCCGTCTTCTGGTCCTGCACCCGCGCCGGCACCCCCACCAGGTCAGGATGCCGAAAAGAACTACCAGCCCAAGACTCTCAAGTTCTGGTCCATTCTCGTTAGCATCTTTCTGGCTCTGTTTCTCGTCGCCCTTGACCGAACGATCATTGGAACCGCCAGTCCAACCATCACACAAGAATTCCACAGCTTGGGTGATATAGGATGGTATGGCTCGGCCTACCAGCTTACCACAGCCGCATCGCAACTCCTGTTCGGTAGAGTCTACAAGTTCTACAATGTCAAAAGGTATGTTGCATGGCATCCTACGGTCCAGCCAAGGCGGCCAGGGTAACCCCTGGTGTGTAGTTCCTGACCAGATGCCAGAACGTTCTTGGTCTCATTGGCCCTGTTCGAGATCGGATCGGTCGTATGCGGCGCCGCCCCCAACTCCATCGTTTTCATCGTCGGTCGTGCTATCGCCGGACTGGGTGGCGCCGGCATTTTCTCCGGTGTTCAGATCATAATGATTCCCATGATACCCCTTCGAAAGCGTGCCATGTTCCAGGGCATCTTTGGGACAGTCTTTGGGTTGGCCTCGGTTCTGGGCCCGTTGGTTGGAGGTGCATTTACGGAGAGTGTCAGCTGGAGGTTAGTATTAGTATTTCATTCCGTCATGGACAACAGACAGCTAACAGCTCGGCGCAAGATGGTGTTTCTACGTGAATCTCCCTATTGGGGCGGTGGCAGCCCTCTGTCTCATCGTCATCCTCCGTACGCCGCCCAAAAAGGGTCCCCCAGTTCCGGCGACTATCTGGGATCAAATCGTCCGGTTGGATCCTCTCGGAACCTTCTTTTTCATTCCTAGCATTGTCTGCCTCCTCATCGCCCTGCAATGGGGCGGCTCTACGTATGCTTGGAGCAGTTGGCGGATCATATTACTGCTCGTTCTCTTCCCTGTGTTATTCATCGCCTTTGCCGCAGTTCAAGTACTCATGCCAAAGACTGCGACTGTGCCAGTCAGAATCATACGCCGACGAAGTATTCTGGCAGCCGCTATTTACATGTTCGCCATTGCCGGGTCCTTCCTTCTGGCTATCTATTTCCTACCTCTTTGGTGTAAGTATCACACCCATGTGCCATGATTCTTTCGTGATTCCCGAGACTCGAGTCACAAACGTATCGCTCTCACACGCGACCAGAAGCTAACACTGAGCTTTAGTCCAGGTTGTCCAGGGCGCCACTGCTGCGCAGTCCGGCATTTACACCATTCCATTCGTCCTCAGCCTCGTAGTAGGAAGCATCCTATCCGGAGGCGTTACGACAAGGATAGGATACTATGTCCCCGCAATGATCCTTTCCCCAAGTCTCCTGGCCGTCGGTCAGGGACTAATGAGTACCTTGAGGGTTGGAGAGGTCTCCTCCCACTGGATCGGATACCAAGTGGTCGGAGGGCTCGGGCTCGGCATCGGAATGCAGGCTGCTACACTCGCAGCACAAGCTGTCCTTCCCCTGCCCGATATACCAACGGGCATTGCGATCATGTTTTTCGCACAACAGCTCGGCGGTGGTATCTTCACATCTGTCGGCCAGAATCTTCTGAGTACTTACATGGTTTCTCACCTTCGCGACGTGCCAGGAGTCGACGCTAGTCAGGTCACCAGCGAAGGTGCTGTAGACCTTGTGAACAACGTGGCGCCTGAGTACCGATTGGCCGTGAAGGAAGTATACAACCAAGCCATAGCGAGGATCTTCTTGTGTGCCATGGGCGTAGCTCTTGCGGCTGTTCTCGCTGGGCTCTGCATGGAATGGAAGAACATCAAGAAGACTGGGCCTCCCGGGGCCGGCCCCCCGGGTGCGAAACCTTCGGGACCAAGCGACAAAGGTGCAGATACATCACCGCCTGAGACGACAAAAACGCCCGAATCAGGCGACGAGGATCCTTCGGCGGCCTCCAGGAAAGTTCCGCTCGGGAAGTCGAACACCAGCGCAGAGCCTACCAAACGGAATGGCTCCCTACAAGAGTCGAAAGATTACCATGGACCGGCAGAAAAGTCCGGCTGTGACCATTGCGAGCACTGCCGACTATCGCGAGCCATCAATCTCGCCCCATCAGAGCAGACGAGTCGCCCAAGCCGTGGCACTGTCACCACACCCAGCAGCTCGAGCCCAGCTCCACCGCCAGGCGCACTCGAAGAAGCCGCGCGCCTCGCCGGTATCGCCCGAGACGCAGTGGCCCAGCTCGAGGAACTGACCAGGCCATACTCGGCACTCGGGACGATGGGGAGCAGCGGGCGGCTATCCGCTGAACCAATACGGGAGAACGCGAGACACCAGCCCATGGCCGCACCAGAGGTACCGGGTCGCGACCACCGCCGGGGCGGCTCCTTCGTGCGGCGGCTCACGACGCAGGAACTCTTGCAAAACGCCAATCGCGTCTCGGCGCAGTTGGAAAAGGAGGAGCGGGAGTCAAACGAGTCACTTCATCAGACGCGGTTGCAGCAGTCGGCGGACTCAAAGCTGTCTACACATTATCCCTCTCCGTCGCAAGGGTCGTCGACTTCTCGAAAAGGTGACCAAACCTGAATGGGGTAGAGTATGGATTTGTTTGAATGGACTTTGCAAACACGTTCCCCAGCGGCGGCGGCCAGCTGACGCGAGAGGTAGCTGAGATGCCTAAGGGCGCAGGGCCATAAGTAGGTATGCAAACGAAGGCCAAAATTCTCAACCCGGGGGTAATGGCGCAATGGTAACAAATTATACCTCCATTGCGCTCCGTATCGATCTACTCCTTGCGGGCCAGATAAACTAGCACCTTTAAAAGTCTTAAAGATAGTTTTCGTAGCACTTGAGAGCCTGTCGGTTCGACCCCTCCTGAGTGTGAGCTTTTTGATATTTTTTACTTTTTGGTTTTCTTTATTGATTGCCTGCCTTGCCTGTCTATACGTAGGCTATCTATCGTCCACATGTACACTCAATGTTGGTAAGACTACTCCTTCCCGTCGCGTATGTACCTCCTCGTCCAACCACCGCTGGCACTTGGTTTCAACAAGCAAGTAGTTGAGAGCACTAGATTTGGACATTGCACAGGTTGCATGCAATAGAGCACACCAGCTTCTCGCTGCCCATAGATGTCACGCTGACATTGCAATAGAATCCGCCGCGTGAAAAGCGACGAAGCAAGACCTGCTTATGGGCGCTGCAAACGACCGAGCGTACCTGCGATGGGACGACGACGTAGTGTCCCTGCGGAGGAAGCCCATAGCCGTTGACCCGTGTCAGCACCAGGCCGCCCAAAGGATGTTTGTACTGGCTTGCGAAAACAGCGGGCGCGTCCTCCGGCCCTTGGTAGCGGACATCGAGGGAATGGAACAGGAGCGGTTATACCTCCACCATTTCAGACGTGCAGCAGAGATGGGGCTGGCATTGCACGTGTTTGAATATGGACTCTTTTTGGAAAAAGCTGGTTTTGTAAGTGGTATTCCGATGCAGCAATGCGGCACGCGATTATCGCATTAGGGAGGACATGGCATGGCAGGGTTAGGGTTAGGGTTAAGACTTCAGAATCCCCAAGGTTCAATACAGCGCAGCATAACCCTGGAGGCTCCTTCTCTATTATACGTTCTCGTGGGCATATAAACCGCCCCCGTGAGTTGCTCTCGCTGCCAGCCCCGTCATCATCGGCCTTGGTGTGCACAGCCTTGGCAATGATACTTCTCCCATGCCACTGCAGAGTGCAGCTCGTGCTCGCCCATATCTTCGGGGCTCCCAAGCTCGACGTGGACAGAATGCTGGAACCGCGCCGCCGAAATCGTGTTCATGAAGACCTTGCGCCGTCGATAAGCAGAACTGCTCTTCTTAGACGCAAGCGCTGTTGCTCGCTTGAGGACGAACGATCGTTGGTGCGGTCAAGGGATATTGGCCACCTCATGAATTCATACATGTATCATGTATGCATATTCATGGAGGTGCCCGGAGCGCTTCCATACATAAACTGACTGGCGTTCAGGTTACCGCAAGACAGGCCTAAGACCATCGAATATAACTTCATGATCTGGTGGATTACCTTCACTGAGTGGGGGTAAAGCAACATTTAATGGCATCGGCTTGGAATTCATCTTACCTCTGCCCATCGAACGAGTCGAGAAAGAGGTACGCTCGCTCGCTCGACAAAGTTGTAGCAGCCAGGAGCAAATATTCGGCCAGAACGAAGGGGAATTGGGAAAGAAGAGAGCCATGTTATATGAATGCAACAATCCACAAGTGGTATGAAACGGACTTGATGTGCTTCTGGGGGGTTTCCTTGATGCGCAGATGTGGCCGTCTCCCAGTTCTCATTCTTTGGATCTCCGCACTGACCCCGATGTCGAGCTGCCAGCCTGGACCACTAGGCCATATCAAAAGTTTAGGTTCCGACAAGCCAGTTCTCTTGAGGGTGCACATCTGAGGCTACTTTGGCACATTTCTGGCAGTCTGGGGTCAGTAGACGACTGAGTTAGAGTCTTAGAGATGACGATGATCAACGGCTGGTTGTGATCTGCGTTCGTAATCGCTGAGATGATCGTCCCACCTCGTGGTCCGAAGTCCACGCCCTCGTAGTGTGGGTATGACTCGACTTCTGTAACTTGCCCGACATCATGGACAGCGATTGAACTCCCGATACATCGGGAACCCTCCGACTGACCAGCGACAACATTATGCGGCCAGTAAATATTTGCATGATTGCGGGCACTGGTTAGACAGGCTGCATCCAGGCTGTACCGGAAAGCCAAGCCACCAGAAGCATGGAAAGAACGTGGAACACGCTGAAGGACTGTTGATCCCGTAGATGTGACAGAATTGGATAGAAATTGAGAAGCAAAGACGCGTCTACAGACTACGACAAAGAAGCATTGTTTGTGAGCACTGACCTTCCTTCACCTTATGTAGATACCCCTGGCCCCCCACACATGACATAAGCTGGGCCGAGAGGGTCCCGAGGCTGCTTGCCGTGTCTTTCTTCTCCACACCCGACTGGACCCGATCCCGGCGTTAGTACCTTGTAAGGTTAGGAGTACCTTAGCGTGCTTATTAGGACTGTCTGGTGAAGCTGGGGCTGCTGGGGTTGGCTCCAATCTCGATCAATGACCTGGAGTGTCTGTGTCTGCTTTCGTCGACCTTGCAACTTGCAACCTGCAACCACGCGACCGAACTATTCACATATCTATCATCAACCACGCCAACAAGGCTCTGTTGCATTGCGCATTGCGCATTGCTGTGTGCCCTGCGTTGCCTATCCCCCTCGACCCCTCAGCCCCTCAGCCCCAATTCGAGACCAACCTCATTGATCTCCATTGCGCCGCCTCGCGAGCCTGCTGAGCGCCGCTGCTTGACGGCATCGTCCACAACCGACAGCATTGGCGACTTCTTCTCAACCATCCTCTATTCTTCTTCTCAGCCACCTCGGCTTCGTCCAGCCTTCCTGTATGCCGCTGCGGCGTCAAACAAGGCTATCGTCAGGGACACACATCTCACATGATCGCTATGACCGAACACGCACCTACCCCCGTGCCTCCCCCGCCGAATACTATCATCAGTGTGGCATCTGCAAAGATGGGGATCCTGGATTTGCCCGGCGAGGTTCTGACTGAGATCTGCAGTCATGTAAGTAGACATCCCAACCAGCTTCCTCTTCCCGTCCTGTTCGCGACTGACCAAGCCTCACCTCCAGTGCTCCCAGGGCGAACTCATCTGCCTCTCCCTCGTGAGTAGCCGCTTCCGCGAACTAGCTGCTGCCCAGCTATACCGAAACTTCCACATCGTCTTCCCCGACGAGGACGATCCGTGCTTCGATAGTCCAATTGATGGACTCGCTGGAGGATTGGACACTTTTGCCACAAGCGACTACAACTATGCCCAGCACCTGAGAGATCTCTCGCTCGATACCCTGAGTGCCGGTGACGGAGCAGAAGCCGCTTACAAACCGTATCTTGCGAGCGTTAGTTGCGGCAAGTTCATGAACACCCTGCTTCTCCTTACCCTGCGCAGAGCCACCGCGCTGGATTCGTTTCGCTGGAATATACGGGTCGAGCTCAGCAAACCTGTTTACAAGGTGCTACACAGCCTCAAGTCTCTCAAACATGTCCATATTCGTCTGCAGGCTGGGCCCTCTTTGTATGGACTGCCGCCCCCGCTGGCCTCGTTTCCTGCGAACTCGTCTCTTGCCACGCCACAGACGGGTGGCTCGACTCATTCTACGTTATTCGGAGGTGGCTCATACGGTGCGCTGGCCCCTCCGCCAGTTCACAAACCATCGTGGAAACCGCGGGTTTCTAAACACACTTCTTCCAAGGCGCCTCCGACAATTGCCGGGTTTAAGAACCTTGAAAGCCTCAGCGTCCTCGATATGGACAACCTCGATATTATCACCGAGATCAAGACCTGCGTGCGCGACTCGAGCTCGACGCTGAGGAAATTGAGCCTTTCCTTCTCTGATGCCCTAGCCAAGCAAGCAAGGAAACCCTGCCTGGACCCGATAGAACCAGACGAATCCGACGAAGATGAGTTTCAAGTTGTGCCGCTGCCCACAACGGTCAACTACGATTCAAGCGGACCAGCAAAAGTGTTCCGGGCTCAGGAAGAGCGCAAGGTACAGGAGTCCGTGCTTGGTCGCATCTTCGAGTTCGAGCCTTTTACTGTGAAGAGGTTCCATGTCGCAACCGATGGAGATAATGAGGGAAGCCAGAGTAAACCAAAGAATCAACCAACCGACAACAGGCACACTTTTGTCCAGAGCGTGGAGAAAATATCTCTACATCTGATAAATCGGGTCCACGGGACAAAGGACTTGAACACCCTCGAGCAACAAGATATGCTACGCACGATTCTGGTAGCAGCTAATAAGTACGTCGATTCGGAAAATCAGAAAACCGATGCCCGGGCCGCTTCATCTTCCAAAGAAGTTGTTCCAAGCTCCACGTCGGGCGACAGTGTTGACGACGGTGTTGCTACCCCCGCTACTGAGGAAGCACAATCGTCGGAAACGACCACTTCACACCAGGGGTCGAAGGCGAAGACAGACGACGAGGTTACGAGTCCGGAATATATAGACATCACAGCTCCCGAGCAAGAGCAACTTGTGCTCGAGATGCAAGAGGATGCGAACGACGAGGAGATTACGGTCGAGGCATCATCTTCGAAGACGCCAGCTAGCTCCGCACAAGTAAGCAAGTCTCCTTTCGGTGCAGGCCTACAGTGTGCAGGTGCAGCTAATAGGGCTGCACAACGCGAAAACCTCCGTGTCCTTGAAAAAACATTGCAATTGTTCAAGAAAGAGGCTGATCGAATATCGAAGGTATCACGGGAAACCGACCTGTCCGACGAAGATGCCGAGCCGCGTATTAGAGAGGCGCAGCTTCGACTCGAGGCTATCAACCAAGACGTGGCAGACATTCAACACGATATGAACGTGATAGAAGCTGAAATGGATGATGCCGATGTACAGTCGGCACACTTGGCACCCAGAGCTGACGCGAAGGATGAACTCCGCCGCCGCATGAATGAATATGCGAGAAGGACTCGAGGCATAGGGCTCCATGCTCTCAGCCTTCATCTGATACCAATCAAGGCCTCGGTCCTGGGCAGGGCCATCGATCTGCATATGCTGAAGAGGATCACTCTTCTGAACGTCGGGCCGCAGGCACCTTTCTGGGTCTTGATGAATAAGGAGAACCAACTTCAGCGCCTGCAGCTGCGGAAGATCTTTACGGACAACGTTTCGCTGCAGTTTCTACAGTTCGTCTCGGAACTCGAGAGCCTGCACGAACTCTTCATACTGGAGCGGACAGCTAAGTACAAGCCGGAGAGTTTTGCGCCTCAGTCCAAGACAACAATCGAACAGATTCGGAGACTCGTACTGAGGAAGCACATGGACAGCATTAAGCGTCTGATGATCAAGAACGAGGCGAACACCGCCTGGGACATTGATGAAAAGACCATGAAGCTAATGTGCAGGCGGGGGTTGGTGCTCCAGGAGCTGGCGGTTATAATGAGCATGCGTACTCTAGTAAGTTTCCATCTCTTTGCGCCGGTCGCCGTTTGAAAAAGCTAACGACATGACTAGCACACATTCATCCAGCACATAGCAGGTCTGGGCCAGCTCCGTGCTCTGCAGCTGATCTCGTTCCGCAACGATGATACGTGTCTCTCTGTGATGCGCGAGACTAGGCGTTTCATAGTCGATGCGCTTTCGCACCACCCGGAACTCAAGCTCGAGTGGTTGGCCATGGGCGACGAGGACCGGGCTATCAGAATCGTTCGCAAGCCAAACGTGCCGAAGAAGTCGAAGAAGAGCAAAGGAAAAGGCAAAGAGAGGGAGGTGTCGGGTCTCGGCTTAAACCCCGTCGCTAGCAGCAGCACGTTTCCAATCCTGCCGGCGGGCGGATGGGATATCTCTAGTGATAGTGACGATGACGGCGATGTCCCATCCCTTCCGAGGGTGAAGCTGGAGTTGATGGAAGGGGTTGCATTCTATGACGTGTGGGGAGTCAGGATCTTCAAGAAAGAAGTCATGGCCGGACGGCTTTGAGGGATGCTTTCCAGGGACCTTCGTTGGATGCAGATGCGGGGCTCTGTCCCCCTTTTCCTTCTGAGGAATACCAGCGCTCGATTCTTTCTTTTTTCTCTTACCAGGCCAATACCCCAATACCCCGATCGATTTCGGCCATGGTTATAGTGGCGTTAGGTGGTAGTTCTGGGTCTGGGGTGCGGACATGCATGACATTCAGGAGAGTGATGAAATGGCAATCCCTTGGGCCCTGGTGTCGATTACTTGATTACTTGAGAATCAATAGGATTTTGCCGCAGAATCAACATGTTTGTGTTTAATGTAATCGAAGGCTGTGGCCAGTGCCAGGTCACTGAATGTGGATTCAGTGGGTAGATGATCTTGGAGGTGGTATCACCATATCCATCTGCCAGTACCCCCCTATTGGAGTTTCTCGACAGCCCGCCGTTTCATGGGCTGCATTGTTCTTTTCTTAGAACACTAAAGGTCAGGTACCCCGCTAGATCCCCGCTTTTACAAGGCTGTGCCACCACCGCTGACTTCAACGTTGTCAGGTACCTGTAGATACTTGCGATGGGCCGTTACCCGGACTGTGCTTCGATCATCATGACAATAGATACATCCGGCTGTCTTCACATTGGAAGCTGTGACGCTGCTTCTTTCCCCCCTCAATGTTTCTGTAACGCAAGTGCCTTCCATTTCGAACTCTTCCGGACCTATTTGTAACCAAACCCAGTCTCTCACTACCTGCTTAGCCTTCCTCGAGTGTTTTCCCGATACCATTATCCATTTCGACTTCAGGCCATCTTGCCCAACGACATCAACTGAGACACATGCCCACACTGGCATCATGGCGGACGTCGAAGAGCCAAAGTTGAATTCCCTTGCGGATCGCATCGCCGCTCTAAATCAGCAAAAGAACTTCTCTACACCACCACCGGGCGGCAAACGCCCTCCTCCACCACCGCCGCCGGGCAAGGCTGCGGCTGCCCCCGCGAGTGTACGGTCGACTACGAATGGTGCCGACCTCCAAAAAAGCCCCAAGATACCTGCGCGCCCGCAGAGAAGGGAACCGCCGCCCGTCCTCCCCCAACGAACCAAAACTTCGGATTCGACCATCGAGAGTCGTCCGAACCTCCCAGGCCGAATAGCTCCTCCGCCGCTCCCAGGCCGCAAAGACTCGGGTGTACCGTCGCCTGCTCTGCCACCTCGAAGACCCTCGACACAGCAGCTTACCAATAGGAGGGGCTCAAATGCGTCTGAGTTGTCTCAGATCTCGACAATCTCGAACCTGTCTCTAGCGCCCATCTCATCCCGCACGAGCACCACTTCGACCGAAACACAATACCCCCCGAGGAGGGTCCTTGCGCCATCGCTAGACCAGGCGAAACTACCGCCATTGCCACGTTCAAGAAAGGAGAGGGAAGCCCAAGCAGCCAAGGAAGCAGCAGAAAGGGAGAGGACTGAGGTCATCAAAGCTCCCCTCGTGTCTGCTCGATCTGCTCCAGCAATACCCCAAATCGGCTCAGGAGACCGACCTGGCTTGCCACCAAGGTTGTCGTCAAGGCCCGGGCGGTCAACGGATCCTGCGGCGGATGAAGCGTCTTATACTGGCCCGCGCCGTCTTCCACCACCGCCTTCTGCCTTCGTACGGCCCAACACGACCCTAGGATCATCGCAGAGACCTCCCTCTATTCCAACCAATAGAACGTCGGACAGCTCACCACCACCAGTTCCGGTCGCGTCCCGGCCGACATTCGATCAGATCAAAGCGGTCACGGTGCGCGCCGCTGAGAGCCAGGCTAAGTCGTGTTTGGTATGCAGAGACTTCTCTGGTCCTGACAGCGTTGCAGCGCAGTATCCTAACCATTCTCTCCCAAGACATGATCCTGTGGGGTATCTTGCCAATGTCCTCTGCGGGCCCTTCCCGTCCGCGACAGACAAAGCTCGGGCGATATTTACATGGTGCCACCACAACATAGCTTACAACGTGGAGGAGTTCTTCGCCAAGTGTATCAAGGGCCGCGATGTCAGCGAGACTATATTTCACGGCAAGGCCGTCTGCCAGGGGTACGCCGAGGTCTACCAGGCAATTGCCCAACGCGCAGGACTACAATGTGTTGTTGTCGGTGGGCACGGTAAGGGCTATGGGTACACCCCCCTTACTAAAGGCCAGGCGCCACCTCGGAAGGATCCTTCTGGTCACGCCTGGAACGCGGTATGCATCGACAACGGAGAATGGAAGCTCCTCGACGCATGTTGGGGCGCGGGCTCAGTCGGTGAACAGCAGTTTCACAAGAAGTTCAACCCAGAGATGTTTTGTCTGTCAAACGAACGCTTTGGGCTGAAACACTTCCCTCGTAACAAAACACACTTCTACCGCAACGACGGACGCGTCGTCAGCTGGGAGGAGTACATGATAGGCCCCGTCAACGGCGAGAGGGCGCAATGGTACGGCACGGGTACCGAAGAAGGCTTCTCCGAGTTCACGTTCAGCCCGGCCGAGAAGCACATCCCCGTGCACAGCGGCAAGACGGTGCGGTTCCAGTTCTCCAAGATCTGCGAGCACTGGGTCCCCGAGAAGCACGGCAAGGGATCGGGCTACCTGCTGCTGATGAAGATCCACGGCACCGACGGCCGCAAGGAGGACCTCGTGACCTTCGAGACGGACGGCTTCTGGTGGTGGGCCGACATCCCCGCGCGCGACCTCGGGGCGCCCGGCCAGAAGGTCTTTCTGTATGCGCTGACGACGCTGAATAATCGCGACGCGCGGGGCGTGACGAAGGAGGAGTATTATCGGGTCAAGGGCAGTGGCGGGTATAGCATGAGCTGGGCGATTTACTGCCAGTGGGAATTGGTGTAACGAGCTCTGACTCGAACCGGGTCAAGTCTGGCATAGGGGTCTTTGTGGTTTTATTGATGGGGGACAGGGCGGATGAAAGCTTAATGGATTGGAGGTCTTGGTGCTGGTCACGGAGGGTATATAGGCATAAACTGGTATGGGACCTGCGGTGTAATGACTCCCATGCATGCAATGATATCAATTTTAGACTTTGAACGATGTGCTGGGGTACCCAGTCTGCAAATCTGCAATAACTTCACATCTAATAGATATATAACACTACTATTATTAAAATCTCATTTCCATTAACCGATGAAAGCTTAATATAAAGCTATAAAATTAAATTAATAAAAAATCATTTACGCGTTTCATTAACGTAATAACAATATATAAAATTAAAAGGTTTTCATCGAGGGTTTTTTTTTAATAGGTCATAAGTTTTAATTAATTGGTTTTCAAATTTTGTATACTACCAATTTATACTTTAATTTATATTATATAAGATTAATCAAAAATTTTACAGTGTTTAACCGATTGTTTTTATAAGTTTTGATTCATAAAGTCTAAACGTTTTAAATAAAAATAACAGACTTTTTTAATAATAATATAAAGTTATAAAACATAATAATTATATAATAAATTTAAAAATAAATAAACATAAAAGCTTAATAAATTACGGCTCTTAAAACATTATATAAAGTTATTTTAATTAAATACTTTTTTATAAAGTTATTTTAATTAAATACTTTTTTATAAAGTTATTTTAATTAAATACTTTTTTATAAAGTTATTTTAATTAAATACTTTTTTATAAAGTAATTAATTAAGTTTATATTATAAATAAATGTCAGATGTTAGATCCCAGATATGGTGCCCTTAGGTGCAGTACCCACTAGGGGGCTGTCAAGGGAACAGTGGATCCACCTTGGCATGGTGCAGTATAGTATTTAGCTGTAGATTAGCCCTGCCGAGCATACTTGAGAATGACAACAACATTTGCAGCGACCGCTCACACCTCCAAGGCTTGTAACCCTTCTAGAACCTCACAATAAGGCATATTCATTTATACTTAGTGCGTTTTTCATATAAAATTATGTAAACTTTCGATTCATATAAGATTAAAACTATTATTATTATGTTAAAAAAGCTTACAGCTTTTGAAAAGCTAATATCTATGAAATAATTAAATTAATCCGGTAAATACATAAATAATGAATAGCTTTTAAGATATTATCTTGTAAATTTATATAGAGTTATAATATAACATTAAAAATATTTAATGTTCATAAGTCAAAAAGTATTATTTTAATTTAACTTAAGCTTTTAAAAAGGCAGTTAGTTATAAAAATATCTAATCAATTTTTAAAAATATTTAATATATTATTAAAACAAAACTTAATTATAAAAATCTTTCAAAGGTTTTTAAATTTTTTAAATTTTTTGTTTATATTTATATATTCTCAAAACTTATTATAAAACGACTTAAACTGATCGTTATAAAATTAAAAATTCGTACAGTTTTATAATTTTAATTAATAACTTTATTATAAGGTTTAGCTATTTTTTTCAATTTTTTATGCTTCAATTCATACTAAATACAATGTTTTTAGCTTTTAATTATAAAGGTTTTAAATTTTATACTTTTATAATGCGCGTTTTGGGCTTGTTGTATGAGATGTTTTTATATTTATGCCAGGATAAAATTTATTATAATAAACCTATATACTTTAAAAAAGAAATTACGGCAGAATAACTTAAATATAACTATAGCTTTATATTTATAATTATATTATATTAGAAGAAACTAGTTGATCTTTAATTGATTCATTATATAATTGAAAGTAAAGCATATAAAAGTCACTTTTCCTGTTATTATTTAACGAACTAAGAAACATTTATCGCTTTTATATTTGTTTGTAAATAACGACGCCTGTTACGAACCAACAAATACTACGGCCTGTTGGAGGACCAAGGGGAGTACACCAAGAACCAATGGAATCAGAAGCCAGGAACGGAACAATGGGTATTACGGATTACATAACAAACGGTCATGTGACGGATCACTGGATCATGGAGTGAGCCTGCGAGGATCACTGGATCAGGGAGTGAGCCAGTGAGCATCACTCTGGGACAAGGTGATCCTACTCCATCAGTGAAGGAGAGATTAGATATATAAGGACAGACATTTCCCAACTAGATAGATAGACAGTCTCTACCTCAGTGATCAATCTAAGCATCTTAGCCAACCCTAAGATGGGAGAAATCTCCTGACGACTTGACTATGCAGTGAACCCAGTTCAGACCAAGCCCCAGCATCTGAGTGTCTTCTAGTTGACGGAAGCCTCTATCGTCTTTTGTGTTGACTTATCTCAGAACATAAACCCTATAGAACCCTTTAGCCTTATAGGTTAGACGGCTCGTAACAACAAACTCGATAAGGTCAATAAATATTAATAATTTGTAATAAATATATATAAAATAACGAGTTGTACAATATGTTGAAAATTGTTAAATAACAATAAAAATAGTTTGTATATAATAACAAATTAAATTTAAACCAATTTAAGATAAGTTATAGTAAACAACATATTAGTGTATAAAATTACTTTGAGTGTAGAATTTAGGTTTTAAATTAGAAAAGAGATTAAATTAGTCAATAGTATATAATATTTAAATATGTATAATATATTTAGAATAATCAATTTAAACCTAATATAATAAATATTAGATTCTCTTTAAATTTTATTATAATTTTTATTACTTTCTGTAAAACCTTGAATAAAACCGCTCAAAAAAACTGGAAAATTTATAGCCTTAAAAATATAAAATAAAACGGAGCAACTAATTGGGCTATGTTTTGAATTGTACCAGAAAGCTTATTAAAAATAATTATTAAGCCGATTTACTATTTACTTCATATTAAATAAGCATTATTTTTAATCGAATAACTTAGTTATCCTAAACAATAAACTCTTATACCTTTAAAGGTTAAAAGCCTTTTTGATGCATAGCGCAACAAGTTCAACGATAGCTTAAAATTAACCGGTTACAGCTTTTACAACTTAATATAACCTTATATAAAGCCTTATATTTAATTATATCTTAATAATAAAAATAAACTTAGAATGCCATTATAACCGATTTAATCCGGGTTTCTTTATAAGCGCGGCTTATTTAATTAAATAAAGACTTTATAATATCAAAATAAATATAAGAGAAATAAAAAATAAATAAATAAATAAAAACCGAATATTTTACAACTAAAACTTAAATATATAGCCGGTGTCACGACCAGATCAAGGCATTGAGGCGAACTCAGTCCATTGGGTGCTATAGACGAAGATTCTAAGCTAAAGAGAAAAGGAAAGAAATGACCAACAACGCATTGCAAAAAGCGCGACCAAGTCCAGGAGCAGGTGGAGCTCTGCTTGTGCCTGATCCCCACAGCCAGCTTCCGATTGGCTACCACAGTCCTGGCAGTTGAGGGCTGCTTGGGAGCAGGTCCTCACAGCCGGCATGTTTATTAAAATATTTAGGACTTTTGAGATTTTATATAAAAATCAAATACAACTTTATTATTTAAGAAAAGCCTAACAATAAAAAAGAAAAAAGCAAGTAAATCTATTAGCTTTATAATAAGCTAGTAATAGTCAAAGCCGATTTCTTACTTTTTAAAAATTTAACTTAGTTCATAAAGTGGCTTAATATCATCTTTTAGCCAGCTATAACTCGAATAAAAATAGGGTAATAAGGTTAAAAGGCTTGATATGTGACGTTCGGTATGTTTGAATAGGACATAAAAGCCTTTGTTTACTATGTATGTATAACTATCTCTAGCTGAAGAGGAAAAAGAAGATCGAGCGGCACAGCAAAATCTGGTGGGCAACTAGATAAGTGTGTCCGCCCCACCATTTAAAGACCTAGTGGGTCTGAGACAACCAGCCGTCTAGGAGGTCACGTGCTGTCACGTGATCCCAGGACCATTACCGATGGTAGCGACGTAGCAACCATCACATAAACTATATAAAAAGCGTTAATATATACAAGCGTAAATATAATATAAGCAGTAAATATTTAGCTTAATAATTATATTACGGATATTTTATAAAAGTATATTAAATAAAGCTAATAATACGGTATAAAAGTCTCCGTTTATCTGTAGTAAATTTCTTATAATAACAAAATTATAATATTTTTATTTTATCGCCTTTTTACAAGTAAAAATATTAAATATTTGATTGATAACCTTTGTTAATACCATTATATTTTTCGATTTAATGTAGCTTATTTCTTTATATTAATCTCTTTTAGCTAAGATGAAAATTAATTATTTAATAATAATAAAATCAATTGTAATATAGTTGTTAAATTACTTTAAAACCGGATGCTATAAAAGGTAAAAGCCTTATCAAATAAGACTTTATAAAGTTAAACGCTTTTTAATTACAATTCGTGATTTTAAATATGTTAAGTATAAAAATCATAATCCCTTTTAATTAATCCTTTAATCGAAGCATTTTAAAAAAAGAAACTATCATTCTTTTTAATTAAAATCTTTAATTTTAAACTAAAAAACTACTACCCTTTTTAAATATATATCTTAATTTTAAGCTGAAAAACTACCATTACTTTTAATTAAAACCCCTAATTTGAAATATTTTAAATAAATGAACTATTATTCCTTTTAATTAATTTCCTTACTTTTAAATAAAAATTTAGTACTTCTTGTGATAGTTCTACCATCCATCAGGTCTAGCGATGGTCCTTATAGTCCCCGGGTCACGTGACTGAGCACGTGACTGATCGGACGATAGGTTAATCCATGCCTTGGTGGGCCTGGTGGGAGACGACTGCCCACATCTAGCTGCCCACCAATTTGGGTGCATCTCCAGATCTTTCTTTTCTTTCAACCAGAGTTTGTTATACGTTAATAGTCAATAAAGGTCCCTGTATCATTCCAATACATTTACGGAATCGTGACACTTCTTTTTTTTTTTAATCCTAATTTTAAACGAGGGGGTTATTATTTCAAAATCCTTATTTTCTAGCCTAAGAACTAAAGCAACTATTACCCTTTCTACTCAAATTCCCTGATTTTAAACGAAAATACTACTATTCCTTTTAATCAAAGTCCGTAATTTTAGGTAAAAGGTTTACCATTCCATTTAATTAATATTCTCGATTTTAAATATCAAGTCTACAGTCTTTTTTATTGAAAGTCTATAATTTAAAATGGAAAAACTATTACTCTTTTTGATTAAAACCCTTGATTTTAAATATATGTTTTCAAAAAAAACTATTCTTTCTTTTAATTAAAATCCCTGAATTTGTACAAAGATACCACTATCCGTTTTAATCAAAAAAATTAGTCTTAAGTAAAGTAACCCTTTTTAATCAAAAGGATTCGTTTTAATCGATAGTTACGTAAGCTAAAACCCTAGTTTCAATAGTGGGTAGGGAGCCTATTTTTGTATTAGATGTAGAGTTATTACGGATTTACAGATGTTCTACTCCCGTTTATTATACTTTGTTCTTAACCTTGCTTTTTTCGATGTAATGCGTGCATGGTAGATAGAAGAAGCTTGCAAATGGTAACCTGTATACTATGATTAAACGAATAGTGAAGCATTCATTTATTGGTTTACGTATGGCAAACCTCGTTTAATGTTATAATTGATTTGTTTATTTCTCCTGCTAAGGCTATCACCACCCACTTCCCCGGCCTTATGATAATAGGAGATGAGCAGACCATCTTTAGTCCCGAGAAAAAGGGGGCGGCGGAGCTGGTCATAAGGCTATGTATCCATTGTATGTACACTGCACCCTCACAAGTCTCCGCATACCACCCGTCCAGCAAACAACTGTATTCACCGAATCTCAATAAGGATGATAGAATAAGCATTAGAAGTGGCGTATCAAACTACAGTTGCTTATTCCTGTCTGCTTATGTCAGTATTTCCAGGTTTCCACGTGTGATCTGGAATCTTACTAAGTTTGATGCGTGTAAGGAGACTTGTAAGGGCTGAGTGTAACGAGGTAGAGAAGGAGCGTTGGCCTTTTTGTCTATCTACCCCTGGCCACCGGGATTAGAAGGCGTAGGCCCCGTTGTGAGAGGAATAGGGGTAGGGTTTGGAGATGGAGCATAAGACATGTAGGTGAAGTGGCCGTAGAATAGATGCGCTGGATACGGTGGCTGGAAGGGGGTTTGCCAGGGGTTCGCCGTCGGACAGCATCCTCGGTCGACTAAGCTGAATACGTTATCAATAGACCACTAATTAGGTTGTCTTCTACAGACGATGACGAGGGCTGCACGTTTCTCACCCCTATGAATGATCATATAATGGCGTCTCGTGATCCGACCTCAGTTTGTGACACGCAAACAGCAAACACCACAGCCGAGCCGCGTGAAAGATGAGATTGTCAACCAAGTCACATCGTGGTAAGACTTCCTGTTGAATGTGACTCACGGGTAGAATAAGTACCGATGAAGTTTGCTTCGTTCGCCGCCCTACGTGCGAATGCCGATATGTTGTTGAACGGGATACAATCCCGGCTGCCTCGTACTTGAGATCATCGAGTCTAGCACAGCCAGCTTCCGGCCTACTGGCAGCCTTGTCTTGACTATGCATCTTCGTAGAATAGCATAAGAAGGCAACGAACGGCAGCGTCATGCGACTATGAGTGGTCTCTACTACAGACGACCAGTCCTCAGTTCTAGTTCGGGGGCGCTTCCGGCTCTAGGTTCAAGCTCGATTCTCCAGTTTCTCTTTGGGTATCGTGACTTACTATGCATATCCTCAGCGTTCTGTCTACGGCTATCTTGGCCGTACTCGGCCTACCATTGGCAGCCGCTATGCCCACCAATGGCACACAGCCCATACCGCACCCAAACTCGACAGCCCGCTATGGCATCTTCGATGAGAAGCAAGGCCACGTCCTCAGCGACTTGCCCTCCGAGTGCCGCTTCCAGAACCTAATAATTGGGTTCTGGTACTACGCTCTGCCGGCCTCGGGAGGCCACACGGCGTGCCTCGGCGGGCCGCACTACGACTTCCCGGGGGTACGTATAGAAACAGCCCATCACAAGACCCCGAGCCTTCCAGGTTTCGAGAACAAGCCTTGGTGTTCTCCTTCCTTCTTCATCTAGAGGTCTGCTATCCTGGTTTCAAGACGGGGTGTTAACCTACACGCAGTGGTACTGCAGCGAGACCTCATTCTGGCCTCCGGCGTACATCGACAGCATGGTGGCAGCAGTAACAGAACAGACGACCAAGGACGGGCAGTTCGAGGCGAGCGGGAACGGCCACTGGACCGTAAACTTCGACTGGTTCACGACGGCGATCCCGGACCGCGGGTTCACGGCGCAGGCCTTCGAGGACCTCGTCCGTAATCACCTGCAGCGCTGCGACGAGGCGCCGTATAGCTGTTGGAGGCAGCAGACTAAGTACTGGTACAGGGCGGACGGACAGGTGAGTGGGTGTGGATAGACGGATGGTGGCTGGCCCGAGAGCTGAGTTGATGCTCTTGGGTTGATTTGCGATGCGTTGGGCTGCTGCTGACTGACTGAATCTTGCGCAGGAGATGTATTTGACGTATGATATAGGAGGTTGGCTGGCGGGTGATTTCTGCCCACCCCTTTAAGCATGTTTCAACACATTTGAAGGCGGTAAAGATGCAGATGGTAGTGGGATGATTGCCGGGATCTGGTCTTGTGAAAATAGGGGGCTGCTTGAGAGCAATACGGGTCTCATCAGGTTGGCAAGGAGCATACATGATGCAGGTATAACAGAACGCCATAGGGATTCGGTAGCACGTTAATTCCACGAGAGTACAGTGGTAGATGCCCAACTGCCATGAGATTACGAGCTTGGGGGTATACAAGTGTTAGGATGTTGGCACCAGGTAGCCTCCAGCTTGTTGTAGCGTTACTGGAGGAGTGCTCAAAGACCGAACCGCTGAGAGTCGTATTCAAAGTACGCCCCGTCAAATCGCCGTTCGCTGCAAGAGGACATTCTGTACACGACGGCCGATATCATGCTGATCAACTATGGGTGGCAGATGTGGCAGACAAGTGAAGGTTGTAATGAATTTGCCTTTGTAACAGCCTGGGAGGCATGATGGTAAAGGCGGGATAACCATCGACAGCAACAACGGAACTCGAACGGTATGCCTGCGATGAGGGAATAAAAAATACAAAAGCAAAGCCGGCTCCTACGAGCCAGTGAACTTAGATAAGCTAGATATATCTTCTTGTGTGAGTCAAGCTAGTTTGCCGAAAGGGGATTCTCTCAAAACTATATAACTGTCTTGCTCTTGGTTGAACTTCGGGATGCCGCGGTGCAGGTGCGGATGGGAAACGAAGGTTGACGTCATTTGCTTTTGTGCACCAGACCGGGCACGGGCAGTCTTGGCAGTATCTCCAAAACCGAGTCCGTTTTCGCAGCTCGCAGTGGGTATCTTCACGACGGACTTCACCAAGACATCATAATCCGAGCCCTTTCTCATTTCGTGAGAGCGGCACAGGAGACGAGGGAGACGACATGCTGGCCAACTGGCAGCATACGGTGAGATTACCTAAGCCGAGCCTTTGGTCCTGTCTGTTGGTTGGTTGGGTGCATAGAACTTTAGCGCAGGATCAGCTTACACCTTATCTTACACTGTCACTTACACTGTCACCAAGAGCTCCGCTTCACCCCAAAAGAAAAGAAACAAGTGCAAAAGGCACTGTTCTCATCCTCAACCATGGTCTTATCCCGTGTTAGCAATGCCTGGCTCGTCCTGCTGTTCGTAGGCATAGCAGTCGCATCTGTCTTTGGTGGCAATGCCTCGAAAAACGTCTCCAGCGCCTCCCTGAGCCTGGGGGAGCTGGGAGACAAGCTCCAGGTAAGCAGGCGACACCTCTGGTCTGACCCTGCGTGCTCGCAACCAAGCCACTGACTCCAAAGCCAGACCTGCAAAGTCGTCCAGCAGCTCAACGACGAGAAGCTCGCCAGCTCCGCCGAGACCTCCACCGTGACCTCCAAGATCTTCGCCGCCCTCTTCCCCGGCAGCCCGGCCGTGAACGCGCTCCTCGCAACCCTCTACATCTCCGGCCCCCCAAACTTCCTGTTGGCGCTGTGCCCGCCCAACATCGACCCGGCGTCGCTGTCCGTCATGGTCGCGTTTGCCGTGGGCGGGCTGCTGGGCGACACGCTGTTCCACCTGCTGCCCGAGATCTTCGTCGGCGAGGCCAGCCCCGAACACGTGAGCTTCGTCCTCGTGGAGCCGAATCGCAACCTGCTGCTTGGGGTTGCCATCATGGTTGGGTTCATGACCTTCGTGGCCATGGACAAGGGGTTGCGCATCGCGACGGGCGGCGAGGGACACGACCATGGTCATGGTGGTCATTCACACGAGCAGTTGGATCAGGCTAAAGCTACATCGACTGCGATGGAGGCTTCGGGGAAGGCTTCGGGGAAGGAGGCCAAGAACCGCAAGAAGGGGAAGAACGGGACCAAGAGTGCCGAGCTGGAGCGCAAGGGCGAAAGGGAGATCAGTCCGAGCGTCAAGCTTGGCGGCTATCTCAACCTGATGTGCGTCCTCGTATCGCTCCGTCTTGGGGCTTCGTGAAGCTGATTGCTAACCAACGTATGCAGCGCCGACTTCACCCACAACATCACCGACGGCCTAGCCATGTCGGCATCATTCTACGCATCTCCGACCATTGGCGCCACGACGACCGTAGCGGTCTTTTTCCACGAGATCCCGCACGAAGTGGGTGATTTCGCACTGCTGATCCAGTCAGGATTCTCAAAAAGGGTGGCCATGGGCGCGCAGTTCGTGACAGCCCTGGGTGCGCTGCTCGGGACGCTGATCGGCATCGCTGTCCAGGAGTTTGGCGGTGGCAGTGCGGATAGCAATTCCATCAGCATGACGGGCGGCATCTGGGGCACCAGCTTGACGTATGGCGATCTGCTGCTGCCTTTCACGGCCGGGACCTTCCTGTATGTCGGGACGGTGGCCGTCATCCCGGAGCTGCTGGAGACGGGCCCCAACAAGGCGCAGGAGTTTCGCAAGATGGTTGTGCAGTTTGCCGCTATTGCGGTTGGCGCTGGTATCATGTTGTACATCTCGTGGGACTAGTTGAGAATCATGTCTGCCAAAGGCAGTCAGACCTGTTGCTGAAAGTCACATTTTACACATGAGATGGGATTGAATAAATCATCTCGCTTCACGTTGTGTTATTAACTGCATTGCTTCAGTTCTCCGTGACTCCTGCCAAGCCGGAAGACGCGCGTCTGATACTACAGGTCCACCCATCGTCACCCTGTTGCCCTGAAGGGCGTGAACTACTACGCTACATTTCTATTTACTCACCTCAGGTTCCTGTGAGCGACGTAATAAGTCTGGGCGGATAGCATTGGCGTCCCATTCAAGCTTCAGCCCAGCCCTCGTAGGGCAGACCTTATCGGCAGAGCGACAACGCCAAGGGGACCCGACGATGCAACGGGACGCGTTCCTGCAGCTCCAGCTTGGTTTTCGCCCGTAGTCCAGGCCCGGTAACAGGTAACAGAGGACCCTGAGGGGTTCGGAGCAGGACCAGGCGAACCGGTTTGAGGTTCGAGCTTAGCACCATCGCCGCCTGAACGGGAACCTTATTAAGAGAGAGTTACGGTACGTGCTAATTATGTACTCATCGGTTGGACTAGACCAGGGCGTTTTGTCGGAACACTTGTTGGTTGGACAGGCTGACCGGTGACAGGTCAGGGGAAAGGAGTACATCGTCGATTTGGGCCGATATCGGAAATCCTTCCGTCGAGAGTTGGCCGGACGAAAGCGAGCGCAAGTCAGTGTCAGACTTCTTATTACATGTGATGACACTGCGGCACAGCGTGCCATGAACCGCAGGGCGGTTACAATCGCTTATTACGTATGGCATCACAACGAGTTTCTATGACTGTTCCGTCGGTCGGATAATCCACTTGGTGCTTCGGCTCACGATGCCTTCGGGTCCCCAGCTCTCCACACCGACGGAAGGGAAGGAAGACTGAAGTTCCATGATCGTGTCGCCATCCATCGCCATCGAGTTGTCTGGTTCTCCCCTCGGTGGAAGGCTTTTTCTTTTTTTCCTTTCATGCACAGTCGTGCATATCATGATTTACCTTTGGCTGCATGACGCGTCCAATGACTTCTCACGTAACAATGCGCATGGCCATACTCGTGCTCTTGGTGCATACCTAGGTAGAGGCCCGAGAGGATGACTCCAGCAGGATGACTCCGGCGGGACGGAGCTACCGCAGGGCTGAATCACCCATGCTAGTGCATGTCAAAAGTTCAAACCCCGGAAGACTTTTGAAAGGCGTAGACTGCACGCGCAATTCCCGAAATTCAGTGCGTGGTAAGCCGAGCCGAAGCCGTCAGGGCAGTACTTGACGAACATCCATCCTCAAGCGGATAGCGGAGGTCATCGCGTAACGAACGGTATGGGAGTCAGACCCCAGAGCCAGGCAAAGGCAAGCCAGGCCGAGAACGTCGATCCATCCAAGCAATAGCGCAAATCCCACCAGCTCGCACACCTTGATGGATATGGGGGGGATCGAGACTAACCTAGGGACATGTAATCAGGAAGGGCGCACGCCGCACGCCAAACCCTCAAAGGCGTATACTTCGCCAAAACCTCGCCAGTGCTGACCTCTAAAGGCATAGCCTCGGACTGGCCACCTTTGCAGGTCAAGCGGCAACCAAGGTTTCATACGATCAGCTCCAGAAAATCCCAATGGCGCACCCCGTCCGCTTAGAAATGGGCTTACTAGTGACCACGCCGCAGCAACCTGGCAAGCCTGGTAACCCGAAGGGCGGGCAGCGCTCAATTTCCTTACGTCAACCAGGAGTAGACTGCATGGCTTCTGTGACAGCTCTTACTAAGTACACCGATATGGTGTGAGCCTTTCATGGCATGCAGGATGACTCAATTAGTCAATCGCAACAACAGATCCACTGGCTACAAGGGATGCTCGTGTTGTTGTCCCAATTGGCAGGCTTATATATAAGTCTACGGGTCCTTACACCTCGTGGTGACATGCAAACAACTGGCACATTATACATACACCGGCCTACCGTTCACCTATCCATCCGTCACATCCCATCAGCTTGAAGGAACTCTGCAGGTACCATCAAAGGGAACGGGCTCTATGAGATTCGGAGACATCTTGCCGGGTAACAACAGGCAAACAACCAACATCGAGGGATCAGACAGGAGGATCTCCGGGTGGACAGCACTTATAGTCCAACATTACTATTCCAACCCAACCAACAGCCAGCCAACCCCGCATAACACCGTTGACGGCGTCAACCCCCGACTGAAGATTCCCCGGACCTACAAAGCCACTACGGTTGCTCGACCGTCTGTGAGGAGCAGTAGCAAAATCAACATGTCCACATACTCGTCCTCGGGCAGCAGCAGGGCCGCCTTTCCAGGCCCTTATGCGCGTAAGATTTCGCTGACTTCCAAGCCAAACATGGCCATCCACATCGACAACCACTACCGGTCCAAGGTCTACACCACCTCGTCAGAAGTCTCGGGGCACGTCGACATCAGCCCCGCGAACGACGTGCGGTTCGACACCCTGCAGATCTTGCTACTCGGCACCAGCAGAACGCGCGTAGACGCCGTCAGCATCCCGCAGGCGACGTCTCACACGTTCCTGAAGCTCACGATGCCCATCCCAGAGTCCAGCTACCCGGTCCCGCGGGTTTTCGAGACGGGCAGGACCTACAAGGTGCCGTTCAACTTTGTCATCCCTAGCCACCTCACGCTCAACGCCTGCAACCACAAGGTCTGCAATGATTCTGTCCAGGAGCATCACGTGCGCCTGCCGCCCTCAGTAGGCGGCTGGGAGAAGGACGACTTTGCGCCGAACATGTCACGGGTAAACTACTGCATCAAGGCCCGAGTGCTGCGGGACGAAGAAGTGGGCGCGCCCGCCGTCAAGGTGATGGAAGAGGGCAAGGAGATCAAGGTCCTGCCGGCGGTCCCGGAGGATGCGCCGCTGAACGTCACGGCGCAGGACAAGCTGTACACCATGTCCAGGAGCAAGACGCTGCGCAAGTCGATCCTGTCGGCCAAGAGCGGCAAGGTGACCGTCTCGGCCAACCAGCCGGCACCGGCGATGATGACCCCCGATGGACACTCCGTCTCGCCCACGACGGCGCAGCTGGACCTCGAGTTCGAGCCGACGTCGAGCAACGAGTCGCAGCCGCCGAGGGTGACGGGCGTGACGGCCAAGGTCATGGCCGTGTCGTTCTACTCGGCGGGGCCTATCAACCACTACCCGAACCTCAAGGACTGGGCGCGCGGCTTCGGCGCCGAGGGGCGCGGGTGCTACACGGGGTCCGTGTCGCTCGGCGCGACGGCCCCCGTCGGCAAGGTCGCCTGGAAGCAGCACTTGACGTGCCAGGCACGGCGGGACTCGGGCTACTGCACCGACGACACGGATCAGACAGTCGAGAGTCCGCGAATAGCCTCACCCGCCGGCAACAGCAACAAGAAGCACAGCAGCAAGACATCCCCCTACTACCACACCACCTCCCTCCAGATCCCCATCCGCCTCCCCACCGCCAAGCGCCAGTTCATCCCGACGTTCCACTCGTGTATCACGTCGCGCGTGTACGTGCTCGCGCTCACGGTATCACTGTCCTCGGGGAGCGGTAGTACCAACGGCAGCGTGACGCTTGAACTTCCCCTACAGATCGGCGTTGACGTGCTGGCTGCGCCGCGCGTGGATCCGAGCGGCCTGCCGTCGTTTGAGGCGGCCATGGAGGACGCGGCCGTGGACGAGCTGCTGAGGCCGCGCGTGCTGGGGCTGGGTCGGCTTGCGGGCGGCGAAGTGCTGCCGGGGTATGCGAGGCGGGATGGGGTTGCTGTGCGGTGAGATGGGGTGTGTTGATTCGAATTCGAGTTGAGGAAAGGAGAAGACAGGATAGGGGAGCTTCGAACTTTTCGTTTCAGTCTTTGCATTTTCTAGATCCTCGGGGCAGGCAAGTTTGGGCTATATCCTCGTTTCGTCTCAGGGGCATTTGGCGTACGGAAGCATGGCGTCCACGGCGAGATTGCTTGGTCGTGGGGTCGACTTCTATGCTTCTGCTTGGATCCGGTCAGGCTGCGTCTTGATACGCATATATACCCTGGGATGGCTTGTTCGTGTATATTTGACCGCGGTTTCGTTAGTGTTTCCGCGCAGGGAGGAGCAAGATTGACTGACATGTGGTTAATAGTGCTGGGTTCGAATCTTAACAGCATGGCAATGATGGGCATCTTTATAGATATAGACCTCATTGACATGTTGAAATTAATTGATGGCAAAAGCCATGGGAGATAACAGTGCCATGTCCATTGATGTGACATTGCATGAAATTACGCACGATGAACACCATGTTGGCTGAAAGCTTGTCAAGATTGCTCTTCATGTGTCTTGTCAATCTTGAGTCCATGAGAATTTCCTGACCATTATAATGTTAACCTTCCATTGTCTCAAATCCAGATCTTTGCGAGCTCGTATAGTTGTTCAAGGTCCATTGGGATCTCGCTCATAACATCGCTCGGAACAGTTGTCCCGACTTGAGATAAAGGGGCATCCTCTCCAATCCGAAACCATTACCTATTACCCGTCGCGGCAACAAATACCAACCCAATTATCCTAAGTACTCTTTTTATCAATCTCCCCTACCGACCCGTAGAGCCCATCATGCTATCTTCACCCGGATGCCCATACATGTTATGATACGCCTGCTCCTGGCTATAAGCGGGGTACGCGGGACTCAGCCCCGGGTCGTCACCGTCTGACGCATACGAGCTGCTGTAGATCTGCGTCTGGTCTCCATACCCATAGTTGCCCGCGCCCGCATGCGCCATCGTCGGCCCCGCGCCCTTGTCTTCGCGCAGACCCAAGCCCCGGACCGGCTTTATTTCGAAGCCAGCGCTCACGTCCTGAACGTGCGTATAATCACCACCACCACCTTCCACACCCCCACCGCTGGAGTCCCGAAGCTTGGCAAACCCGCGCATCCCAAATCTTCCCCGGCGGAAGAACAGCCGCGGCGGGCACGGGACGTGCGTCAGCACGAGCACGGAGAAGAAGACGAGGCACAGCGTGGGCAGCGGCCACGGGGTCGTGATGAAGACCCAGCCCTTCACATCATCAAGCGACAAGAGATCGACGAGCGCCAGCGCGACGCCCATGAGCGCGAACAGCGCCGCGCGCATGTACCCGAACCAGGTCCAGCCGCGCCGGCGCGTCGTCAGGACGTGCAGCGCGGTCATGAGCACGAGCGACAGGCCGGCCGTGGCGTAGACGTACTGGAACACGAGCACGAAGCGGTTGCCCGTCGCGTCCAGGAGCGTCGCGTTGATGGGCTCGATGTCGAAGTTGGCGAAGACCGAGTTGCAGACCGTGGCGACTGTTGGCAAATTAGGGTCAGTAATTACTCCTCTTAGATGTTTTGCCGAGAAACAAAGTGTCGCAATGCATGTCTTGGGAGCAAGGATCTTAACACAGGCTGGAAGAGGAAATTCGCGCCCGGGACATGGCCATGTGGGGCAACAAGAGACTCGAAAATGTACATACACAGGTCCGAGATGTCCTGCGTGAAGACGTCGTCGACGGCGGGGTCGGTGAAGTCCTCGTACCAGTAGGCGTCGGGAATCTGCGAGACGTTGGAGAGAACCCGGTCGACCTCTTCGTAGGTTATAGCGTAGGTCGGGGCGTACATGGTCCAAATGTACTTGACGGTCGCGTTGAGCGAGTCGACGACAGCCTGCGTGGCCTTGTCCTTGGGGAGGTTTGAATCTAGATTGGTGAAGGCGTGGTCGAATTGGTCGAAGGCGAACAATTGCACTTCGAGCTTTCGAAGGGGTGAGTAAAGGTTTCAAGGGGGCTGGTTAGAGGGAAGAGACTGACCAGTTTCCACCACTGTAGGAACTGGGTCACGCCCTCCATGAAGAGAATTAGGAAGACGTGCAATGGGAAGTGTAGAAAAGACCATAGCAGCTGGCGCACGCCCGCCAGACGCTTGTGTTGGTCCATCCAGTTGGTGTATATCAGAAACACCACGTATATCGTTGCGATGCCGGCGGTGAGTATCCCAATGGTTGCAGATGCTGGACTCGTTAGCAACGACCACAAATGTACAACTAGACGAGGACAGGTCCTACTCCAACCGTTATTCTTGACGATCACGATGACGTTCTTCGCTATGGCCGTGACACCTAGATAGATTAGAGCGATCATTTAGAGCGGATGAGAGGTGTCACTAACCTTCTCCGAGGATGATTAGAGTCAAAGTCTTCATCCGCTCCGTCAGCTGCGTCCCGTTGAAACTGAGTGCTTGGGAAGAGAGCGAGAGGCCCAACTGCAAGATCGCCTCCATCAAGGCGATGACATACCACGCCACGAAGACCCTGCTGTTCCTGCCGTCTTCAAATCGGAACGATATACCGTGGTACACCAAGGCGGCTATGAAGTGAAAGGCAATAACGATCGCTAAGGGTATCTTGCCGTGCTGAAACTTCCGTATGTGCCATAAGATGGCTAGATACTCGACGACGAGCACGAGTCTTGAGACCATGAGGATCAGGGCTAATGACTGGTCAGGGGATACATCTCGAGAGAAGAAATGTATCGAACCACTTACACAAGGCTTGGAAGGTTCCCTTCTTCTGAGCATCCGGATCGAAATTCGTCGCGACGACCGAGAATCCGACCATCACGCCCAGGTGCGCGGTGCGAGCCAACCGCTCGAATATGCTGTCGGTGACGAAGCGAACATCGAATATGCCGACCAGAAACCAGTTAAACCAGAGGATGCTATATTGACCTCCATTAGGGATTTGAAGTGGCTTCGAATAGAGACAGAGTTATGCGCCAACCTAATGTAACCGACATAAGACCACAGCTTGGACGACTCGGTGACTTCGTGGACCTGGAGAGACAGTCAACTAAGGCTAGACGGCAGTTGAGTGTCACCGGGACCTTTACAATGGTGAAGTTTGATAGGTTCGCAACGAACCACAGATCGTAGAACAGCTAGCAGCAGTCGAGTCAGATCTCGTCCTCTTATGGAGACTCGGGTGTCTGAATACTTCAAGGTTGGTCAAGTTCTCATGCTATATCACCTCGTTAACTCCCCTCCTCTGAATAGAGCCAAGCCGCATGTACCATACCTTTTCGAAATACGGAATCTGCTTCACATCGTAACGGTACCCCAGGGCCTCCACATCCTGTAGATCGTCGATATCAGGGGGTACGCACGGACTGCGGATCTTCTCGTCGGGCAGGACCGGGCTCGCCAAGAAGGCCAACTTCGACCCGATGTCGTATTCCGCCTCGTCGTCAGGCCCGCCGTCGACCTTCTGGTCGTTGTGGTGTTTCGACATGGGCACGCGATGGGGTAGAATAGTCAAGACAAGAAAAGCAAACAACGTCGACGCTTTGAGCCTCGCTGGATACTGACCAAATCAAACACGAGCAAGAAAACGAAGGAGAGAGAAGAGTGCAGGAAACAAGAAACAATAAATAAGAAACTACTTTGAGGAAAACTTCTCCCCGTGGATGGGGGCCAAGAGCCTTACATACTCCCACCAGCGCCGCATCAGCTAGGCACGTAAGACCGGGGTCGCACAACATATGCAAGGTCACTCTTCTCAGCTGGATAGGTCGGCCTCATTTCGAAAAGTCCTACACAGGCAGCAGGCTGCCCATCCAGTCGCAAGTGATCAAGGCTCTGGATGGCCCACGACTAGCAGCCTCTCTGCAGCATGGGATTGGAGCGGCTGACCCGATGTGTCGAGCCACCCAGTGAAGAAACCCCCTTGGGAACTTGGGACTGGGCTATGTGGTGCGCGGCGGCTGAAGCAACCCAATATGGGTGAAGCAGCCTGCTTCACGCCTCCAAATTTGGGGGCCGAATGGGAGCTGTTCTTGCACAGCAAAGAGGGCCAGAAATGGTGCAGTTAGCTGTACTGCTCTTGTTGTGGAAAGAAGGAAGTGTGCGTAAACACACAATGTGAAAAGGGGCAAATGGCCCCCAATAGTGGGGACTACCTAGTGGTCACTCGACCACGCAACAGCTGCTTCTTCTACCTTGGCACTGGAAAGCTTTCATTGGATACTGCATAGAAACACGGCCGATATACTCACACCCTACCTAGCATTTATATTTGGATAGGCTGAGACGGGTTGTAGGTACGTCAGCTCTTGGTACAGAGTAAAGGTGTGGGTGCGCTTGCAATCCATGGGCGACTCGGAAAAGCACAGCTGGTACCTACTCAGTGCAGTTCACCAATATGTTTGACATTCTGGTAAGGATTAAGCACGTCTAATTCGCCGGTAACATTGTCGAAGATGAATCCCACTTTGAACGCCGACTGAAAGAGCTCGCCGGCAAGCGGAGAACATGGGAAGCATAGCCCAAGCGTATGCGTGTCGCCGCCCTTCCACATTGGGATTCGGCCTCGAGGCTTACAAATTTCGATCATTGTTCAGTAGCCAATCTTGCCGAGGCCATTGAAGTATATACTGATCGTGGTTTGGAAAACATAGTTGGGCAGTAAAGAAGCTAGAATTGGAGATATTGCGTGTATTAGTGAGGATCTCATGTGTACCAGCTTCGCTTACGGAAACCGGATATCAAACATATGAATTCATGTTGATGATTCGGTACAAGCTTGGCTTATAGAACCGGGTGCGAAACCTGTGAACTTGTGTTGATAATCCGGTGATCGTTTGATCAAAGACTTCTTAAGTCAATGTTAAAGTCATACTTAACTCCATCCTAGACCCTCTCTCGATGGTAATACAAATGCAGCCTGGATATGACGCCTCTTCCTATAAGCAATTCATGTCTTTTTAGTTCGGTACATTTTCTCCACATCGATTTACGAAGATACAGGTTTATGCGGTGTATTCCTTCTGCAGCATTTTCGCGATGGTGTTTAGCCTGAAGAGCAGAGTTAGCAAAGTGAGTAAACTTGCTCCTAGAAGGGTGACTTACTGTATGTTGCTAGTGCCCTCATAGATGGCACCAATCTTGCTGTCACGCCAGTACTTCTCGGCCGGGCCCTCACGTACGAACCCCATACCTCCCATCCATTCTATCGCCAGGCCGCTGACACGGCCCGCAACTTGCGACGAGAACAGCTTGGCCATAGCCGCATCCTGCACAAAGTCCTCGCCAGCCTCCTTCTTCCGGGCGGCGTTGTAGACCAACGCGCGGGCCGCGGCAATCTCGGTGTACGACTGGGCGATCTGGTGCTGCATGCCCTGGAACTCACCGACCAGCTTGCCAAACTGCTTGCGGTCGTTCCATACGTACTTGACGGCGTTCTCCCACGCGCCCAGCGCCAACCCAGTCATCTGAGCAGCAATGCCGATGCGGCCCTCGTTCAGCAGGCCGATGGCATACTTGTAGCCCTGACCAACCTCGCCCAGCAGGTTCTCCTTGGGGATCTCGACGTCGTCGAAGTTGATGGCACAGGTGCTGCTGGCCTTGATACCAAGCTTCTTCTCCTTCTTGGCGATCGAGAACCCTTTGGCGTCCTTCTCGACGATGAAGGCCGTGATGCCGCGATGGCCCTTGCTGGGGTCCACAGTCGCAAAGACGATAAAGAAATCGGCCTCCATAGAGTTGGTGATCCACATCTTGCTGCCGGAGATCCGGTAGCCATCGGCGGTTTCGGTGGCCTTGGTGGCCAGCGCAAAGGCGTCGGAACCCGATACAGGCTCGCTCAGACAGAAGCTGCCCACGGTCTTGGTGGCCAGCGCGGGCAAGAACCGCCTCTTCAGGTCGGTGCTGCCCCATTTCAGGATGGCAGTGTTGACCAGCGTGTTGTGCACGTCGACCATGACGCTGACGCTGGGGTCGACGCGCGCCAGCTCCTCGATGCCCACAATGGCGGCCGTGAAGTTCATGCCGGCGCCGCCGAACTCCTCCGGGATCTCGATGCCCATGAGGCCCTGCTCGAACAGCTGCTCGACGAGGTCCGGGTCCATCTTCTCGGCCTCGTCCATGTGCCGCACCTTGGGCAGGATCACGTCGTTGGCAAACTTGGATACCATCTCCTTCATCGACGCCTCGGTCTCGGACAGGTGCGTTATGGGCGTGGGAGGGATCTCGGATATGTCGGTCAGCCGGCGCGGCGTCGCGGATAGTGGCCTTAGTCTGTAGACAGTAGACATCAATACAAACCCGTCAACAAGACCACATCATGGATAGACTTACTGCTGGGCATTGAATGTCTGGGACGGTCTACAGCACCGTGGCGCCGTCGACGATACTCTGGCAGCAACACCATGACCCCGCCGTAACGCCGGCCTCAGGACTCTTGCGAAGGATGACATTGTGCAGACAGCGATTGGCAGTGTACAAGGAGAAAAGTGCACCAAATCAGCAAAGCAGTAGACGAAGCGGGTTCTATTGACTTAAGACGAAAGCGTGAAGTATTCAACGGACGACTCGTTCCAGCAACGGGAAGGTTTGAAGATAGTCATGAACCTCTTGTCTCTTGCCTCTGTGACGTCTCGGGTCGCCGTCCATTCCAACGTTCAACCGCCAGCGGTCCCACTTGTGCCGAGGCTACCCATCAGCAACGACCCAGGGGCCAGGGGGAAATGTGACGGGTGAGCGGGTGAGAAGGGTCAGCTGCGGCGGTCCTGGAGATCAGTAACTGGCGGCCAGGCTTCTGGGGTGCATTTGCCAGTCATGATTCGTCCAGGGGTTCTGGAATCTGGGGTTCGGTCTGGTGGCTGGCATGTGAATGCCACCCGCCGACGTTGTCAGGGAGGGAGGACCCCGTAAAGCCGATCCATGGCCACCCCCTCCAGCTGTCTGCAGGCCCGGGGGCTGGTGGCAGGTGGCCGCACAGTGCAAAGATGGCATAAAGAGTGCCGGGCCGATGTCACCTGACACTGACTTTTTGAGCTTTGGCCTATCAGGCTATCATTCAACATCACGAAGAGAGTGAAGCTGCGCCCTCTGACAGATGCAGTATCGTGAGCATCGACTGCGACACACCACAACACAATTCACCATGGCCGCGCCGATACTACGATACCTCTGGCCGTCGCTGGCCCGTCGACCGGCCACCCAGATCCCGACGACCATTCCCAAGATACCCCAATACCTACCCGCGCGTTCCTTCTCGACGACGCCGGCGCCGAACGCAACGCTGAACCAAGTGCTCCGAGTACGTCTCCCCTATAATACCTACACCACGATCTAACCTTACGAAGAACGCACGCCCTCCACTTCCCTTCCTACACACCGATCCGTACCCACTCAAGCCAGGCCAACCCGTTATAACCCAAGCTAACCCACCCCCTCCCCAAAACAGGGCTGCCGCAAGCCCCAGCGCGCCCGCCACGCCGTGTCCCCCGCGCTCTCAGACACGCTGTGCCCGCAACAAAAAGGCGTCTGCCTCAAGGTCGGCATCACGCGGCCCAAGAAACCCAACTCGGGCGAGCGCAAGACGGCGCGTGTGCGCCTGTCGAGCGGCCGCATGATCACCGCCTACATTCCCGGCGAGGGCCACAACATCCAGCAGCACTCGGTCGTGCTCGTGCGCGGGGGCCGCTCGCAGGACTGTCCCGGCGTGCGGTATCATCTCGTGAGGGGCGCTTTGGACCTGGTGAGTTTCTGCTGGGTCAAGAAAGTTGGGTTTGGCACGCGGATTTCGAATTTGACTGCTAATACATACATCTCCGAATAGGGCGGTGTTTCTAGCCGCATGTCGAGTAGGAGCAAGTATGGAACGAAGAAGCCGAAGAAGGCATCAGTCGGCGCATAGAGGAATGGATGGTTGAAGAAAGTCTGATCCGACGTTGCAAGGAAGCCGGGCCACACAAAGACGGGGTCCTTCAGTCGATTCCCTAGAACCTGTATATCTACCTGTTGTAACACAATATCATGGCAACGACCACCGGTGATCGGAGAGCATTGTCATTCATATAGCATCCTTCGCGAAAGTGGCAAGTATCTACACATGCAAAAAGGACAAACCGATGTCCGTCTCCAATTGATGAATCCCTGGACGCCTGCCTCTACCCTGCCGGGCTTTAAACCCTCATCCCAGAGCCGTGTGATGCGTGATGGAACCGTCATTGGGAGATAACTATCCGCTTACTTTACATATTCTTCTGCTTGACATGCAACCTAACCCCTCATTGCTGGTCTTCATAGCCCGCAGGCTTGTCCAAGCCATTGAGATCGAAATATCTTGCTGTACCTGAAGTAAACATGTTAGTGTCGTCAGCCAAACAAATGATTACTGGGTTACTTACAAGAGTATCCCTTCCAGTCAAAGTTGTCCTTCGGGTTACAGTGGCAACGAAGGTCGATCCGGGTTTGCTCGCCAGTCGGGCAATGGGTGAAGGGGACGTGGTAGTAAGCAATGTCATTGAAGAAGTGGATCTCCTCCTTCTTCAAGAGCAAACCAGCAGCGATAGAGTGGACAGGCGCATCGCCCCATCGTTCGTAGAAGAAACCACCGTCCTGGTCAAGCGAGTTAAAGAAGTCCACGTACGCCTTAGATCGTAGCCAGTCGAGGTTGCCAACTTCAAAGTTGGACCACTAATACAGTTAGCGGTCAGAGATCACGTATAGGCCGTGGGATGCTTACGAAGTGGCAGTGGTTGTAGTTTTCACCGCCATCATCACTGAGGAAAGGCATCGAGTTGCCCTCGACAATATGTTCGGGGTAGTTCTTCATGAACTTCCTCACGCTATCCCAAAGCGTCGGGATGGTTTCGACGTATTCGTACAGACTCAGCACGAAACTGTACTTCTTCTTGTTCTCGGCCATGAATCGGAAGGGATCGTAGTGGATGTCGCAGAAAAGCTCGATGCTCGGTTCGACACGCCAGTACCATTCGTAGTTCTTCATCAGCTCCTGCTGGAAGAAGAAGCCAGACTCGAAGCGACACATGTGGCGGTAGCTAATGGAGTCGCCGTAAATTATCTTGCGCTCCTTCATATCCTCGCGGACCTTCTTCGCCTTGTCCTGGTCGATGAAATCGGGGAAGGACCAATGCTCGTTTGGGATCTCGCCGTAGTACGTGTTTCCGGAAACCAGAGAACTAGTGACCTTCTTAAAGGTAGCGTCGAACGGCTTGTCGTTCAGGAAAACCCAGTCATAGTTGTACCGGCGGTTGAATCGATCTTCGACTTGACGGATGGATCGAGCGATGTCCCATACGTCGGCGTTTCGTGCAAGACTGACAAAGGTGGCGTTCATACGAGGGCCAGGGGCGATACCGACCAGGTCACCCCATCCGTTATCAGACGGGGTGAGGGCCATAGGAGCTTCTGCGAGGTCCTCATACTGCTTCGGGGTGCCGAATGGAGTTTTTGGCGATCCTTTTGTTGCTCCAGAGCCGCTGGTGCTTCCACTGCCGCTGCCCTTGCCGGAACTACCAGTACCGCCACTACCGGACTTTGTGATGTGCCAGGTGCTTCCCGATGTGGACGAATCGCTCGCTGCGTTCTCTTTCTCGGTATTCTTGGACGTGGACGAGCCTTTGCCGACGCCAAATGACTCGGGCTTCAGTTGGACGCCATGGTAGGAGGTGTGGGAGACCAGGTAGAGGAGTCCGACGAACTACACAATGCGATCATTGTCAGTCAGGGCCTGAGAAGGCAAGAAGCGCAAGGAAAGACTCAGGACTACTCACGAAGACGGCGAAGACAATGTACCTCACGATACGAGCATTTCCGGCGGCCATGATCGCGGTGTTGGATGCTAATAAGTGCAAATCAGACCGGTCGGGTGGCGTCAATCGGTGGTTGATCAATGTCGGCAACTCAGGGAACAGGACAGATGCTCTCTAGGAGGCAAGAAGGTTTCGTAAAGGTCAAGGGGCGGGCCCGCGGGAAGGAAACTTTGCGCCTGTGGTACCAGAAACAAAGGAGGCGTCAAGTCATCCCTAACGTTATTGCCTCAGTGGTGTAGGTGCAGATGTGACTGAGACTCTGATAGCACAGGGGTACACAATCGAGCTGAGCTGTCTTGTCTCAATAGCCTTGACCAGACGTTGCAGAGACGATGATGGCCCAGTTGCGCGTAGCGTAGCGGAGATGCAGGTTAGAAATGCCTATGTAGAATGGGGGTACGCAGCGAAGAATGGGGGAGTGAATGAATGGACGAGATGCGTATCTCCAGATTATATGGGGATAATGGGTAGGTAATGGAGATACCTTAATGGTGGAGGGCAGAAAAGGAGGAAGTCGTAGGTATCAAAGTTGAAAGAACCCGACGACACGCAACACGAACACAAGGCCAACTTCAAGTCGAATGGAGGGAGAATTTGAACTTGTTCTTCATGAAGCGGCACCTCGTATCCGGTCGCAAAGCTGCCAATTGACTACCTAGGTACTTGTATGAATTCGTGGGGATGGGATCGACCGCGTCAGCGCGGAAACGGAAGGTCGAGTCGGTTCCCTTGAATCATGCCACTACCGCAGCCCCTATGCCAGCAGTGGGCGCCGCCTGTGGTCCAGCCCGTGGTCCCTGTGAAACGCGCGGATAGGGGAGTGTGGTGGAGCCCATTCAAGAACCCTCTCAGCCGCCACCGAAGCAAGGTTGAGAAGGTTCACAATCTTAATGACTGACTCCCATTATAATTCATACGGGACCTTATGTGGTATTTCGCTGAAGCCATATTGGCGTTGAGGTTGAGGGAGAAGACGAACAGAGTTCAGCCATGAGCCACCAAAAAAAATATCGTCAATTTGCTTAAGGTTACGGCAGATCATGGATTGATTCCACAACATCGATACCATCTCTTAATCTGCTGGGTTGGGAACACGAAGGCCTCATGTGTTGATATGTCTACTTCGATATCTAGACAAAGTGTCGGGTGTAATCAGCAATAGGACATTCATCACCCCTGAGCAGAGTGTATACCATGAATCGCATTTGATACCGAGCTCGACTTCCACCAACGTCTCTCATTACACGATGATTGGCACTATATGGAGTCCCTTTGGGCAACCTTAGCTGAGTACAATAAGGTACGTAGGTACTTAGTCAAGTTCTACCAGAAGAGACACTTCAGCAGTGAGGACGGGACGCCGCGAGACCCCTCCCCACCAAGATCTTATCTTCTTGGCACCGAAGTAGGATTCCGGGGTCGGCAATCCTTGTCATCTTCGCCCTGCATCGACCACAGGTCTCTCCCATAAGCTCAAAATCTACTGCCTTCATGGTGTGCATTCCGACAAATGCCGTGTCTTGTTTCCTGGATACCGGGTGACCAGCAGTCATATATGTCTGTCAACGATAGCCATTCTTTAACATGTTCCCGGTAGATCCTCCTTTGGACGTTGAGACAACAGTTGTGGACTAAAGACTAAACTCACTGTCTCCCACATTGAAAACGTGGTATGGATAATCAGTAAGACACCTTAATCATTGAGGAACTGCGAAACATTAATAGCAGCAATATGAATTTCGAAGCATTGAAGTTTCCAGGTGTACGGCACAGGGGAGTGGAGCACTGAGACAATCGGGTGTGAAAGTTGATGAGCACGTGACTTAAAAGCTCGGACACTGCCATCCCGCCAGCCCGCCACAGTTTGGTCTGACATTGAATGCGTGCTCTGAGCTCTCTCTCTCTGTTTGTGGTCGGCGGCCAACGACGTACGTGAATCATTTTGCGAAAGCACCTCCTGCACTTCGTTTGCCCAAGCTGCAACACCAAGACCTTCGATCGCTTCGGTCCCAAAGTTGAATGCTGTGTACGGCTGCTTCTGACCGTCGTGCATCCTAGAGCCATTACCCTATTCCTTTCGGCACTGCTGCGCGCCTTGAACCGCCAACTCCACCTCTCTTCCGCTCTTCCACACGTTCTGTCCGTTCCACATCATGATCAAGCACTCCAGTCTCGTTGTGATCCACCCAGCCTTTCGTCTTTCTTAGCTGTAAGTCTTTCCAACCCCATGTCGACACAAGCCCTCCGCTGCGTTACTTCACCTCGTACTCTTTCGCATCCGTCCTGGGACTATTTCCTGAGATACACGCGTGCGCTTTCACGTTGCGCGCGCATCTGCCCCTCCTCGAACACCTGAACCACGCAAGAAGCTACTTCCCAAGCACTCGTTCTTGAAGCTACTTTACACAGACTGCTTCAATACGGTACCACACTACCGCCTTTGGTACGGACTGAAGAGTGTCACATTGCTGCATTGGCTTCTTCGGGTCCGCCACCTCATGAGCAATCATTTTCGGGCTCTTGCAAACATGCAATCAGTTTTGAGAGCTGACATGGAAGCTCACCAACCCAAGTGATTTACTAAAAAACGATACCAGATCATTTTATTTCGACATCCTCACCTACTCTGCCTGGCCTGAGCTGGTTTACGAGTGAATTTGAGAAACGCTATTGATCCAATATCGGCACCATGTCGTTCAACATGAACTCGTCGGGCCATAACGCCGCGGCTCCTGGCTTTGGCCAGAACTACGATCCCTTCGCCGACCTCTCCCGCCACGATGACATTGACGAAGCTCTTGACTTCGAAGACACCTACGACGGGTTGGGCGATCAGCTGGATGAGACGGACGATGCTTTCAATGACGATACATTTGGTGGTGGCGACGTCGGCCCTTCCCGCCCTGCTGTCGGCAAGGACTTCGATTTCTTTGGCCAGACTGCCAAGGTTTCGAACGCCTTGGATGAAGAACACCTACGCTTTGAACGTCAACAGCCTGTTCCGAAGGCGCCTCGTGTACCTTCGACGCAGAACTACAACACGGGCTATTCGTACCAGGCTGCCCCGCAGCCAGCCCGCACTGGCTATGAGAAGTACAAGGGTCCAGAGGCTGTAAGCGAACTTCAGGTTGATGCTTCGATATGGGGAGTTGCACCGAAGAAGACGGCAACGCCCGCTGCAGCAGCTCCAAGTCAGCCAGCGCCGAGTGCGCCGCCTGCGGGACGGAAAATGATGAGCTTGGAGGAGGTAGAAGCTGCGATGCGAGCTCAGTCGAGGCCGACGCCCCCAGCTCAACCTGTCCATATTCAACAACAGCCTCAGTTCGGTCACAGGGAATCCCAGGCGCATGCGCAGGCCAGTCCTTACACTCGCCAGGAGTCACACGAACCTCGCCGACAGCCCGTCGACAGTCGTCAATCCCAGGGTGTTCAGCCTGGCGATTACCACCAAGCAGCTCAGGGGGTACCTCATGGACACCCTATCTCGATCTTGCAGCGACCATCGTCAAAGCACACTGCGCCTACTGGTCCTAGTGTTCCCAGTCCATTGACTCAACAGCATCAAGCCGTCCCAGCGGCTGCACCCATACAGATTCTGCAAAATCCCAATGCTGCACCCACCCAGATTCTGCAAAATCCCAATCGCGATGCTTCCAGAATGAAGGTTCCGACTCACCCAGCTCACCAATCTCAGAATTCGATTTCCCGTCAGCCTCCCGTCATCACGCACCCGTCTCAACTCTCTGAGCTGTCTGAGCAGGAGAAGGCTGCTTTCCTCGAAGCTGAAGCTAGACGTGCGAAGCGCAATCACAAGATATACGTATTATCTAAGGATAATGGTCTAATGACTCCCCAAGACAAGAGCTTCATCACCAGGATTCAACTTCAGCAGCTTGTATCAGCTACTGGAGATCCGAATGAACACGGCACTGATGCTGCCCTTCAAGAAGACTTCTACTACCAAGTTCTCAGCTCGCTGAGAGCCGGGCAGCGGCCCAACCCGAACCAGCCTTTAACCAATTTTGCCCAGACCTACCTCTTTCAGACAGGGACTCGTCACAATGGAATGAGGCGCGGTGGACGTGGTCCGGAGAATCATGTCCAGCGAATGGAACAGCAGGTTCAGCGTGCTGTCGAGGCCGCCAAGAATAAACCGAAGAACAAGCAACTCGTCATTGAAGGCAGTCTAGGCAAGATTTCTTTCAGCAATGCCAAGACCCCGAAGCCTCTACTGAACATCAAACGTACCGAGAGCGGAACTGATGCGAGTCGGCCGAGCAGCGTCCATCGCCAACACACCACGGGTAAGGGCATGGACAAAAAGGCGACACTGCGGGATATCGAGAGCGTTTATCTCACCCTTATGAAGATGGAGGATCTTGCTCGCAAGATGCCTCCTCCGCCACCGCCCAACAGCCAACCTGGCCAAGACTTCGTTGAAAGGCAGGCGGAATTCCAGGTCCTTAACGATCAACTCTGGAATGCGCTCAAAGTCCACGAGCCCATTAGCAATGGAGCGGTGCACCCGTTCATCACGTTCATTTCGTATCCCAAGGGCAAGAAGGCTATCCCCCGTGTTTTCCGACACCTTAGCCATACCCAGCGAACCACGATCCTGACCATGATTGTTATCCATCTGGATCAGCTTGACGTTGTTCGTGGCGCGCAAGTCCAAACTGGAGAACCCATCACACTTGATGCTGCTAGCCGAGAAAGGATTGAAGTCTTCTCCTCGGCAGTCATGCCAAGTCTCTTCCAGCTCCTTAACGAATCCGAGCTCGACATTGTCACTGGCGTACTCGGGCTGATAACCCAGAATCTGAATGTGGACCTGGTTGCACGCACCCGTATCGGTGTATCCATGTTGACGATGATCCTGAGCCGTGCTGAGCTTATCAAGCAAGCTGGCCAGTCCAACGAGCGAACTTGGCAGCAGTGGCAAGTAACAGACTCCTATTGTTGTTTGCAGTGGACTAACATGTCAGCAGGGTTTCCACATTCAACGTCTTTTTCAATTCTCTTGAACCAACGCTCCCGAACATTTTCCCCGGCACGGTGACGTCCGGCGAAGATATTTACGTTTGGCAGTTCCTCGCGGCCATCGGAATTGGAGCCAGCCCCGACGAACAGCAGCGATTGGTGCTTGCGGTGAAAGATCGTGTCATGGAGACTGTTGGTCTTTCCAAGACTCTGCCGCCGGATATGGCAAAAGAGCGTCTGGACAACGTCAACTTGTTCATGCGATCTATCGGCCTCGATGTCGAGTTGTTAAGCTAGATTGGCTACCCCAATCATTTGGCGGAGACCCGTCTGAGGCGCAGGCTTTCATGATCGGACTGAAGGTGCTGCGCTGGTCAGACCGAGAGAAGGTAAAGTGCAAACTGGGGGGAATGGGTTACTGACTTCGTGCTTGATATCGCGAGTCACAATGGCAAGGAGGCACTTTAACAACAGCTACGAGTCACCAGACACTAGCTTGAAGCGAATCCAGGATGGTGGAATCTACATGGGCTCGCACGTGTCTAGTTGATACCCCGGGATCGATTGGTGATGAGACCTGGAAACGAAACACACCACATGTCTTGGTCTTTATAGCTAGCAGTCATCATAGTCAGCATACTGTACATCCTCATGAATACTTGTGTCCGTGAGCCCAGCGTCCACTATTTTTCGATATCACACAATACGTGGTGACGGCTTAAAGTCGTGCAATGCGGACTCTCAATCTTTACAGGAGCCTGCCGGACCGCATGCTTTCTTTTAAACATATATCTTGCATTAGAAGTCTTCCGGCCGTGGGATATGGCGGGACACGACGGCTCGTGATGTATACTTTCATTGAAGTGATATGCTAGCTTCAGTGTGTGCCCGCCCCTCTGCTGGAAGTGAACACTTCCCAGTACCTCCATTTCCCAACTAGCGAGCCCGGGCTCATCAGTGGCAGTGGGTGGTAACTACGGGCCAGTCACCCTTTTTTTCGTGTGTATGGTCAACATTGGAAACATCGGCAATGTCATATTATCTCTCTGAACTATGTCAGACCAGCTCAAGTACAGGATTCGTGAGCGCAATACACCGCCCAAAATGATTTGTCCCCACCCAGAACGCCAGACCATGCAATATCAGGGTGTCTGCTCCATCATTTGTCTATGTCCATCGCCGTGGTACCCTTGAATGCGACAGACTTGCCCTTCGAGTTGGCGGTTTTCTTGGCAGCCGCGGGAGTGGCCTTCGCCGGAGTGGCCCTCGCCTTCCCCTTGGCCGCAGTCGTCTTCTTCGCAGCTCCACTCGCCGCCGGGGCATCTTCTTCTTCTTTCTTAATCTCGGAGACCTCGGGCGGCTGCTCGCCGCCATCAGGGCCATCCTTCATCCCACTGACCATGCGCAGGTACTCGCCCGAGCCCCACTGCACCTTGAGTTGCTGTGGATCGTTGACGTCGTCCAAGTCCATTATGCTGACGGGGGCCTTGCCCTTGCCCTTGTCCTTGCTATCTTCGTCCTTGTTGGTCTCCTGCGACTTGGCGCCCTTGTACAGCAGGTTGCCGTGGAACAGGTCCCACGCCTTGTCGCTTTCCTCGTCGTCGTACTTGAGCTTGCTCCACGACTCCATCTGCACCCCGCGCAGGCGGTCGGCCATAGTCTCGGTGACCATCTCGCCGCTGCCGGATCCCGCGCTCTTGATCGACATGTGGATGGCTCGTGCGGCTGCCGGTGGAGCTGCGGGGGCGTCTTTGCCTGTCGCGTTGGAAGCTGCGCGGCGGTCCTGCTCGGCGAGGGCGTCGAGGTGGTGCAGTTGAGGGCGTAGTTGGATGAGTGCGGTTGCGGGCGTGAGGTGGAGCTGATCTAGATGGCGGGCCCGTCAGTCAGTCAGTCATCCAGACCACAAGGGCATCATGGAGTGCTAGAGAACCAGCATTCCAGGTGCAGTCAACTTACCTCCTTTGAACACACCGACCATCCAACGGCAGTCCACCCCTGTCTCACGCGGCAGCTGTCCACCCAGCGTCTGCGTGCGCAACACCGTATCCTGGCGGACAGCCTCGGCCCAGTCCAACATATCGATCTGGCGTTCATAGTCGTCACCGCCGCGACGCCTGCTACCACCTCTCGAGGCTGGCACGCCGACGCCGAAGCCGCCCGCCAGGCCCTGGGTCCCGCCGCTCTTGGCCGCGGCGCTCTTGGCGAGGGCGCCGCCCCAGCGCTGGCCCTTGTCGCGGTCGTAGTCGGCGTGGGCGTGGCTGATGGGCACGTCGACCTCGAGCATGCCCGACCGCGGCTTTATGCGGACCTCGCGTAGTTGTGCGTACGAGTTGGTGCCGCCGTTGGCCTTGTTCGGGTGCTGGAGGATCAGCAGCTTGCGGTTGGTCGGGAGCGTGGGGTTTGTGTAGACATTGTAGCTGGCCACGATCGGATCGGGGTCGGCGCCGATGCTCGCGCTCGCCTCGGGTTTCACAGGGGGTTCGTCGACATCCATTGTCTCGCTGTGTTTTCGTTTGGTCTATGAATTCGCTGGGTTGAAGAAGTTATCCGGATGTAGCCGTGAGTCAGTCGAGTCGAGCTCAAGGTTGGGAGAGCTTGAAATTCTGGCGGGGCTATCCTTATCGCGGATCGTGGGGCTTATCGGGCTGCAGGTATGTACATAGGTACAATAATTTGACCGTGAAGCTAATTTTGACCTCTTAGACTGAAATCTACTGATCTCCATCTTTTCTTTGCCATTCACAGGAAGTATCTGAGCATGTTCAACCCGAAGTGGAAACATCAGAATGTATCAGAAGACTTCGTTTCATCTACCCTTACTGCGCTTCGTGCAACAAGGGCCTTGAACCGCTCGGACTGTTCGCGAATTGAGGCTAGAAGTTTGCTCAGTGATTGGGGGGAGGGCCACACGACATCGTTCAGCGTGTGGGACCTGCCTTCGCGGTCGACCACTTGCAGCCTATGCGCACTCATGTTTCAGCTTTTTGGACACCTGGATTGAAGATTCCAGAGGAGGACATTGCAGGACACCGCACCGCGCCACTGTGGATGAGATCAGATGGCCAGGCTGTGGAATTAAACCTTGCGGTGCCACTGTCGATGAGATCAGATGGCCACCGTGTTGTGGACATAGACCTTTTGGAAGACGACGAACTCGTCCCACTTCCTCGGATGCAGGATCTGAGGATCTACACGCTTGACCCAATGGCGTCGCGAGATGTAGTAGTCGACTACGAAGCGTAAGTCAACCAAGAACTCCTCGACGCCTAACAAGCATGTTCATCATCGAGCATAGCCTTATAGAAACGGGAAACCATGTCGACTTCCATCCCAATCTTCAAATGATCGAAACACTGGCGTCTGCGTGGTTGAAAGAATGCTTCTCGAACCACGAAGACTGTATTACAGCATCAACAGCCTCAGCAGCCGACTTGCCAACTCGCCTCCTGGGTCTCGGAGACGTGGAGAAACACGGCGTGGTACGCTTGTGGCATACAAAAGGTGCTAGAGGACAGTACACCGCGTTGAGTCACCGCTGGGGCAGCAGTCAACCCGCCAAAACCACGAAAGCGAATCTTGCTGCAAGATTACAAGGCTTCCCTCGCACAGAGCTGCCCCAAACATTTTGCGATGCTGTAGAGGTTACGCTTTGTCTGGGCATCCGCTACTTGTGGATTGATTCTCTTTGTATGGTCCAGGACGACCATGACGACTGGAAAGACCAGCCTGCGCAAATGGGCGATCTGTATCGCAATGCGCATGTGACAATCGCAGCTACAAGGGCATTGAATAGCGATAGCGGGTTTCTAGGCCCACGAAAGCGGACTGCAATAGCTAGGCTACAACCTCGAAGAGGATGCGAGCAAGAAGTCTACATCAGCCACCGTCGCTCTTTCGCCGAAGACGTCGAGAAGGCTCCTTTGAACCGGCGGGCCTGGGTATTTCAAGAACGGATACTCTCTCCACGCATCCTTCGCTTCACCGAGACCCAGGTCTATTGGGAGTGCTGGACAATGCATCAAGGTGAAGATCTTGAGTCCAAACAACTTGGCATGATGAAGCGCGAAACCTACCCTTCGAGTCTGGCACCGCATAGCGTATCCTCTGACGCGCCATCTAAGCCTGCTCAATGGCTAAAGATGTCAGCTCAGTACTCTGAGCTCCAGCTCTCATTCCCATCGGATAGGTTGGTCGCCATCTCCGGGCTCATTAGCAGAATGGCAGTTAGGACAGCGCGGAAGTTCTACAAAGGCGTCTCGTTGGAGTATATGCACATGGGACTGTTGTGGTCGTCTGTCAACCCGCCGATGGATAATTTGGGTGCAAATGTCGCACCGTCATGGGGTTGGGCCAGTCATCAAGGAGCGATCAACTACGTTCAGTTATATTTGCCTTCGTCCGATCCAGACCTCCGCTTTGTCGAGGAAATACGGTTACCATGGAGCAGTGACGCCGGCGATATTGACTACACATTGCAAGGACATAGCACAAAGTTGCGAGCCGACTTCAGGCTTGAACGTGAAGCTCATAAAAGGCAGCCAGAGGGGTGGTTCCCAGTCGAGCTGCATTCCAAGGCTAGTGTCTACCATAAGATCAGATGCTCGAATCCTGATCATTATGGCGACGGTATTTTCGGCTACATCTCCGAACTTAGCGGCGACAACGAGGATTGGAACGATATTTTCGGCTGGGTTACGCTTGATGAAGAGAACGGCTTCGTAGCAGACGTCGAAGGCCTGCGTTTCCTCATGGTATTGCCACAGCCGAAAACGCGAAGTAAAACCCCGGATAGCGAGGGACCGCTTATCTCGGATGAGGAATCAGAGCTCTCATTTTCCATGGAAGTGGTGAACGTCGGCGAAGAGAGTAACCCAAGGAACGAGTCAGATGAAAAAGCATTAGAGCCTCCACTCTCGGTTCGACACTGCATGTTAATCAAACAGAGCAGCGACGGTAAGTGGCGCCGCGTCGGCATAGCCGCTCTGTATGACGAGCGATGCTTGATGGAAGGCGAGGATTCGGAGATCGTTGAAGTGCATTGATGCACGTGATGGTGCTTGCATGCGTGAACGACCTATCACGAGTCTCGTATAAGTAAGCAGCAGGGAGAGCTGAAGGTGGCTATGCCTGACAGCAAGGCTCGAGTTCATCACCTCCCCTCCTCACCTCCAGTACCAAGCCAGCACAAGACCAACTGCAAGATTGGACATGCGGCTAATCAATACCAGGACCCTCAAACTCGAAATCTTTCTTCAGAGGCGAATACCTCCTTAGATCTTGTCGCATGTATGGCGGGAGGAAGAAGCCTCCTTCGCAGACTTCGTCTCAGGCCGCGGTCCCGCCTTAAAAGGATACGCCAAGATCGCAGAATGCTGTCTGAAAGCCAGATCGGAAAGCTTCGAGTACGTATGGATCGATACATGTTGCATAGACAAGACGTCGAGCGCCGAACTAAGCGAGGCAATCAACTCCATGTTCAGGTGGTACGAGCGGTCTGAGATTTGTTATGCCTTTTTGGACGATGTCGACAGTTCACAGAACCCGCGACTGAATACTTCTGGCTTCTCTAAGAGTGAATGGTTCACCAGGGGATGGACTCATGAGGAGTTGCTCGCTCCTGTCGAGGTTGTTTCCTTGGGCAAAGACTAGCGGGAGGTTAGCACGAAGCGGTCACTTATTCACGTAGTGGCCGTAGCCAGTCATATCGGATCAAGCTTCCTAGAGATGGAAGATGATGCCGAAGATGATGCCCGGAATCCAACCTATCGAGCATCTTAGAGGAAGGCGAGCATAGCCCAGAAGATGTCCTGGGCATCCCGACGTCTGACTACGAGGCTGGAAGACGAAGCCTCCTGCCTCATGGGGCTGTTCGATGTGACCATGCCTCTCCTCTACGGAGAAGGGTCCAAGGCCTTCATCCGGCTGCAACAAGAGATCATTGACTCCTCGGAGGATCAGTCTATACTGGCCTGGGAACTCGTAGCACACGAGAGAAATAATATGTGGACAATGTTCACTGGTCTCCTGGCGCCATCTGTGCGGTCTTTCGCTTCGTGCTCTGATATCGAGTCACATCGCTCAGCTGATAGTGTCATTCTAAGGACTCAAGGCCGTGCGAGCGGTGACATGCCTATCGAGGTGTCGGCTACAAGACTCCGGATCCGAGTGCCGTTCTTAGGGGTCGGATACGTCCACCCGTAATGGAACCTTGGGTACTCACACTTGTCATTGAAAAAGACATGGCCAACTCGTCGGACTATAAAAACCCGATCTTAGTCGCAAATAATTCCCCAAAATCCACCAGGCTCGCCATCTTGAATTGTGTTGCCAGCAGCAGCGGCGCATTCATCGGCATCGTACTTCACCAAAAGCCCGGGAATGCCTCGGTCTACGTGCGCAAGCACTGGCCGGAATCCTCCGCACTCTGCATCATGCCACACGATCAATACGTCCTGGACTTCCATCTCATGGCCGTCCACGGCTTCGTCCAATACAGCGCGGACATGGGCAACGAACATTTTACATCGATCCCGGCGCACTTCCAAATTATTCCCCCAACTTTCCAAAGAAACCAGTCACCGTTCGCCACCCAGGTGAGGCTGCCGAACGGCATATGTTGCGGTTATCGACTCGAACACACCGTCCCCCCTTTACGCGTGGAGTATGACCTGATCCACCAAAATGGAGAATTCCACTACAACCAACAGTTCTCAATACTCCAGAATCATGGCGACTGGCTGCCAAATGGCCTGCAGTCAAAACCTACATTCTTCATCTTCCGCGACCGGTCGGCCGTGTGGGCGCAGGCCGCATCTCCGGCGACGACAGATGAGCATTACTACTACCAGAAGGCGGAGCGGTATCGCATCTTGCCGAAGACGCTCGCTCTGTCGCAGCCGTTGTCGGGGTTGATGTACGATGTGCGGAAAATCAGGCACGGGGTCCACGACGTCCTCGCGGCGGACGCGCTGAGCTACAAGCTCGCTCACGATCGGAGTATTGTTATTCGGAGTCGCAAAAGCCCGTTGAGGAGACGTTTGATCGATACTGTGTATATTACCGTCGAGGAGATACGCTCCGATGCTCGGGATGCGAGTAGCACGAGGGACGTGGTCAACTACTCCCAGACTCCGCCCCCACAGGTCGTTATACTTGTCCACGTGGACGTGTCTACGCCGCGGACTCTTGCCACGCCCAACATGGGCGACGTTCGGAGCCGATGGGGCCGTGTACTGTGTCAGCATGGAATGTTCAACCGGCGTCAGCAATGGATTACAACCACGTCCTGGTATTCACAAGGACTGCAATGATTTGCTGGGTTTTTCAGTCATGGGTCCTCTGTGCTGGTTCGGACAATCCGACATACGACAGTAGGAGGATGGCTTGAGGGGCGGGTTGGGCGGGGAGATGTTGTCGTGAGTAGTCTCCTACGTAGTCAATAGATGGGACGTTCAAAACTTTGATGGGAGGCAAGCGGTCGACATCATAAGTTGCATAGGCACCTGGACAAAGCGGCCCTCCCAGTGGCATGAGCGGGGACAACCACTGGACTGTTACTTATCCTCGTGAAGTGTGCCTTTCGCTCACTTGGCTAGATATCAAGGTACCATATCAGGGCGGCTCTCATACCGACCGACAGCCTCGTGCGCAGTCAATACTCAGACGCAGGCCGGACTCCTATGCCACAGTAGGTAATGAACTGGAGATTCCCCGAGTGTTTGAAAGTGATTAAGTTCATGCGCGTGCGTGCCAAAGCCATCGCATGACTGACTATGCGGCCTAATATGTGTGCATGGATGAATGGGAATTCTGCAGGCCAATCCTGATGCCGCCCACCAGAATGAACAAGGGTACAAAACCACCTTAATGCAAGAGCCAAAGCATTGTTCCCAGGGCTCCCAACTCAGGGAATATGATGCTACTAGAGTAAGTATTCGTCTCCATTGCAGCTGTGTGCAATAATCGCCGACGACATCACCTCAAACCTGATAGCCGACCAAGTATCTTGCCCAAGGCTCCATGATCTTGAACATGCTCAGAAGACGGCGTCTCCATACTAGAGGACCATGATTTGCGGGCTGTGTCGAGCCATCAACGTGCCGGCTCCGTCTCGATCACGAACTCTCCAATCTTCTCCCCTCTCAAGTTGTAGGCGACAATAGAGTCTCCAGTGACTTCAATGCACCAGTAATAGGCGTAGACCGGAACCTTCTCCCCGTCTACTTCGTTACGTTCTTTGGGTAGGTCAGGAATCGGCACCTTGGTGCTAATTCGAAGCGCTCCTATCTGATCCATCTTCCCTCCCTTTAAATCGAGCATAGACGGCGGGTTCGGGCAGTCAGATGCGTACAGAGCTTCTTCCACTTGGAACGGAAGGTCCAGGGGACCGTCGTCTTCGGGGGCATAGGAGTCGTCTCCTTTCTCGCCGCGGACAACAGGATCGAATTTGAAGTAGAACTTTAAGCGTTTCGAGGAGTCAATGACTTATCCGCGTTGGATGAGCCAATGCATCGTACTGTAAACCACATAATCTTGCTCGGTGTTGTGGAACACACGGTCCTTGTGGGAATGAATCTTGGGATCGTAAAGCTCGTATGCTACTACGCCATAGCTTCGTCGGGCGATACGACCGACTACTTTCGGGCGCTGATTCTCTGGGAGGCCTGCCGTGGAGAGATTCAAGGCGCCTGTCAGCGCAGCACCTCGGCAAACAGCTTCCTGGCTGAGATCATAATGTTAGCTTGAGTGTCACCCAAGCATGTACACTGTGCTTGCTTACGGGCCTGTTCTGCTCGGTTGTATGATATTGATACCAGGCTTCAACTTGAGAAGGTGATTGTGGAGGCGCTTGCATCGACCGAATCCGACGCTGAGAATAACGTGCTAGATCTCATAGGTTAGTTGGTGACCATGCGGCTTCCATTTTGAGGAGCACTGTACATCTGGTCCCTTGTCGTTCTGCCTCTTGATATTGATACTCTCGATCTGTCCCTTCAGCAGATTGGAGATCCCTTCGAACACAGTCGTGAAAAAACCCTCAACCTGACGCTCGTTGAGATGGAAATCGTGACCAGCCACGGTCACGGTGGGGAGGAAGTCGGGACCGTAGTAGCGGCGTTTGATTCCATGCTCCCAGTTGTCGTTGAGCATTGTTCGAATGTCCTTCGCGCGAAATCGTGTTGGACAAGTCTTGAAGCGCTCCCGCATGTGCGCGCGGAAAGCCTGGTCGACATTATGGCCACCATACAATCCACCTAGGAGAGTGATTAGGTCTTAACATTTGTCAAAAGGGAAAGAAAATATGTCGTTGCAAGAACACACTTACCGGTTCCCTCCACATACTCCTGGAATTGCACCACTGGTTCTACCTGCGTGATCACGTAGCTAATAATGTCCTATACGAGATAAAAGTCAGCATCGGGCAGGGACGGAAGCGTAAACCATCACCAGTAATGCACTGGGTATTCAGAGCTAATTGGCAGGTGTGTAATGCAGCATCATGGAATAAGCAGTGGTACTCTGATAAGCTTATTCCGATGCTTATTGCAGCGTGCTCATTCTACGGGTACCAAATCCCTCTATAGAGTCAAGCCCACGGTGAAGGAGTGCTGTGGAATTTCAGACGGACAACAGTTCCACCTATTTGTATATCTGTTAGTACGATACATGTATGGAAGAGCGAGATGGAGGATACATACCTCCTCAATCGCAGACGGTGAAAACACCGCCAACCTTCAATAGATTGTCGGGCTTAAGTATGTCGAGAAGGGTATGAGAAGCAGCCGCCTCTAGTTCGGAGACAAACAACACAGTCATCTTACCAGCTTCGCGGTCTTCGAGGATGCCAGCTTTCACGACTGCTTTCCTCATCCTTTCGCAGGCGTCATCCTTGTAGATGGCAGGAACGGTGATAACCACGTGGAAAGGAGCAGTTTCCACACGTAGTTGGCTTAACAATGCCGCTACCTGCAGTAGAGCGTGTTCCCACAGGGGCCTCACTATACGTAGTATGTTAGGTCATTGTGGAGGCGAAGGCGTACAAGGCAAGCGGCTGACTCACAAAAGTCAGCGACCACAGTGACCTCATCCTTGCCGAGCAAGACAAGTGAGTCTCTGGCTTTCTGAAGATGGTCTGACTGCCTCAGATGAACGGGGACTTCCTCGTCCGTGGGAAGCAGCAACTTGAACCATCTAACCGAAGTGCCTTCGCCTTGCTCGTCGTCGTCATAGTCGCCGCTGTCGCCGGGTACCTGAAATCCCCAACTGGTCGGCACGTGCCGCACGCCGAGCTTCGTGTATCGGATCGCAGAGGGGACCTTGACACTGTCGGAGTTGTAGTTGGACGTCGCCGGCCACTGCTGAACGACGGACACGCGGTGTGGAGTGAAAGCGGCTGCGACGCCGGAGAAACTGTTTACTGGGTTAGCTTCGAGTCCTGTAGCAGTAATTTAGGTAAACGAGGCAAGCAGCGGTTGAAAATAGCTGCCAGAGCAGGAAGGTGTGACCAACGTGGTTCCAAAGTCGATACTGATCACCAGGCGCGCCATGTTGAATGTCCAGAGATAGGACCAAGTAACGAGTACTCCAAGTAGATGCCGATGAGATGATAGATAAAGGGATCACCTCAAGGTGAAAGTCTAGTAGGTCGATGGTTCGAGTTTCAAGAAGCGAGATGCGGGAAGAATAGGAGTTGACGGTTGAGTGCGATCAAATAGGTAGGTAGGTAGGTACCTACTGTGCACCTCATGATGGTCTACTTGGAGTGAGGAATGGAAAACTGGGGACAGTAAGGAGCGCCAGCGATGGTAGCACCCATGTACCTATCTATGTATGCCTCAGGTCACCTTTTTGAGAGGTCACACGTCGAGTGGAGGTCTGATACAAATCACATTCTCTCACCACATTGAACCCTCTCAGCTTTCCGTCCGTCCCTTACCCGAGGTCAATGCAGAATAAGCAATCCCAGTGACTTATCAAAGTCGCCTGCCTCTGCCGGGGAGCTCATCCCAGGCAACATATTTCTACATTCTGGAATTCTTGCGCAGAAGGAGACCTATATGGGTTGATTGTACCTGCAATCTGCCTGCCTGGAAGCCTCCGTCCTCAGGCACGCACTTGTCAAAACTAACCACAACCACCCTGCCCCCAAGGTGCACGGCGAAAACATACTTCATCCGTCCATCTTCATGGTCACGTACCCACGGCTAACACAACCACCAAAAATTCAGTGCAAGCCCAGGATGCCGGAGCACACGCATCAAGACAGCCTCGATGCTCAGTCATCCAAGGCTCAGAAGCGACCTGCCACCGATCATCCGCAACCCTCGACCAGCGACACGACCGATAAAGCGCGGCTTGGAAAGCGTGTGAAGATTAATTTTACAAACTATGACCCCATTCGCGACCCTCGGGGTCCCAAACATCTACTTACTGCGGCTTACCAGAACGACTTTCCCACCTCTCGAGCAAGCTTCACGATCACAGCCGCCCAGGCCCCAAGGACGGGGGATGAACATCTTCATGGGCTGGCTGACCTCATTGCCCGTCTCGAGGACGAGAACAGTAAGCTGAAAGATGAGATTGATAGTACGAAGGCAGCGATGAAAGACCAACCGACACTCAAGAAAACCAACCCGGCGCCTCCCGGAGAATGCGACAACTGCAAGGAACTCCAACGCGAACTGACCAAGAGGACGGCGCAGCGCGACTCTTTCCAGATAAAGTTGCAGCGAGCCGCGGCTGAGCTAGGACCGATCGAACTGAACAGGGCAATCGGTGAGGATGATATCGTATCGTCCTTCATCAATCTCGATCATGCAATCAACAACCTGGTCAGACTAAAGTTCAGTGGGCTTCCTCTCAGGGTTCCAAAGAAGGCTGCCGACAAGGAGTTCTGCGGGGAGATGAACGGACGCTACAAAGATTACTTGATAAGCGCTGAAGTGAAGTCCTGCTTTATGACGGGCGCAATCTGGCAAAAGCTTTACCGCAAGCTTTCACAGCGTCCCTGTGCTGTCTTCATGCCCGTGATGGCCGAGGCACTTGGCATTCTCATGGACGAACTTCCGAGTAAGTACTTCCAGCAGGCCGAATTAGGTCCCAGTCGCTTGCACCCGGCATGTTTGCATGTGCCGGGTGATTATGCAGATCCTGGTTTGAGACCAATGCTAACACATTATACAGGCGCCAAGGACCATCAAGATGACACGGTACTACAGGGTTTCCACCAGCTGCGAGCCCAAACAGGCCAGCTTCTAGATCGAACGACCAGAGACAACGGACCCTACAAACCAGGTTCACCCGGCCGGACTGAGTTCGTGGACGAGCTGTACAACTTTTTCAAGAATTACTCGTCTATACAAGGTGAGAAAGAACTCAAGGATGACTTTGGAAGGATCGTGGACGACGTTGTGGGCCTGGGGGAGCTGACAGCGCAAGCCAAAGCTTACTACGCTCTCCGCATGGCGCACAGCGAAACTGGCGAGATGTATGGCTCGCGCTTGGAAGGCTGGATGGAAGTTGACACCAAACTGGTAGCTGATGGTACAGCTGCCCCGACTGTTGATCTCATCATCTCACCGGCACTGGTCAAGTGGGGCACTCCGGACGGCAAAAACTATGGTGAAGCGAAGGTCCTGAAGAAGGCCAAGGTTGCTATGTAGAGGCAGTATGATGACACAGAACGCTGGTTGGGTATCCCATACGTCAAACGACGTAAGGATACATGGAGACCGCTGGCAGAGAGCACATCGTCCTTTGGCTGGGTATAGTAGCTAGACAGGCGAAAAGACCCGAAATATACCCAAGCTCCCTCGACCTTGATCACAATCAGGCCTTTGATATGTAATGCACAGTGGTAACAGCAGGGATATGGTGGGTATTCCAGCTAGTTGCCGTTGGACAATGCGCGACACGAGACGACGGTATACATGCTCGCTAGTTCCTTTCTTTCATGAATGGTCATTGGGGCTGGAGGCACGTATCTGTTGCCCCTTATATGAGCGCTGAGTCCGGGTCGTTACGCTCAATGTTATTCCAGCCGCTTTCTTGTCGATCATCAAACCCCTCGAAATACGCCTCGAGCCCAAGATCAATGGGTATACTGGGGTACCGCTGCATCATATTCCCAACGACGAGGCCATCGATCTCCTCACAGAGGGTATGGGTCCTCCCCTCAACCAAAGCATCCACCCAAGCGATGCCCCTGACCACCTCGAACGCCTGCCCGCTCGTCGTCAGGACCATAGCCTCCATAATCCCCACGATGGTCCGCACATGCCACGCCCGCCGGTATCCACTCTCCTCCTCCTGCACGGCCACCACGACGTGCGCCCACAAACTCAGCTCGGGCGCGCACGACGTCCAGTCGACCAGGGTCATGTGCGAGAGCTGCCAGAACGCATCCAGGTGCCGCCCGATCTCGAACGAGCCCGCTCCAAACTTGACCTTGAAGGACGCGAGGAACAGGAGCGCGGCCCGGCGGAAGGCCTCCCGGGTGATGGTGGCGGCGTCGGGGTAGTTCGGCGGGTCGGCTGGGTTGTCGGGGAGGGGCCGGCGGCCGGCGAGCGAGAGGACTTCGTGTAGAGCGGGCCCCAGGAGGCGTGCTGCTGTTACCTCGTCGGTCCAAAACTTCGGGTCGCTGCTGTGTCGGTTGATGTAGCTTGCAATGGCGGCGGTGGCTCTTATTGCGCTCTTGATGTCCCTGAGGGCAGGGACATCCCGGTCCCAGGTTTCGACGAGGTGCTCGAGATATTGCGTGTCGTTGCCGGTGTCGATGTCGGTGATGGAGCCGCTGGGTAGCTTGAAATGCGGCGTGGTGTCTCTGTATGACGCCCCGGATAGATCGTGCCTATAGTGCATTAGTTGAGCGGTTGCTGAGGCACGAAATGAGAAACTGAAGACTTACCAGCAGATTATGAGGCGCAAGAGAGGGCTGCTGAGTTGTTCCAGACCGCCTTTGTTCTCGATGAGGCGCTTGAGTCCCTTGAAATGGACCTCGCTACGTTCGAAATTGCCCGTAGCAGTCTTCTGGCCATTAGACACCGGTCTGACATTTCAAATTGTGTGAGATACTTACATCGTGACAGATGAAGCCCGCCACAGCCGTGACAAGCCCCTCGCTGTCTTTCTCGCTGGGATCAGCCAACCTCTTGCTGATGGACCCCAGCGACAGGGTATACCACTTCATCGCCTCCACATTCGAGTTGAACTCGGGTTTCCTACTGCTACCGGGAGCCATGTTGCGGAGCAGCACGGCGTTTGCCATAGTGATGTGCCAGGCGGCCGGATCAGACAGGCCCATCGACAGCCATGGGAAACGGAACGGTATGTAAGTCGCCCTGGCCTCGGCAAACACTGTGACCATCATCAGATACACTCGAATATTGCGATCGATACATTTGACCGAGATCTTACAGAAGCGGGCGAGGCCCAACCGCTCTTCGTCCATCTCGGTTGGGTACACCATCGTGCTCAAGTGGCCGTCCATCCTAGGAATCGGGAAAGCGAGAGGGCGCGCGGATCCCGCTTCACTTCCCTCGCCCAAGGTAACTATCCCCTCTTCTACGGTCGTCTGGCTGCGCTTCTTAGGCTTCCGCCGCGCCTTGCCGATGTCTTTCATGACATGGCGGCGTATGCGGGTCGATTCCTTCTTCACGTCGCCAGGGCGGCCGACGTTGACGAATTCGAAATTCGGCATCTGTGTTTCTTGATGTGACATGTACAAACTTGTGAGTGTGAGACGGGATAGATGACTTGAAGCTGAATCCTAGCACCCAGTCGCGAACTCAAGTATGTTGGCTGTGTGTCACTTTCTAATCTCAAGTGCTTGTATCGCAGAATTGAAGTCTATGATTAGAGTAGGCATAAAAAGCCCGTTATAGATCAAGGATTGAATGAGCACTTTAACGGGCGCCAGATAGCCAGCTCATCGTTGACTGTGGCCCGGAGGGAATCTCAAAGACAGGGGGAGGATCAATCTGCCTGTTGATTACCTAATGATTGTGGTGGAGAATACTGCAGGGCGCTGACAAATCTGCGATCGCAACGGCCTCGAAGCATCCCGTCTGACTGAACTCGCAACTGTCACTTCTCCGAATCACGCTGGATCGCTGCGGTTCTCATAGGCTCCGTGCTGTCTGACGACGGATCAGCCGGTCTGAAGATTTTAGAGTTCGAATCCAGGTACACAGGCGGACCGAGGACAGTCGCCAACACGTGCCGATGATAGGGGGCCATCTTCGAGTGACGAAGACAAGCCAAAATAAATCCAAGCCAAACTACAATTAGGTAGTCACTTACCGATCATAGTAACATGCGAGTTGCATATACGCCAAGACGCCTCATTGTGGTGTCAAGTCGGGATCATGTTATATGCATCCCAATCCGCCATGAACAAAGGGACCTCATTGACCTATGTAGAGACTATTACACCAGTATAACCCATCCAAGCCCGCGCCCCCAATCTCCTACAAGGCAGTCCAAGCCACCAAGTCCAAGTCCGTCCCAAATCTCGCAACTAGTACAGACCGCGAGCAACTCTCCGGGTCTTCGTCTTCTTAGCAGCGCTCGCGTTAGCGGCGACGCAAGCCTTCTGCTGGGTGTCGCAGTCGGAGACACTAATCGAAGCGTCGCCGCCGTTGGCCGCGTTGGCGCAGGCGTTCTTCTGCACGTCGCAGGCGCGTTGGACCGCGGCGCCCACGTTGAGAAACTGCGAGCCGTTGACCGTGAAGGGCTTGGCGGCCGCCGCGTCGCTGGTCACGGGCACGGGCGCCGAGCCGACGGCGCCGGTGAAGGCGTTGACGTTGGTACCGGTGGCGGTGGCGGTGGCGTCAGAGGAGGCGGCATCAGAAGAAGAAGCGGCACCAGAGGAGGCGGCGGCATTAGAGGCAGCGGTAGCAGTGGCAGCGCTGTCGTCGGCGCAACCATCAGCGGCAGCGACAGCAGCACCGCTAGAAGCCGCACCAGCAGCTGCGCTGGAAGTAGCAGCAGCACCCGCAGCAGCACTGGAAGTAGCGGCGGCACCGGCGGCAGCGCCACCAGCAGCCGCACCACCAGCAGCAACGGCCGCATCAATCTCATCAGGCGTCGCGTCATCAACGATCAAGTTCTGAGAGATGGCGCAGCCTACAGCGTCATTCTGGTCGTCGCAAGTGTTGCCGGCACCGGTGGTGTCAGTAACGTCGCCCGGCGCAAAGGTGCCAGACTGAAGAGCGAGCTGGGGGTCGGCGCCGATCGAGTTCAGCTGCACGGCCAGGTTGAGCGCGATCTGCTTGTTGGCGGCGGCGGCGCCGTCCGAGGCCGGGTCCTGGTGCTGCTGGATGGCGGCGATCTCGGGGTTGACGGCTGTCTCTGTGCAAGACACCGACGCTAGGCCGACCTTGCCAGTGTTGCGCTCCTGGGAGGGGGGGGGGGGGCTTGTGTTAGCTTTCTGGGTCTGTATATACGGAGAGCAGATGTTCAGCGAGGTAGGTACGTACGAGAGCGCGGAAGATCAGCGCGTTGGTCTGGCCCGCGACGTCACCGGCCGCCTTGGCGTTGGTGAAGGCCTGGTCAGCGACGCGCTGCTGCAGGCAGTCGAGGTCCGTGACTTTGCCGGCGCCGGCGGCGGCAGCGGCGTTTCCGAGCAGGGCGAAGACGGGGTCCGAGACCTGGTCGACGTTGTTCAGGTTGAGAGCAGTCCCGACTCCGGTCAGGAACTTCTCGTGCGAGTGTTCCTCTGTTCAACAGTGTGTCAGCTACTGGCCTGCTCCGCTCTTCGTGCCGGCTGTGTGGTACGTACGGGGGACCTCTCGTCTAAACTTGGCCGATCCTTGCGAGACCTTCGCGGCATCGGGGCGGGCAGCGGCCACGCCCACCAGGGCCATCAGAGCAGCACTCGTCTCGAACTTCATCTTGTCGGTAGTGTTGTTGTGGGGTGAAAAGCACACGAAAGGTGGTAGGTATAGAAAGGTTGAAAGAAGGTCCGGCCTAGTTGAAAGTTGTTCGTAAAGAGCGTTATAGAATGAGAGAATAGTTCACAGAACTAAGAAAGAACGTATGTGTGCGAGAGTGAGTTGGAAGAGAGAGTTGCTGTCGTTGGATGAAGAAGAAATAAAGGTTGATACTCAGGGTAGCTAGCTATACCTACATATATACCTACAGGATGAACAGCTACTGGTCTTACCAGGGCTATGCGGTCCGAAGACGCGGCGCATGGGGCCCTGGCGTGAAGCATATCCTCTCGAAAATTCAAACCTGCACTAGGAGTTCGTGCCGTTGCGGCCTGTCTGCTTTGCAGCTTGATTGTTACGTGCTTCGCGATGCCAAGCGGGGGTATGTTCGGACTGCCGTCTCATCACAGGGTGGGTAGCAGCCCTGGTAGTGCAGATCTCGTCGTCCCAACATGAAAGCTCAAATCAGGCGAAAGATGAGCAGGCCAGGTTTTGCCGCCCAGATCGCCCGTCATGAAGGTATCATCGGCTCGTCTGGAAGCCGAAAGGAGGTAACCGCATGCAGGGGAGGCGCTGGGATGCGTGCCAAATTACAATGGCTCGAAGCCTCTGGGCAGTGAGGACTAGGGGCTCGTTGCCCGTTCGATGCCATGGCCATTTGATACTCGCGTGCTGTCAAAGGCGGCTGGTGAAGGTCGGCTACTGAAAGTTGGTTCCAGACGTCCCCATAACCTTATTCTGTAGGCGAGCGAGCAGGCCGGACTACAGTATCAACACTGTACATCCACCACCCAATCTGAGCTCGATACCCACAGGAAGCGGCATCAGTATAAGCGAGGTTGCACTGTGATCGTTCCCATTAGCGCCTTGTCCGAAGCCTTGAGACTGAAGTTGAGATGAGACTGCTCATCCTACTCGAAGCGTCTCAGTGTGTTCGAGCCGCAACCACGGGGCTGCAGGGTTGCTCTCGGTTACCAGGCCTATCACGCAACCCTGCCGCCACTCGGACGCTGCCGTGGGACAGGGGTCAGAAGGGGCTGCTCAACCTCACCTCTGACTCGCGAGGGTTGACGATTGTTTCCTTCCGAAGTTCTGTCCAGCGTCCTTGCAGGCGATCTTATCGACCCCCTGCGAACTCATGATTCTTGCAAGATGGTGGAGCGTCACACCCATTCTTCAGACGATGGATGAGATCTAGCATTCAGCGCTTGCTGCAGCTCCTCCATGCAGTTGTTCATGCATCTATCAAACGTGCTCAAAGCCGTTGAATGACGTACTAGGCGCTCGACTACCGTGAGCATCGTTGACTTGATGCCTCATGACGAGCGACATGATGCTCCTAAGGGCTCAAACAAAAGTCGGTACACTAGACCATCATAAGTCTCCGTACACCACCCATCCAGCCACCAACAGTACCTAAATTCATCAGATCGGAATAAGCATAATGGAATGAGCTTTGGAAGTAGCGTATCAAACTAGAGCTGAATTTTCTACATATGATCTGATTCCTTTTAACATGGCGTGTACGGAGACTTATGAGGGCTGAATGTAGCTGCAAGTTTAGGCAGCGTTCAAACGCTGATACAGACACGACCAAGAGATGCGCAGTCGAGTTCTGTCTGGTTCTCTGTCAATATGGTTACACAACGCATAACGCAGGGGCTAGCTGCCTTGCGATAACCGCCCTCAGCTCGGTAGGCTTCCGGACAGGATCGCCCTCCTCCGTCTGGGGTTAGGGACTGGAGGCGTAGCATATAGACGGCTCGATGCCCATCAGACTGGAGGTCGTCGGTCAGGGTCATCGATCCAAGCTTCACATATGCCGTGCTCACACTGCCATATCAAGAGATTTGGTCCTCCCAGCAGTCCATAATTCATGTGTACGTTTTGTCCAAGCTCCAAAGTCCGGTACGGCATCCACGGAAGAGGGCATGAACCCTCAGCGCCATCATCAGTAACTCATTGTCGGTTCCGCATGAACCAACCTAAACCAAACGGCATCCATTATCGCTCCGTACCTAGATGTCAAGAGTCGCCCAAGCACACGTTGTTCACCGGAGATGTTTCGGTCGCTCGCTTGAGCTGATTAAGCACATCCAAAACGGAAGCGACGGGTTTAGGATAATGATGCTCTTCCACTTGACATATTCTTGTTTTGTACACTTTGGCCGATGCCAAGGGAAGTCTAGAGAATGCCTTTGACCTCACAATCTCGCCATGTCTAACCCGCCTCGCTGATGACGAAGAGCCACGAACCCCCACCAGCAGTCTAGTATTTGTACAGCGCCGCGCCTTAACCGATGATCAGCTTGTCTTCCTCGGGGAAGTCGTATGCGGGTATCTCGAGGTTGAGAGGAGCAGGTCCCTTCATTATACGTCCGGAGATGTCGTAGTGGGAACCGTGGCAGGGGCAGAACCATCCGCCGTAGTCGCCGGCCTCTCCGATGGGCACACAACCCAGATGCGTGCAGACGCCTGTATCAATCAAACATTGTCAGTTATGCTTTGGTGCGCTGTGACGACTTCGCGCAGCATTGCCTCGTTCGTAAGATGTCCGAGTAAATAGGATAAGCATACCCAACATGACCAGCCATTCGGGCTTCTGTACGCGATCCTCGTCGGCCTGGGGGTCTCTTAATGATGCCACATTGACCTTGTTCGCCCGGTCGATCTCCTCCTGCGTTCGGTGTCGGATGAAGACGGGCTTGCCTCTCCACTTGATGATGACGTTCTTGCCCTCGGGGATGGCTTGAAGATCGACCTCGACCTTGGCCATGGCCAAAACATCGGCGGACGCGGACATGTTCTTCAGGAATTCTATAACAAGCACCCATCAGTACATTACAAAGACACAATACGAGTCGCCAGTCGTAGATGATGCTGGATGATGCGACGGCCGTGTCGTCCGGCTGTCCGTGGACAAGTGATGTCGCAACACGGCGGGTGTTTTGGTTGGGGGCCACGTACCTTGGACGGTCGACTTGGCACCAGCAGCAGTGATGGCACCCATCGTTCCGACCATGAAGTAGCTGAAGAGGAGGTTCGTGTTCGCGGAGCCGCCCTTGTTGAAGTAGTGGCTGAAGTCGGGGATCTTTGTCGTCTTGGACTCGCCCTTGAAGGGGCTTGAGTAGCCGGCGTCTTGGAGCTGGGCAGAGGTGCTCAGAGCGCGGGCGGCATTGAGACTGCAGGTGGGTCTCGCGACTCCCCGTGCAAGAGCACGAGAAGCGATTGTGAGAGGTGCCATGGCGATGGGGATTGTCAATCGTTCGTCGTAGGGGTCGTGGGCTTGAGGTCTTTTTTCAACGATCGACTGCAAAAGCACCTGCTCGGCAATGTTTCCAGCTGTAACGATTTTAGCGTGGCGCTGCCATCAATCTTCAATGGGTCGAGCTCTGAAATTGGCTGCATCTGATTGGAACATTGAAGGCTGCGCCATGACCACCCGACAAGGTAAGAGCCTACAGGTCATGTGACCGATCTTGGATACAGTAAGGTCAGCCACAGTGTATCCATACAGTATGAGCAGTCAACGCACATGACGCACACTCGCACAGTACGAACACCATCGTCTCGAATCTAGTTGCACGTCCAACTCCGAAAGTTGATATGAAGTCGTAGTATGTACTATGGAAGTTCGTCGCAACTCCACCTCTTGTCATAATCATATACTCATCCCGAGTTGCTGCTGTCAGCTCTTACTCACTGCCCACCTACACGGCGTCACAAAGAGGAATGTACAGTAACCACGTAACCTAGTGCATCCGTTTCAGCTCCTCCACCAGATTCCGCATGCTTTCAACGTCAGGTCCCAGGCCCTGACATATCTCTTCTTGTGTCTCATCGTCCATCTCCAGGAACCGCTCGACCATTTCTCCATCAACAAAGCGGAACGGGCCGTCCGACTCGCGTTCCTCGTTCCGGAAGGATCGGTACTGGGAGAATTTGATGTCGCCCGTGGTCTGAACCACGTCAGCGAGCCTGTTCTGGAACCGGATAAGCAGATCCTGGGAATTAGGCGAGATCGTGGCAAACATATAAACGCCTCCCTCGACCTGATTGGGTACTTCGTGTTAGCAATACTGCCTGATAAAAAAGGATGTAGGTTGGCTGGGTGGTGGGCTTACCGTGCCGAGGAATGCTCGTGGTATTATAACCGCATTCTCGCTTGCATCCACCGTGATCTTGCGCATCTTGTTTACCATCTCCCCGAGGTTGATCTCACTCGTCACCTCCATCTTTCGCTTGTCCTCTAGAGTCACGCCGTCCAAATTCCTCCGAAGCACCAGCAAGTTCCCCACAGTGTCTGATTCTAACCACGTGTGCCCATCAATATGACACACCGAAGTGGCCCAGACGGATTGGTAGTGTCTCGATACTTCCACAAGCTTTGCTGGTTGACCATCAGCAGCTGGTGTGTATTCAACAAGAGTCATCGATTTCATCAGGTCTGCCACGGCGATGATATTGCCTTCAACGACCAGGTCGACAGGATAAGTCGCTGGCCGGTATGAGGCCATCTTCTTGATCTCTGCAGTGGTCGTAGACGTCTCGTTGTATGAGTACATGACAACCGTCTTTGCCAACGCCGCAATAATGTTGTCATCCATGACCGCTAGAGATCTGCAGGAACCCTTCAGATTCCGGCTGGCAATCAGATATGGCACCCTTTCGTTGTCGATGCCCAGAACTAGTATTCGTCCTCGTACATCCTCCTGCGTTGCGGCAATGGTCTGATCGTCCATATAAGTAGTACCGACGATGAACCGTTCAGCTCGGCCTCCGTAAGAATCTGGCAATTCCGCTCGAACGACGGCCTCCACCATCTCGATACGAGGTGAACTGTCCAAAACGAAATCGCTGCCGAGCTGCTTGAACACAACTTCGTCCACCAACTTGAACGAACTGGTGATTATCTCCTCATTATCCCTTACTTCTCTGTAGAAGCAACCCAGACCAAAGGCTCGCTCTACACGAGAGTATGCTATTCGTCGCACTGTTTCGCCCATGGGTAAACTGTTCACATGCGTTCGGCGCTGAGTATCAATCACGGATATCTTGACCTCCTTTTCGGTCGCAACAACGATGGATCCCGGAAATGCCTCAGCGTCGAACGGGCAAACACACGTCGCATCCTCGGCTGTTATTGCTGAATATACGATTCTGCCCTCTGTTCCATATATCAAGCTGGGATGTTCGCTTGTAGAAAAGATGTTGTAAACTCCATTAGGTTGTGGGAGCAAGTGCAGCCGGGCGTGTTGCGTCCCTAGAACGACGCTTTTCCGGCCGGAAAGAGAGAAGTCGGCGTTGGAGACGTTGAAGGTGATGACAAACCCATCTTCCATCGACACGAACAGTGTAGGTCCACCAAGCTGAGGCGGGAGGACCTGTGCAAGCGCAATATCTCGTGGTATCGATGCGTTGTCGTCCCTCCGGCGTAGGCTCTCACCGTGCATGGATTGCAAGGTCTTGATGTCAAGGATCGATATCGTCCCCGACTTCCAGAACCCGACGACGCCAATGTGAGGGTATTGCGGAGGCAGATGCACACAGGCAACCTGATCCGCGTCTCCAAGGTCTTTGTGCTCAAGCCATTCGATATTATCCCGCGGTATCTGCAATGACAAAAGAAATCTACCATCGACCGCAAGCAAAATCCACTCGTCGCTTGCTGACACGCTCGTGATCTGTCCTTGTTCTGGTTTCCAAGTCAACAATGGAGCACCACTTTCAGAGTCGATCAACAATACGCCGCTTGGTGTAACTTGCAGGAGCCGTCCGTCCGAGAGGTCCTGCGCTAGCAAGGTCTGTTCCTCAAAAACCACACTTTCGAATCTTTCCACAATCTGCGAGGGTAATAAAGTCAGCATGGCCTGTCGGAAAACGAGATAGGCGCGTTCAACAACGCTTATACCAAGGATAAAGGTTTGCCATGAGTACTCATGCATTTCTGACAATATAAAGAAGATGGCCACGTACCTTCGATGCCCCGGCCGGGTCTACTTCCTCAATCTCGCCCGTCGGGTCAAACGAGAAAATTCTCGTTTCAGTCAAGAAGGATATGACCAACGTATCTGGTTTCGACGCCCCGTGGGAGCGTATAGAAAAAAGCGCCCGCACATTTTCCATGGTGGCCAAAATCCCAACATCATCCAGTCCAACACCACTTCGAACGCTTCGTAGACTGCCATCTTTATGAACGCCACTGCCGGTGACGATTCTTGCCTGGCCTGAAGAGTACTCGTTGGAAGTCTGACCTTCTCCCTCGCGGTTACCCATGTCCATCACGTTGAGGTCTAATATAGGCGCAATGTTGTGCAATGTCTGAACCAGCTCCAAAGAAGCTTGGTCGATATTGATGTGGAATACTTGAGAGTCGCCATGGTGCGACCCGACAAAAAGGACATTGTTGCCCATGTAAACGAGACTACTGGCCCGCGAGGTCGTGCCGATCTTCTTCATCTCCATTCCGGTGACCACAACGCCGTCGAGGAGAATTTCAAGCAACCACATGTTGCCATAGTCGTCTCCAACCAAGTAGTGCGAGGCATCGAACTCGGCCCAGGCAACAAAGATAGATGCTTCAGCCAGTGGCGTCTCGACCAACTTCTTCGCAGCATCGTCGTAGTACAGCAACCTAGTCTCGCCTACAACAATTAAACCGCCCAGCTGAGCACGTGCAGACGAGGCGTTTCGGCTTAAGTAACGCTTCGAATCCTCCTCGCCCTTACTGACAGGTATCAGAATCGCTGAGCCAGGGTCTTGAATCTCCATACGGTCGATCTGGTCTCGCACTTCAAACCTAGATACCTCGGTATTTTTGTCGTCAGAGGTAAGGCGGTATGTGACGAGATGGCAGTCGGCGTTCTCGGTTCGGGTCTGGTAGAGGAAGGCGACCTTTGGATGGCCAGTTTCGACGTGCAGGAAGCTCGCGCATTTGATGAAGAGTTCGGATATGCGTATTTGATCCATCCAATTAAGATTATGTCTCTTGCTTTTGACTCTGTGCATGCGCAGAACATTAATCACGCCTTCCCACAAGAGCACGACCATGAACTGGCCGGTGGGGTCGACTATGCATTTGTCCTGGCTTAGGGAATCCCGCATGTGCTTCTCGTTGACGTCGTAGAACATCTCCACGGTGTCGAGTCTCTGTGTGGACGCATCCCAGCCGACGGTGAAGTATTGGAATCTGTCGGTTCCGACAAAGAGTAGATCGGTGTCGGCATCTCGTGGTCGTAGGCTTTGCAGCATGGAAATGGTTCCGTGGACGGCGTTGGTGTCTGTGTGCACCAAGGCACCAGTCCCTTCAAGCTTCCATATCTCCAGCCGGTTGGCTTTGCTGCTCAGAGTCAGCCTCAGCACTCATACCAGCACCGTCATAGCTGGCCGGTGGACTCACGCTAGGACGATGCAGTCGTCCTCGTCGTCGGGAAACAGTGTTGCGCGTAGGGCATGTCGGACGCTATTCGGGCGGTGAATAGGCGCTATATATGCCATTGTGAGAGCTTCGCATGGCTTGATAATGATGTTGGTACCAAGGTGATATTGCGAGGGGTGTTCATGAAAGGATGATGGAGCTTCAGCAGTAGAAGACGAGCTTCGATGATGCATACAGCCCTAACAGCCATAAGCCGGTGATAAGCAAACGCCGCAGCTGCCGATAAAGCACGATAAGCACGATAAGCACCCGCAGCGGGGATATCACATCTGCAGGTGCACCCCACCACCACCACCACCACCGAGAACTCAACGTGCAGTAACAAGATGAAACCGCCGAAGAATACGAGGAAAGAGTGCTGGACCGACCTTTAGCTTGCAGCCAAGAACATTAACCTGGCGAAGGTAGAAGATTCGCTCGCAGATGGAGCGGGTGTCAATGCCTCGCCAAGGCGGTATCACGGAAACACTGTTCTTCAAGCTGCGTGTCTCTTTGGACATGAAGGAACCGTGCGGAGATCCATCACAGCTGGGGCAGATGTTCATCATGCGCCAGGAGAGAACAATGGTATGCGAACTGCCTTACAAAAGGCCTGTGCTGTTAGGCACCACTCCATCGTTAAGATTCTGTTCAAATCTGGAGCCAATATCAACTCACCTGCTGGTCGATACTTTGGACAAACGTTACTGCAAGCAACGGCGGAAGGAGGCCACTTGAAACTGGTGCAGATGTTTCTTGAACAAGACGCCGATGTTAATGCTTGCCCCGGAGCCACTGCTGGACTCACTGCACTGCAAGCTGCTGCGTCTTGTGGTCATCGAGATATCGTCAAGTTATTGCTTAGAAAAGGGGCATATGTCGACGCGCCTGCTACACGTCCACAAGAACTCAACGGCTTTGCAAGTTGCTTCGCTCAAGGCAGTCTGAAGGTTCTCAACTTATTGATTGGAGCTGGGGTTGATTTTGATGCTCTTGGTAGTTCATTGAAAGGAGGCAGAACTTTGCATGCCGCTCTGGAAAAGGGACATGTCGACATCGCGAAGCGTCTCCTCAAAACGGGAGCTTCACCAGACTCGACCGCAGGCTGGGGTATCAGACAGCACTACAAATTGCTGCAGTCTGTGGCCAAGACAACATCGTTGAGCTTTTAAGAAGATCGGGTGATTCTGGTGTCGATGGTAGAGGCCAAATACTCTCCTGAGACAGAGTCTTCATAACGTGGGTGCGTGGCTCTGCCCCTGATGCCTCACACTAATCGGTGGGGACATACAGCTGCAACACTCGTATGTCAAACCCATGGCCCATATTACCCAGTCACCGGTGCAGGATGGACGATACGCTCTTGGTATGCCTGGATCGTTCCAAGACTCCTCGAGCCAGTCATATGAGGCGCAGGCGACCTCATGGGTTGCTGTTTCCGCCAAAGTTATCCGCTCAAGGCGGGAACCTTTTCCCCAAATGGGACAATACAGGCCTCCATGCCAAGTTACCCGACTGCCAAGCGCCCTGGGGATAACAGTGCGGACTCAAGCCAGTGCAACGCTTGCGATATCCCCTCATGAGAATCAGCGGAGTCAAAGATGGCTCATTACTCAGCCCTAATGGCTGGCGGAATATACGCATGACTGTAATAATCTTTGCAGACAGGAAAGATATCACCACCGGAAAAGCAATGTCCGGGGGTCAACCAACCGGGGTTCGACTGTACGTTGTGGACAAGCACCAAGACATATCTCTGAGCTTACCTACACAATAGACTGACTTCATGGGCCCGACTCTGAGGCGAGTATTTTTTGCACACATCATATCATGATCCTCGCAGTTGTAACCAGGGTCTACGTTCCTTCTTCATGTCGAGATTACCTCAAGACTTTGTGTCACATCAGCGCTTAACAGGGCAGATTGACCTGCACTTCTGTTTGGCTCAATATATACGCCCGGGCAGGCATGTTGCTCCTCCGCTTTCTGGGCAGTTCACCGACTCCAGGGAGAGCGGCAGCGAACCAGGTCATGCAGGCGGGGACGGCCCTTGCGTAGGTAGCCAAGCCTCCGCTTCCGGCAACTTGTCCGGGCGAGTCGGCTTGCCGCCGTTGTTTTGTCCCCACGGGGTACGCTTCGACCGCTACCGTTGGCATGGTCATGCCAAGGTGCAGTATGTTTTCTGCTCGTCTAGGCACCGAGCAAAAGCTGATCGTGATACTGTAAGCAACAACGAGTCGAATCACAGTGGTCCATCTGCAGGGCAGTGGTTATTTTACCCTCCTTGCCGGGCTGTAGCAACACTATGCGCTCGAATGAGGTCTACCCTTCAAGTTGGGTCTTCTATTATCACGCAAATGAGGCGACCGGGTCGCCGTGGTCTCGGTCCCGTCGAGTCCTTGCTATGTCCAGAGTCTTGGCCTGTGTACGAGGAGGATATAAAGTGACGGCTGCCCCTCTGGAAGGAACTATCTCTGTCTCCGGATGCCACCTATCGTGAAGGAGACATACCGAAGCGCAATCATGAAGCTCAACCCTACCTTTGCGGCCACGCTGGCTGCAACGCTGTCTCTTGTCTTTGCGGCGTCCGCTCATCCTGGCGAGGCGTTGTCGAAGCGTCAGCAGGAAGCCCACAATGCCCGTTCTGTCGCGGCAGTCAACGCCCGAGCACTCGAGGTTTGCCAGCAGCGGCCTGAGGTGAAGGCCAGAAAGCAACGGGACATCGCCCGAAGACAAGCCACCTTTGACCAGCTCCGTCAGAAGAGGAGTCTGCAGAACGGTACGCGGCGTTCCTCAAGAGACATCGTTGTATCGAGCAAAGTGCAGACTAACATATGCGTAGATGCTTTCTTTCATCGGAGAAGCGATGCAGACTTCCAGCAATGGGCAGCTAGCAATCATAATTTCACTGGGGAGGTAGACGTGACCGTTTCGTCGAAGGACCTTTTTCCCTCCAATGCGAGCTGTGTCTTGGCTCCTGACAACGCTAACGGCCCTTACTTCGTATCCCAGGAGCTCATCCGGCAGGAGATCGATGAGGAAGAAGTGGGCATTCCCATGCACCTTGAGCTGCAGTTCATCGACATCAACACGTGCGAGCCGGCCGATGTCTTGATCGATGTGTGGTCCTGCAACTCTACGGGACAATATAGTGGTATCAGTGCCGGTGGCCAGGGCGGGCTGGATACCACCTACCTCCGCGGTGTGCAGCTTACGGATGATGAGGGCGTGGTTAACTTCGATACCCCTTTTCCCGGCCTTTACGAAGGGCGTGCGACACACCAGCACATTATCGTGCATGTGGGTTCTGAGAGTACGTTCCCTAAAACAAGTTCAAGAAATAACATAAGGTGATTGCTGATACTTTCATCATAGTACTGGACAACGGCACGTACACCGGCGGTGTCGTGGCTCATCTCTCACAGCTATTCTTCGACCAGAAGCTCAGAGATGCCGTAGAGTCACTGGCCCCTTACAACACGAACGAGATCCCTGTGACCTCTAATGTGGAGGATCTGTTTGGAGGCTACGCCTCCACTGCTGAATACGACCCGTTCATGAACTACGTCGTTCTGGGTAACAGTCTGGAGTCAGGCTTATTTGCTTGGACCGAGCTCGCTCTTAACACAGTATGTTACACCTTACATCCAGTGCCGGTCAGATTCAGTTGAAACCGAAGACATAAATTTATTACAGAGTTCGAACTGGGACTTCTACGCGCCATATGCTTCCACTTGGGCTGCTGGAGGTGGTTCCGATAACCCGGCTTTCAACTTTTCTGTCGTTACAATGCCCCCTCCGACCCACGATTGAGCAGGTCTGCTGTGCGATACAATCTGAGTGGGAACATCTTCGCCCATGTTACCTACGTGACGTCGTAGTGGTATGAGACTATGCGTTATGCACACTCATATTGCGGGAAGACAATTCCTTCAATGTTGAGCCACTGCCCAAGTTGTTTAATGAGAGATTGAAATCCAACTGCATTGACGATATTGCTGTTTGAATACGGGGATGGTGATGATCGTGCCTAGCTGCGATACTCCCTCGTTTGTTCTTCAAGGCGCGTCGCTGGCCCCCTTGCTGTCGTGTTTGAGGACCATGATCATGAGCTTTCGGTCAGCCTCAAAGTGGTGTTGGCTGAGAGTCCTACGTAGATCTTTCGAAAGGGCGCCTGTATTACTTCTCCCACATCTTTGCTCTTCATGCTGACAATGGCTTTCCCCTTGGCTTTTCCCCTAGCTTTCCCCTTGGGTTTCCCCTTGGCCTTGGTCTTGGCTTCCGCCTTGAGCCTGGCTTCGGCCTGTCCCCCCTCCTACACCAACGCGATCCCATATCATCCCACCGACCGCCCCTCCAACCCAGCTCGCGGCGGCGGTGAATCAACATGTTCTCGACGCGTTTCAGCACGTATCCGTAGTTCTTGAACAGCTTCAGCACCACACCCATCCATAAGGCTGGGTCCAAGCCTACTGTCTGACGCCGTCGGTGTGGATCCGGTCGTACAGGCGTAGACCCGTCTTGGTGCGACGGTGCAACGGCTTCCAGTGCGCCGGCACCTGTGATATCGCGTCCGCGATAGTCCTCGTGTCTTTGCCGAGCGGTGTGGGTTTGATGGCTGGGAAGTCGACCTTCATTGTGCGGAGAAGCACACGCGAAACCGGCATTTTGTTGGCTTTCGTACTCGGAAAGGACCCCTTGTTGGAGGCAGGGACGACTTGTAGTTCCTATGGGAATTGTTGCCCTTGTAGGTCTCGAGGCTACTATTCGAGAATCATAATTTTGGCTTATGAGGCATTGCCCAGGTCCGCTGCCGCTTTGCAGACCGCCTTGTGACCATCTGAGACATTTCAAAGCACTTGCGCACTGGCATGCAAAGCCTCCGTCGGAGAACGTGAGCGTGGGCTTTTACTCTGGCCTGGATGGCATCGATTACATGAGACCAGACTCTCCCAGTCCCGATCTCAACGCACGTTCGTCGCGCATCTGAGATCGGACTACAATCATTGTCACCCAGGCCAAGCTATGACCGCCTCCATAATTACCAAACATACCGAGGTATCTAAAAGGGTACACTTGATAACTCAGGTACCCATAGTGACACCATAAACTACCTGGAGAGCGATTAGGCTCACACGGATAAAGCCCCGGTGATGCGTATGAACTCGTCCTTCGTATGCTCCCACACCTTGTCCGTCGTGCCATCCTTTCGAAGCCCAGCCAAGATCTCTTGCGCCCCCCAAGGCAAGCCCTCCGCTTTATAGCAGATCGAGTACACGCCACCGCCAATCTTCCCCTCCGTACTGGTGGCAGTACAAACGCCTGCATCCAAGGCAACACCATCAGTCCCCATCTCCCCAGAGCCGGGTGGAAACCGAGCACTGGTCGCAAAGAAGACCTGGCGCTCGCCCACCTCCTCGATGGGAATGTTTAGCAGCGCCATGACGGGCGCGAAGAAAACCGAGGCAATGGCCGGAATGGGGCCCTTGAGCTCGCGCGAGAGCCCCGTCTTGACGAAGCCGGGATAGTCGTGCACGAAGGAAACCTCGGGGGCTTGCTTGGCAATGGACTCGAGTGCAAGGGTGATCATTGATACGCAATGACCACGCATTGATCTGATGCTCAGGCCCCTGGCTTGGAAGCCATCGGGGAAGATGGCGCCTTCCATTGTGCCGGCAAAGACAGTGACGACGCGGCGGAGAGAGGTTGCCTGCTTTAATAGCGGGAGCAGGTTGACGACGCATCGCATGCGCGAGTAGTATGTTACCGCCATAGGGTAATGGAGGCCTTCCTCTGTGTCTGATGTGCAACGAAGGTGAATAAGCAACATAGAGTTAACGTCTCACAGAGACCCGGTGACCATGAACGAGGACCAACCTTTACCCCTAATGAGTGTCCCGCTACTGACGAAGAGCAGATTGATACTGGATTCCTTGCGCCGGATTAGGCGACATAATTCATCGACGTTGTTGAGCAGGCTGACGTCGCAAGGCAGATACTCGTACTGGCCGTCGGGATTCAAGGCCTTGATCTCAGTCTCAATCCGCCGGCCCTCATCTTGCCGCCGACCGACGAAGTAGACTCGGGGTTGCCGCGCGTGTGAAGGCCTTTAGAGCCGCTTCGCCGACACCACTCGTTGCGCCGACAAATACAGCTACAAGGTGCGCAGGAAGACCATCGCGGATGCGCCCGTTGGAGGCACGCATGGCTTCGAGTGAAACCATGACTAGTAAAGAGTCAAGAATAGCCCATAACGCCGGAAGGCAGCCGTTCCCCTGTCTGAGAGCCGCCCTATGTGGAATGAGATCACGGCGGCATCCCTTACATGAGCCATCTACCAACAGATGAATGATATGTCGTGTAACCATTCCTCATCCAACAGCCTCATCACCCGCCCGCTTTATGCGGCCAAGTTGGTTGTCCCGACAGGTGGCCAGCACCTACTTCATCGAGCGTCTTCGAAAGAGACGTCCAGCATCATAAGGACCGTCACGAACGAAGCAGCCGCTTATGTTTCATTGACTACACGCTCGGTACGATATATGACCCGTCCGAACTTCCGAAGCAGGTAGCTGGGTAGCCGGCAGCTACCGGAAAAGCACAGTCCACCTGGCTGTGCCCCTTTACTGCCGTTGGTGGCGCAGCATTTCTCCGGCTCTGGTGAATCCCAGTCATTTGCGGCAACTGCCGAACTCCAGCTTTGATAGGCGGCATAGACATTCGACCAAGAAACGAGGCGTGAAGCTGTGCAGATACCGGTCGTATCAACTCCCATTTACGGAATAGCGCGCGTCCGGAGGCAAGGAGCGGCGCCAGGTCCTCGGCCAGGGATCCGCACCTTATCGCCGGCTAAAGCCAGAATAGGCAGGAGATGGCCGTTATGCATAGTCCAATCTCGCCCAACGACTGAACGACCAGGACCAACAGCATGTATGCGGCCGTGGCGGCGTACTGCGGGCAGCGTTGTACCGGAAAGGGGCAGATCTACGATGTGATAAATAAGCTTGTTCATGGCCCTCACTCGAGGCAGGGCTCTTTCTCCCCATCCCTCTCGTTGCAAGTCCAGTCTCTACAGTAGGGGTGGTAAACATGGCTCCTTTCCTCTCTTTCGTCGTCGGTTCCCTCCTGGCTGTCCAGGCTCTGGCCAAGCCATACGAGAAGCTGTTCTCAGTTCCCGAAGGTAGGTGACACTCACAACGTGCTTTGGATAATATAACTCACAGAACTGCAGGATGGAAACTCTTGGGCCCTGCCGAAGACGACCAGGTGCTCAAGCTGCAAATCGCTCTCACGCAGGGTGATGCTGCCGGCTTCGAGCAGGCGGTTCTGGACATGTCCACGCCCAGCCACCCCTCGTACGGAAAGCATTTCCAGGACCATGATGAGATGAAGAGGATGCTGCTCCCGAGCCAGGACTCGCTCTCATCCGTCCATGCCTGGCTCGAGGATGCCGGCATCGAGAGGATCGATGACGATGCCGATTGGATGACTTTCAAGACCACTGTCGGCCAGGCCAACAAGATGCTCGACACCAAGTTCTCATGGTTCGTAAGCGAGGAGGCGAAGCCGCGCAAGGTTCTGCGCACGCTCGAGTACTCGGTCCCAGACTGGGTTGCCTCGCACATCAACCTGGTCCAGCCCACGACTCGCTTCGCCGCCCTTCGCGCCAACCACGAGACGAGTCACGAGCTGGGCATAGTCTCAATCGCCGCCGCCACTGCCGACGTTGATGAAGACTGCGATGCTATGATCACCCCCGCCTGCCTGAAGCAGTTCTACGGGCTCGACTACGAGGCCGATGCCAGCAGCGGTAGCAAGGTCGCCTTCGCCAGTTATCTCGAAGAATACGCCCGCTACGCCGATTTCCAGACCTTTGAGGAGACCTATCTGCCCGAGACTATCGGCCAAAACTTCACCGTCATCCAGTACAACGGTGGCGGCAACAACCAAACATCCACTGATGACAGCGGTGAGGCTAACCTGGACGCGCAATACATCCTAGGTACCGGCCACCCCCTTCCCATCACCGAGTTCTCGACTGGTGGACGCGGACCGTGGGTAGCCGACCTCGACCAGCCCGACGAGGCCGACAGCGCCAACGAGCCATACCTCGACTTCCTGAACAACGTGCTCAAGCTGCCGCAGAGCGAGCTGCCGCAGGTGATCTCGACCTCGTACGGCGAGAACGAGCAGAGCGTGCCCAAGTCGTACGCGCTGTCCGTGTGCAACCTCTTCGCGCAGCTCGGGTCCCGCGGCGTGTCCGTCATCTTCTCCTCGGGCGACTCCGGCGTCGGTTCGGCCTGCTTGTCCAACGACGGCAAAAACACGACCAAGTTCCAACCCCAATACCCCGCCTCCTGCCCGTGGGTCACGTCCGTAGGGTCGACCCGGTACCTCAACGAGACCGCGACGTTCTTCTCGTCCGGCGGTTTCTCGGACTACTGGGCCCGTCCCGCCTACCAGGAAGCTGCCGCGACCGCGTACCTGGAGAAGCTGGGCGACAAGCAAGCGCCGTACTTCAACGCTTCAGGCCGTGGATTTCCCGACATCGCCACCCAAGGCTACGGATTCCGCGTCTTTGACCAGGGCAGCCTGAAGAGCTACCAGGGGACCTCGTGCTCGGCGCCCACGTTCGCCGGCATGGTCGGTCTGCTGAACGACGCCAGACTGAGGGCAAACATGACGGTTGTCGGCTTCCTGAACCCGCTCCTGTACTCCAGCCCCAGCGCGCTGAACGACATCACGCTCGGCGGCAGCACGGGCTGTGATGGCCTGGCCCGGTTCCACGGCGACCCTAACGGCAGCCCTGTCATCCCGTACGCGAGCTGGAATGCTACGGCGGGATGGGATCCAGTCACCGGACTGGGCACGCCCAATTTCCCCAAGCTGCTGACGGCTGCGGTGCCCTCCCGATACCGACGATCTCGGTACCGGGCTTGAGAAACGGTCGTTGGGTGCGATGTAAAGTGAATCTTCTTGTATATACATGAATATAGTTGTTCCAGCTTGACGCCAAGCGTTGAAAATATGGGCAGAGAAATGAACTTCGTGATTATGTACAGTTTCCTGAAAAGCTTCCTCGTCGCTCTCGTATCTACAGAGTACCTAACATACCGCTCATGCCAGTGAGAAAAGGAGAGCAACAACGCCTGTCGCAAAGACGACGTTTCCCGACAACGCCATCAAAGCCGAAGCCGCACTATGTTTATCTGTCGAGCCCGACGAGCTGTCTGACGAATTTGACGACGTCGAATTCGCCGTCGCGTTCGAGATGGACGACGAGTCTGAGATAGACTGCGAGCTCGTCGTGCTATTAGTCGTGACCATCGCATCCTTGCTATCAATCTCGATGCTCGCGTAATCGCCCGTCATGTCGCCGTACGTGTACGTCGAGCCCGGGTTGTAGTTCGTGACCACGATCCGTTTCACGTACATCGTGAACGGCCCGGCGCCGAAATCGGTCTCGCCGCCCGCCCACTCGATCGTGCCCTCGTCATTGCCGCTGGCGCCGCCCGCCCAGATACCGATTTTGACCCGCATGGGCGTTTGCGGGTGATTCGCGCCGGAAACCGCATCAGCGAACGCGAGCGTGCGCACCGCCTAGCCGTCGACATACCACGTCGTCGCGGCCTTGGTCCACTCGACCGTATAATTATGGAACAAATCCTGAGCATTGCCCGAGCCCGACATAGCAACATAAGTAGCGCGATCATACGAGCTCGTGTTGCCCTTCCCAAAATAGTTGGTCTCGACCTGGGCCGCGGACCCGCCGAGTCACTCCCAGTCGATCTCGTCCAGGTCGTCGGACTCGAGGATGGCGGAACTGACGATGCCGGTACCGGGCGCGGCGCGCATGATAACCGACACGGCGCCGAAGAACAGGCAGAAGCTGGACTGCATGGTCGGCGCGTCGCCGAGGGCGCTGACGGTGAAGGCGGCGCCGTTGGTGGAGTCGTAGGAGACTGTGCCGTATGTCATGTTCCAATCGGCGCTGCTGCCCTGTGTGAAGTCCACCGTGTAGGAGGTCTGGTCCAGCCCGGCGTCCGATGGGCAGGTTGTGTCTGAGGTTGTATGTTAGCGACATTGACGTTGCACGGCTGTGAGATATATCATATGAGCCGCTTACTCTCTGTGGGGCTGCAGGAACTGTATGATATCATCAGGTCCCTGCCCCCAGCCGCGCAGAAGCGACTAAGGCTCAGAAAGAAGGGCAAACCGGCAATTGGGATCAAGAATCGTGATCTTAATATTGTTAAAGAAGACATTACAAGTGATGAGGGCACCGTGAAGCGCAAGCGTGGGTGCCCAAAGAAGAAGCACCACGACGTGTATCACCTATGTGTAGACTTCCCTGACTCCGGCGAGATCAAGAGCGCCCTGAAGTTGCTTTCAATCCAAGAGGATGAGAGTGACAAGGAAGGCGGCTCAGTAACTGCTTCTGAGTCTGATCAGGACAACTCTTACAGCTATTTCAATCCTAAAACATTTAATTACGATGCGTACTTCACAAAGAAGCGCGCTGAGGCGGCTACGTTCCATGATACAGCTGCTACCATGGCTCAGATGAACGCTCAGATCGTCGATAAGCTCCTTGAAGACAAGCGAGAGTATCTATTTAACCCTGATCAGGACAATCCTGGTGATAACAGCGCAGCTACATACCATACAAGGATCATGTCGCCTAGTTACAGGCTGATGGAGGCCAGGGCAGCTACAGACTCTACCTTAAAGGAAGCCATGAATAGACAAGAGAGGAAGCTGTGGATTGCAGCCATCTTTAAAGAGATCAGAGAGAACCTTGAGCGTGGCACCTTTAGTTTCAAGAGCACCAGCGAGGCTATCACAGACCATCTGATTGATGTAAAATGGGTACTGAAGAAGAAGTTCTTATCTACTGGCGAACTTGACAAGTTCAAGGGCAGAATCTGTGCCAAGGGATTCACACAGCGCAAAGGCATTGACTATAATGAAACCGCGGCTTCTACAGCTTGTTCAGCATCATGGAGGATACTAATGGCGATTGTGGCTTCATTAAGATGGCACATCATCTATTGTTTGTTTGTTTTGTATTTAACGTGGGGGGTAGCTCCTCAGTAGTGCAAACCACGCCTCCCAGAGCCTCTGCATCGCAGGGTTGTGGAGGTCTCAAGATAATAAGTACAGTCAGTCCCGCTTACGGGCCCATCCCTGTTGTTGCGGCGGTATGACCTTGGGGTCATCCATCTGGTCCTTCAAGGAAGGTTATCTATCAGGGGCAGATTGTTGAAAAGAACTTGCTCTTCTCCACGAATTTTGCCCATTCTGTGCTCCTCTCTCCCAAGTATTGTAAACAGGCTGTCCTAGGCGAGTACCTAGGCAATAACCGATTTTTCCCCAGCCTCCTACAAAAGAAAATATGTTGTGGTGTTTTCTTTTCACCACAGCTGCAGTGGTTGTTCGAGTCTGTATGCCCAAAGCGTTCGTGGTATCTGGCAAAGTCGCCATGTCCAGATCTGGCCGCTAGAAGTCTGTGTAGAGTGCTCCTCTTAAAAGATATAAGGCCTCTTTCAGTTACTGCATGTGAGTATACTTCTTGATACCTAGGTTCTGATTGGTCTTTCCACCATTGATTGAACTCTTTCTTGCCCTTTCTCTTGAGATCTCTCTTGACCCAAGAGATTGTGGGAAGGTTTGTTGTGTCTGTTTCTAGCATGGCGCCCTCTTTTGTTAGTGTGTCAGCAGCCTTATTACCATCAATATCTCTGTGTCCAGGAATCCACTTGATGGTCACTCCAGGAGTGTGTGCTGTGGCAAGTTCTTGAAACCGTAGAAAAATGTTCTGTGATGTCTCGGGTGGAGTCCCATTAAGCCCATCTACCACTGATGTGTTGTCCAGGCAGACATATAGCTGTTTTCTGTATCCAATTGCCCTGGCTGCTGCAAGACCTTGGAGAGCACCATGGACTTCAGCATCCACTACTTCTGCTTGTAGAAGTCTGCCCCTTCCCCGGTATACTTCTTGTGCAGTGCCGCCTTTCCTGATGGTATAACCCCATCCAGTGCGGGTTGTGCCTTGGTCATCCAATTATGATCCATCTGAGTAGATGACAAGGTCAGTGTTCGTATTTCTTTCCTGTAACCATTGCTTGAAGAGCTCTGTTTCTTTGTCCTTGTCTTTACGGACTGGGGCCTTTTTCCATGATGGCTTGGTGAGTATTGGTCTCTGGAAGTCAGGGACTAGCTGGAAGCTTCTTTGTAGCCTTGTTGGTTCTTTGCGAGCTTGTATTTGGAGCCTGCCAACAAGAGGGTGTCTCTGGTCTACTCTTCCGAGTCGGAAGCCGTGACGTCTTCTTATTGACTCTGCAAGAATTCCTGCTGGAGGAATCTGTGATTCAAAGTGTAGGATATGTCCAGGGTGTGTTTTCCAGACCGGCAGGATAGCTCTGATTGCCGTTCGTAGTACAGCATCTATTGTTCCAAGAAGCCTTTTAATGCGACATGCTGATGTCCCACCTAAGCTCCCAATTTTTTCCATTCCTGGGTATCAGACCTCCAGGCTATGTGTAAGAATAGGAATAACACAAGTTTTCACAGCCTTCTTGGTTGACTTTACTGGAAGTCCTTTGACTGTGTTGCATAGTCCTCGAATGTGGTTTGCTACCCTACTAGCTTTCTTGGCCCAGTAGGAAACGTGATCTTTGAAGTTCAGTTTTCTATCCAGGAAGACACCCAGCCATCGCATGGAGTTCTTTGCTGTTCTGTTCATTGTCCCGTGACGGACCGGAGGATTGTCTGAGTTCTTTTTCCGTGAGAAATGCATAATCTCGGTTTTGTCGGGATCAAATTCAATAGCGTTGTCGTGTCCCCATTGGTTGAGCAGGTAAAGATTTTCAGAAGCCTCTTTGGCTGTTTCTTTGAGGTCCTTTCCAATGCAGAGAGTTGCTAGGTCGTCTGCATATCCAAAGCGTCTTCTTTTCATCCCGAGTCGGGCACAGATTGGCTCTGTATATAGCATATAAAGAATTAGAGAAGCTGGTGAGCCTTGTGGTAGCCCACAAGTGAGGGCTTTTATATCGGTCACAATACCTTCAAACCGAACTCTTGCGGATCGTTCAGACATGAATGACTGGACCCATCTTATAAGAAAGCCTGGCCAGCCCTGTTCTCTCATGCGAACCACCAGCCGTCCCATTAGGGCAGCATCGAAGGCCCCTGTCACATCTGCTGTGACTACCCTTGCAACAAGGCCTTGGTCAAGGGCCTGCTCAATATCGTGTATGAGTGCAGCTACCAAGTCGGTGGCAGAGCGCTTTGGTAGAGCTCCAAAATGTTGTGGAGCTAGAATTCCAAGTTTGATAACAAACCAGGCAATTCTTTTTGTAATGAGTCGTTCTAGGCCTTTGCCAAGACATGATAATAGCGATATTGGTCTGTAGGCCCTGTGGTTGGAGTAGTCTTTCTTGTCTGGCTTTGGGATCATCACCACCTCAGCTACTTTGAATGGTTTAGGGTGGTGTCCAATCTGTAGACAGGTCTGGAAAAGGGCTCTGATATGCTCCCCAATGACTGGCCAGCAAGCTTTCAGAATCCGTACTGTGAGGGTGTCTACTCCCGGGGAGTTGCTCTTGGTCCTTATAGTGCACCCTTCAGCCTCTTCTAGTCCGACATGGTATTCGAAGGGGATGTGTGGCTTGGCTTGTGTGATCTGAACAGACCAGGGGTCGGTGATATCGTTGTCTGGGGTGCTTCGTTCAAGCGTGGCTAAGCGTAGTGCATTTGCTTTGCTCTCTTGTGACTCATAGATTTGGTCCCCAATAATGATTGGTGGGGAACGTAATCCTGCTGACAGCTTGTGCCAGGAAACAATTCTGTACAGGTCTTTTGGTTCAGTCGCTGAATCAATTAAAGTCTGCCAGTACTCTCTCTTAGCTTTTCGGACCACATAGCGAAATTCCCGTCGGGCTGAATTTCGCCCTTCTTGGCTTGTGGTCTGTTTAGAAAGGGCCCTGTATGTCTGAACAGCTGCTTTGCAGTCATCATTCCACCAAGCAGTGGGCCTAGATTGACCGGGCTTCTTGCCCACTGTCCTGATACAGCCTTGAATCATATTGATCAAGCTTTGTGTAAATCTATCCACCTGGCCAGGGGATACACCTAGCTGGGGGAGTTCATGAATCCTGGTTTGGACATTGTCTGCCAGCTCTTGTAGTTTGTCGTCCGGTACTATCCAATGATTGGCCTTGGGAACTCGGTCCCGATCTCTCTGAATTGGAATGACTATTCGTAATGTCTCGTGATCTGAGGTGCACTGAAGTGCATCATTGACTGAGGCTTCAGCCATGGGGACATCTGAGAACACCAGATCCAGTACATTTCCATCGTCATGTGTTGGGACATCTGGTTCAGAAATCAGATCCAGTCCGTGGTCTGCCATAGTCTGTGCAAGTATGACACCACCGTGATATCCTGGATTGTTCGAGTCCTAGGATGTGTCGCCAGCATTAAAATCTCCAGCTATAACACAGCCAAAAGGTGGAGTCCATACTTCCAGAATATCATCCACTTCCTGTTGGTTGTCACATGGCCGGTAGACACTGGCAAATGTGATGCCATGTACCTTGACCCAGGTGATGTCTCGTGTAGCATAGGGCCGAAGTTGATCCGCTTGAAGGTATTTTCTCACATAGATAAGAGATCTAGGCTGTGTATTGTCGCTGTCCCAGGAATCCATTGGGGAGTATATATTGTAATTGGGGTGTGTCTTTACTCCCATTCTCCTGCCCGGTGGTATGCCAACCCAGGGCTCTTGTATCAGAATGATGTCTGCTTGTTCTCCTTTGTAGTCAGCCAGGTTGATGGCTAACTCTGTAGGGCCTGCACTCTTTTGTCCTCCTGCTGTATTCACAGAATGGATGACTAGATGCCTGTGTCGATGTGTTTCGTTTGATGTACCTAACATTGACTGACAACAATGGTATCGGCATCTCTGGGATGAGTTGTATCTGTTGTGTCGATTTGCATTGTGGTGTCTTTGTTATTGTTGCCGGGTGTTGACCCAGCTTGGTTTCTGCCTGCTTCATTGAAGGCCTTGGATCTGGCTCTTTCCCCGGCTAGCCTTATTTCCTGGATTTGCTCCCATGTGTGCTTATGGATGGTACCTTTCACAACCTTGGGGCGGGCAGGGCATTTATTGAAATTGGCAGCATGAGGTCCTTTGCAGTTGACACACTTTGGGATTGCTTTTTCGCACTCTCTCTGGTGTACTGTGTTGGCGCAGTGTGCACATACTTGCTTTTCGCATCGGTAATTCCTACCATGGTATCTGAAGCAGCTTGCACACTGGTGAACCTTGGGGGTGTGTTGAATATGCCTTGAGGTCATTGAGTGGGCAAAAAGCGTGAATGGTTTCCTTGCTGCACTGGGCAGAGAGATTATCCACGTGGTTTCTGGATCAGAATCAGTCGTGTTCTTTGAGAGTATGCACCTCAGAGGTCTGTCGCCTGTTTGGGCTTCAACTTCATTGGCAATAACAGTGTCGGTAATATCGATTGTGAACCCTTCTGCACTGATGACCTTTCTTGGGCATTCATCGACCTTGTAATGATGCCAGACTGTGTGGGTCTCAATCTTTTGTGCCTTGAGAATGTCGGCAATTTCTTCTTGGAAAGCCAGAAGCTTAGCCTGAGTTGGCTTGTCCCTTGGGTATAAGGTAAATCCAGAAGGACACCGTGTTACTTCTCTAAGCTCCTGAGGGTGGAGCTTAAGTCTTCTGTTTAGTGTAGACTTGATTCCATAAGGCTCAAGGTGGCTATTATCCATGCGGACAAAGACCCGGAGATCATCCTGTTTCCTCTTCAATTGGTTGATAGTGATAAGGGCACTAGGCTGTGTTTTCTTCATGGTAGTGTTGACTATCCATGGATGCTGTCGTTAGCCAGAGGAGACAGCTTGGGCAAAGGTCATGGTGGGCTTCCCTATTTCTACCCCCCTAAAAGTGGCCTTTCTTGTGGTCAGATCTCGGGTTTCCAGCCACTCATTCAGACATTTGGAGAAGAAAGCGCTGAACTCCTTGGCATGAGAGTATAGTTCGGTTCCAGCTTTCTCAAGTGTCTTATTGATTGCTGCAGCACACTCCTGAAACATTGTCATCCTGGCTTCATAGAGATGCTTGTCTTTAGCCAGTATTTTGGCAACTTGGTCCTGGCATTCTGAAGAGGAGACTTTGTTCCCTGTATTACCTCCAATGGCTTGGTCTGTAGGGATTTCGCTTGACTGAGGTAATTCCATATCAATGGTGCTGCTATTAATGATATTTCGGGATTTTCCTTTCAGAGGGGAAACAGTGGTAAAGTCAGCCTCAGAGACCTGTGACGGGCTGCTGTTGATGTCGTCGAGCAGTGCCTGGCGGAGCCTGCTTGGGGTTGCCGGGTCATGTGTTCTTTTAGGGACTGAGGATTTGAACACGCCGCCAGTAGTCGTCTTTGGGACGGCCACTGGCGTGTTTGGGGGCCTGTCGTAAAAGGGTGCCATCCAGCTTGTGAGAAAAAAAATTCTGCGCCTTGGCAAGGATAGTCAGGTACTGAGACAAATGCCTGCTTTAGTGCAGATATAGAGGTTGCGCCCTAACAGCGGGGCGCCAAGAAAAATAGTTGTTTTTGGCAAGAGTGTGGCCAGTTACCTTGCTAGAAGATAACAATGGCGCGATCGCGTGGATGAAGGAATCACAAATGTCAAAACAGAAGCGCCACATCCATATCACATATCATTACGCTCGCCAGGAAGCTGATGCTGGCCATATAAAGGCCCAGTACATCAAAAGCAAGAAAAATCCAGCTGATGGATTCACCAAGGCGCTCTCAGGGGCAAACCACAGGGAGTTTGTACAGCTATTAGGCCTGGAGGACTTCGAGTCATTAGACAGATGGATCACCAGATTATTGGCTTGGAGTGCTATAGCACGCCTGCTGTGATCCCAGATAGATAGATAGACCGTGATTTTGTTGATTTCAGTGTAATTGCATCTTTCGGGCAAGAGGGCGTGTCAGATATTGGATCCTAGATATGGTGCCCTTAGGTGCAGTACCCACTAGGGGGCTGTCAAAGGAACAGTGGAACCACCCTAGCATGGTGCAGTATGGTATTTAGCTGTAGACTAGTCCTGCTGAGCATACTTGAGAATGACAACAATATTTGCAGCGACCGCGCACACCCCTAAGGTTTGTGACCCTTCTAGAATCTCACAAAAACTATATAAAAGGCTATTTTAAAATAAAAAAGTTATAAGGTTTTCTTTAAAGCCTTGTAAAAAGGTACTTATATTATTTAAATATAGTTAGCAGGTATTTAAAATGTAACGCAAGCTGGAATGCCCCGGACGAGGCATGCCGACACCTTATAAAGGCGTCGCTTAAAGGAGGGTACTGCGTCTTATAACACCAATTACCGCCATCGGATAAGAGCATATTATCTGCTCAGCTGCTAAACCTTATCGCAAGCCGAGACTCTGTCACGCTTCCGTAAATGTATTGCAAGTGTTGAATACACGGATAATGATTGATTCTATTGATTGTTGTGCTCTGCGTGCAGAGATTGATTATCTGTCTTCTTGGTGGGTCAGATGCCCTGTGCGTCTCTGCCCCACTGGAGATCTTCCAGTGTCTATCTCCGGCTCCTATTCAACAGCAAGGATACAGGGACCCTTATTAACTATTGACGTATAATGAACTCTGGTTGAAGGAAAAGAAAGATCTGAAGATGCACCCGAATTGGTGGGGAGCTAGATGTGGGCAGTCGTCCCCCACCAGACCCACCAGAGCATGGATCAACCTATCGTCCGATCAGTCACGTGCTCAGTCACGTGACCCGGGGACCATGGGGACCATCGCTTGACCTGATGGATGGTGGAGCCATCACAGACCCGAGTATTCTTACGACCTGGTTATCCGGCACTTCGCAGGCCCCATGGCAACCAAAACCCGCATCGACGGCGCGGGGCTATGTCGCCGCTTAATGCCAGGCTACCGGGTGAGCCGCGTCGGCGCTGACGTGCCGGTGTGGAGATGGTGAGATTACACGTATCCACTCGGGGTGTTGTATTGTATTCACGGAGGGAAGAAACACGGATCAAGCTGGACTCAAGTATTAATTATCGAGATCAAACCTTGTTTTTATTTTTTGATATTGCTAGCATCTGCCCTTTACGGAACAGTAAACAAGATAAACAAAGATGCGATGCAGACAATCAAGAAATTACGATACCGACTTGCCAACGGTACCTGACAAGAAGAAATTTACCAACAATTAGGGGGAGTGAGGGGACAGCCTAAAAGGAGGCCATACCAGTCAGACAACAACCAGAGAGATGTTTACCAGGAGCGGGTGCAAGTCGAGGCGAGTCAAATTTTACCCGAAGGGCATTGCCAGAGAGTCCTTCACTCTGACAGACCAAGCTCCATCAAGACGCGACTGACGTTCTGAGCCAAAGCCTAGTGATCTGTTGCGAGACGCTGAAGCGCCTGGACGTTGGAGCCAACGGACCGATCAAGGTGAGTCATAACCGTCATCGTGATGTTGTCGTCATTGAAGACCATGGCGCGAACCTTGGCCCTCAACTCCGCCGTGACTGCGTCTCGGTCGGTAGGGGAGGCGGGTGGTGTCGGCTGCTGGGTAGGGTTGGGAGAGCGGATAATGCCCTGCTTCACAAAGATGGCGATCAAACCCCAGAAGAAAATGAACCAAACCAATGCACCCGGGACTTCGTACGAGGTCAGCCAGTAGCATAACATCGAGGCCAGAGCACTGATGAGATGAAGCTCGGCAGAAGCATTGGTGACACCACAAAGCGTGAACATTACCACGTTGAGGATGGAGCTACCGATGACCATAGCGATACAAATAGCGATGGACTGGACTAACTTCCGGCCGACCTCGAGAAAGTATTCGTAGATTCCGTTGGGAGCTACGCTGAAGGGCGGTGTGTGCTTCGGATGAGGCATATTGCCAGGAAACGGCGGAGTGAAGTGGGCGTCCGAAAGGTTCAGCCCCGGGGTGGGAGTCGAGTGGTTGAAGGCGTTGCTCGAAGAGTTCAACAAGACAGGGCCAGAAGTACTTGGCCCCAGCGTCCCGTGAGGGAAGCCCTGAGAAGAACTGGAAGAGTTCACGCCGAAGACAGGAGCAGAAGTAATTGGCCCCCGCGGCCCGTAAGGGAAACCCTGAGTGGAATTGGAAGGGTTTGTGAATGCCATTTTGAATATATGGATATTCAAGTTGGCAAGTTCTGTAGGTTGTAGGTTGCAGATTGAAGGTTGTTGGTTGCTGATTGTTGGTTGCTGATTGCTGGTGTGATGTTGGTTGGAGATGATACTGATCGAATATTATTTCCATTTTATGTCGGATTGACGGGGTCTTATATTCGGGAGGATTGGCGATGGTGGTGGGCCAGAGAGACACACTTCTGGTTAGTGACAAAGGCGTTGTCGAGGATGGCTTGATCGGGCAGATAAAGAACCTCTGTGTTAAAAGCCTGCAGGTTGTCTCCATCATAAAGAGTTCATTCATCCATTGTGTCGATAGACAATACCACTGTGCTTGCCACTTGGAGTCAGTCATACACAACCTGTGAAAGCTACACTGAACCACCAAAAGTCTCCGCACACCTCTCGTCCACCAAGCGCAAGGTGTATTTGTGATAACTGGAATAAGCAGTCTGGAATAAGCATCAAGCATGGCTAAAGGGATTAGACCTGCTTATTCCAAGCTGTTTATTATATTCACACAAATGTAGTATTTATAATTAAGAGTTGACAGGAGCATGGCGGAGGGAGACTTAAGAGGGGTGACTGTATGACAGGCCTCCTCCCGAGGCCTCGAGCTGAACCCTCCAGAGTCTTTGTTCGGCACAGATGAAGAGCTCTCCTTGCCGTCCGAAGCACAAGTTCGAACAGCCTCCTTTGCCGTAAAGACGTTAGCATATCAAAGACATTGTCTCCTCGAACAGCGAGGTTGGAAGAACGCACCTGATATTACGATGAGGCCAAGGGCCATACCACCAGGACTCCATATCTCGACCCCATCTGTACAAGAAGCATGGACGTTGTCGTTGCGGTCGCAGGCAAGGGCTGTGGGCACGCCTGATAGCGCATATGCGAATACGCGCCTGTTTGCGAGAAAAGGCGAGCCAAATCTGGTCAGTACGTCGAAGGCATAGATGGTCGCAGCACTGTAAAGCCGTTAGCTACTCCTGTGCCAAACAAAGGGCTTCGGATGAATCTCACCCTGTAGAATCTATAGTACCGTCCGGTCGAAGTGCTCCAGTATCGGAGACATACAACGTCCCCTCGTCAGAGCTCATAGCGATTCCACTGGGTCTCCCGAACCCGTCCGCAACAGCTCGTAGATCACTTGTCTTGGGATCGAAGCGATACACCTGACTCGGCAGCTGTGGTTCTGGCCGGATGTCCCGTTCGAAACCAATCGAGGGGTCGGTGAACCACAAGCCACCTTCTTTGTCATGCGTCACACTGTGAATTGAGTTGAAGGGCTTGTTGAAGTAGTGCTTCACGATAGGCAAGGGTGCCTTTGCGGGTGCCATATACCAGAGTCCGCCGCTCTCAGGTGCTAATGTGCCTTGTGAGCAGTACAGGACCCCGTCTTGGTACGCCGCCACACCCGCTGGCATCGCCATACTGGGAGGTGGACGTAGCTTCATCCATTCAGCTGCAGCGATGTGGGGAGGCGAAGACAGCCGCGAATCTGCAGTGGAAGCAGCCGATGCGCGCTTGAACGACACTTTGGATATCAAGATGATGGGGAGCTTCGAGCTGTTCGTCGACTGTAGTAGGTCTGAAGTGAGATAGAGCTCATCCTGTTCCGGCAGATAAGCACAGCCATCGTGGAAGAAGGGGTTCTGTGACGACTCCGCCGATGAGAGTAGCAGTGAGTAAACAGGCTTTTTGCCAACTACTGCTGCGAAATCGGGATGGTATTGCTTTAGAACGATGGACTCCGGGTCGGCGGGTACGCGACTACGGGGATTCATAATTGGCTTAAGCAAGATTGAGTACCTTCTATAGGATGGAGGCTGACCTCGACTCTACCATAGATCCAGCTCGCAGAGCCACTTTCTAGAAGACTGGTTAGTACACGAAGCTTGCCAACAGGCTTTGGGAAGCATAATCTCACTTGGACCGGCGCTATCCGAACCTCAATGTCCGAGTTCGTGATGGTCGCCATGGTGGTCTGCGATGTTATGCCTTACGGATATGGAGATTGAGGCTGGGAACTGTAGCTCAAGGCATCGATCCTGCTGTGAGCGAGTTTGGAGCTGCGTCCAACTTCGCCGATGCCAGAGTCGAGTTGCACTCTATCTGTTAGCCAAAGGGTCAAGCAAGTATGAATCGCTAGGTTGCTCTATCGGTGGATCGTCTGAGCTATCGTTTGGCGGTCTTGTCGAGCAAGTTTGAGGGGTCTGTTTGAGTTGCGTCTTTGAGGTATTGATGTGACAGTGCATATACAGTGCGTTGAGAGATACACACTGTACCGTGCCCCGGATAGAGATCACCTCAGCATTCATGCTAACTGGTAGGGTAGTAGCAGTACCCTACGCGACTATTCATTTGTTCCTCGTATGTGGTGGCGTCATCATATGCCCTGTTGCAGTCGGATTTGTAAGTTGTAGGTTTCCCCTAAATCCGGTTGTTGAGGCCTATGTCAAAAGGCACACCTAATCGACACTCGAGACGGAGGTAGCACTATGTCCATGTCTGGTGTTTGCTCAAGAGAGGTCAGACATGTGCATATAAGGCTTCAGCAAGTCCTACATGGGTAGAGGACAAAGGATCCCAGGCTTGCATTCAATTCTATTCGATTCGAACCTACAGCAACTACAATGACAGTCATCCTCGTGACAGGCGGCAACCGCGGCATCGGACTTGCCATAGTCCAAGCAGTGGGCACACGAGTAGCGGATGCCACCGTGCTGGTTGGCTGCCGATCTACAGCCAATGCAGAAGAGCCCATCAAAGAGCTGAAGAAGTTGGGGGTTCCAGCAAAGCTTAAAGCTCTCGAGATCACCATCACGGATGACGCCAGCATCCGAGCTGCCGTCAAGGTTGTCGAAGAGAATCATGGGAAGCTGGACGGTGAGTGGCGTGATTAGCTGCGAGAACAAGGAACATGGCCAATTATTCGAACAGTCCTAATTAACAACGCCGCGGCTGTTACCCTACCAAAGTCGACCGACTTGACCGATGTCAGGGAAAGCTGGGCTCGGACGTTGGACTGTGTCGCAACATCGCAGGTCCTTGTCACAAAGGCCTTTCTACCGCTTCTTCGCAAAGCCGAATGGGGCAGAGTAGTGATGAACTCCAGTGCTCGGGGAAGCATTGGTAGGAACATCGCCTTGGAGGTATGAGACAGCCGTTGCGAAAGAAACCTCACGACCATGAGCTAAATGCGCCCAGCTGCCTCCGTCGCCACACTGGCTGTACAATTGCTCGAAGGCCGCACTGAACCTCGCGACCATTGACTTCCGAAATGCCGAAGTCAGGGACATACCTGACGAGAGGGACCACATCACATTCTGGACTGTAAGTCCAGGACATTGTAAGACCGGGTTCAACAACTTCAGGGGCGTGAAAGATCCGGCCGAAGGAGCTGAGGTAATCGCTAGATTGTTGGAGTCGAAGCGCGGCGAGATTTCTTCAGCAACGTTCTGGGAGTTTGAAGAGGGCAAATTCCAGCAAGTCCCCTGGTGAAGGTTTGGGATGTATTGGATACGATCGATTGTGCATCAATGAATTTGATATTAGCACACGAGATAGTTCCTGTTCAATGATATACACCTCACGGGATCGTCGTGCTATTCGCGGTATTGATTTGTGACGGGTGTTCTGACGCAGGACTGCTGCTCTTGCGTGTAGCCGCCTCTATATGTACAATTGACCATTGCTCTGGGTCATGTCCGCAAACCCTCACACAAGTCTGATCTAGTGCTTCGCCTTCTTCTCTTCCGCGTCCTGCTGCTTCAGGAAGTTCCTATGGTGGCCGTTAGCATCCGGTCGCTGTCGGGATATGCGGGTTCGCATACTGGATGAAGTCGGCCTCGTCGGGGCTGGATGCGTTGATAGGAGGCGTCTGGACAGCCTTCTTCTTGCTGGGGCCGGAGACCGCGAGGTAGGTGCCACCGAACAGGGCACCGAGGACGCCCATCGCAAGCTGTCAGCGTATAGCCAGTTAGTCAATGTTCTTCGAACGAACTCAAGATAGGGCGCGAGCGGCCCGAAGGATAGCGACCCACGTGGTGCGAGCCGACCTGGCGGCCGAAGACTTGGTACATTTGAACCATCTTAGCGGTTGGGCGACTGGACTTCGGAGAGGGTTTCTGGTAGGTTGGTTCGCGGATTGACGGATAGCGAATGTCGAATTGATGGGTTGAAGTTGTCGAAATACTGCGCAAAAGCTCCTAATTGAAATTCCGATGGTCTGAGCTTCATCCATTCCGAGTGGAGCTGAATGCACAAATCATGAATGCATTAAATCCACATCTGCACAACTCTATGTATAACTAACTACCTTACCCACAGTAATGGAACCTCTGGAGTTCCAAGGATCAAGGTTGCGTCACATCTCAAGCTGTCGACGCAGCTCTGGAGCTTCCCATTCTTCCGCTCATTAGCCCTCGACGACCAAACTCATACTTTGTTGTTGATCGCTCTAGACATTCAACGCTGCTGAATACGTACAACTTCAAGCTTCTCTCCAAATAGACCTCTAGTCAACATGTTCTGGGGAAAGGGACCCGACAAGGACAAGAAGCCGGAAGAGAAAGCTCCAGAAACCCCCGCAGCTCCGGCGACGAACATCGATCCCCGGAAGGATGCCACGCAGTTCGACCCCGACAGACTGCCGGCGAGGCGAAGTCTACCAAAGGGCATGCAGAGCATCGTCGACAAGTCTGACAAGGACGAAAACTTCTTCGACGAGCTGGTAGACGGCTAGTACGTCTCGCGTTGTGTCTTGGGAGCTATCCAGAATACCCGCAAAGCTAATGATGCGTCGTTTGCCAGTGTCCCCGATTCCACCGAGTCCAACCTCCGATATGCCGCCTACACGAACCGACTGCGGACTGTCATGCTGTCGGCCCAGCGCTACGTGGCGTACACCTCAGACATCGGAGAGTCGTTCAGACCGGTCGCCCATCCGTGGCTGATTCGGGGAGCGTACGGAATATCTTGGGCCTACATCCTGGGTGATGTATCGTACGAAGGCTACAAGGCGTACTGGCACAACCAGCGTATCATGAACCCACACGTCGAGCTGTCGGAGAAGGCGCAGAAGATGACTGGCTTGACGGCACCGGCACCAGCAGATGCCAAACCCGGCGCTGTGTCGCCGTTGGAGGACTACCGCACCGTGATGGTGCAGCGCGGTCTCTTTCAGAGCATTGCGAGTATGGGATTGCCCGCGTTCACGATCCACAGCGTGGTGCGATACTCTGGAAGAGCTTTGAAGGACGCAAAGAACAAGACCCTGCGCACATGGGGCCCGATCGGACTTGGGCTGGCTGTCGTGCCGTTCCTACCAACGCTGTTCGATAAGCCAGTCGAGAATGCCGTTGAGTGGGTATTCCACACAGCGTTCTCGTCGTACGGTGGCAAGGCACTTGTTGGAGATTCGCCGACTATAGGACGAGAGGCAGCCCTACACCAAAAGCCGAAGAAAGAACCGAAGGAGAAGGAGAAGGAGTTGTAACACGGTTGAACAAAGAGTAGGTGGAGGTTGACGAGTAGGCGCTACACGGAGTTCTCTCAGCTTTTGGAATTATCGATCCCCAATCACTTGAGTAGAGGCAAAGGCTTTGTAGTAGCAGGCAGCAGTTGCCATGCCTGTATGTAGATTATGGCCGAATATACTCTATGATACATATCAAATACGCCCGAACTCCGCGACGCTGAATAATACCGTCGCTCAGGTATCTTGCCTTTGGTAGTCGTAAAATGCATGCAATGCCCAGTAAACGCCGTTCCAATGCGCTCCATCCTGATCCGCAGAGGTGCAGTATAGCTCTACAACTCGATAAGATCGGGCGGTGGTCCGATGCCACGGAGCAGTACTATCGTATTACCGCTGACCAGGACAGTTCCAACTTTCTCGTTGAACTCAAGCACCCTTCCGCCCTCAACATGGAACACGCGCAGCTTATCCCTTTCCTGCGAAGACTGATTGTTGACGTTTTCAACCTGCAGGCTCTTGGCCGCAGCGTCCAGCACCCTCCCTATAACCCAGTCCTTCGAGTAGTAAAACTCGCCCTTGTAATTCCTCGCCGTCGTCGTCTCGGCCTCGGCCTCCACATAGACATAGACCCGCTTCTCGGACGGCAGCTTCGCGTCGCCCTTGGCCGTCTTCTTGAGGTTATTCGTGGCGACCAGCCGCGCCGACGTGCTCGAAGGCTTCGCCTTGGGCAGCGCGCGGTTGGCCTGGTCCCGCTTGGCCGAGCCCCAGGCCCGCAGCTTCGCGAACGCGTTCTTAGTGTGCTCGGCGACGTCGTACTGCTGCTGACCCGGCCGCGCCCCGATGGGCACCTTGTTCGCGCAGTCGTGCTCCTCCTTCAGCCGGTGCTTGAGGCAGTAGTCGCGGTTGCAGGTCGGGCAGTGCACGCCCGGCACCAGCGCCGTGCCGACCGTCGTCTTGCAGCTCGTCGCGGCGCACGGCTTCTCGGAAACATAGTCGCGCATGCGCCTGCCCTCACCGGCGGAAGGTTTTGCCAGCTGGGCCAGCCGCCGCCGCTCGGCCCAGGCGCCCTTGTTGGCGCATTTGTGGGAGTCTTCGATCCGGTGGTCAAGGCAGAAGGTCTTCTTGCAGCTCTGGCAGAAGAAGGGTAGGAAGTCGAGCTGGTTGCAGTACTCGAGCTGGCAATGGCGTCCGATAAGCGTGGGGTCTTCGTCCTTATCCATCTTGACGTAGCTTGTGTCTGGTGTCTCAGTTTTCGAGGACGCCATTTTTGCGGTGAGTGAGCGCTTGGTTGCTCTTTATGACTGTGAGTAGGTGGCGAACAGGATTCGGAGAATGGGCTAGGTGGTAGGCAGGTCGTCGATTCGTAAGCTGCGGTACCTGGAGTCGCAAGACGTCACCCCGGCGCTGGTGATAGCAAGGCTGATTACTTAAAGGAAGCGGAAGGGTCTGGAATCAGCTGGCGGGTGAGGCAATGCAGCTCGGATAGCGCTAGGTCTCACAGGGCTTAGCCGCCAAATTAGCGCCCATCAGGGATTGTCGATTGCATTCAGCCTCCACCGCGCTAATGTTTAATTGTAGATCAGATCTGGGGTCACGGGCTTTCGCGTTTTCGATGACGAAAGTCATTTTAAGTCGCGAATTCCATGTCTGACCCTGAGCTTGTACCGCTTCCTCGCCGTTGAAGCTCTGAGAAGCCAACTTTATCTCATCCTGGTCCATCCATGTTTGTGTTACAGCAATATGCCTCCTCATTTACCGCGCAAGCGGCTGCGCACCCCATCACCCGAAAATGGTGGCCGTGTTACCAAGAAGACGACCAAAGGGAAGGGGAAATCAACTCTGGTAGCCACCGTACCACCGCGTAAACCCACTCTATTCGACGTGTTAGATGCCGATACGACGAAGGGATCAGCCGAGAAGACCAGATCAGTTCTTCAGCAAATGCAAGAAGATGATGACGACAGTGAAAGCTCACTCAGCTCATTATCAGATGCTGAGTTTGAAGATGTGCCACCACCTAAGCGACAGAAGGTGAACGGCGAATCCGAAGGCTCTGATGACGATGATGACATGGAGTTTGAGGATGTTCCAGCTCATGAGCAGCGACAAGAACAGGAGCCTGTTCTTGGCGATCTCGAGTTGACCTTGTACCGAGATACTGGCCCTTCCCTGGCTAGCGAGCTCAAGAAAGGTGCATCAAAGAAAGAAAAGGCAATTCGAATTTCGACCCATTGCACCCACGTCCAGTTTCTACTGTGGCACAACGCGATTCGAAACTCATGGCTGTGCGACGAAGAAGTGCAGGCAATCATGATCTCGCATCTTCCGCCGAGGCTATGGGATGAAGTTGATCGTTGGCGACGGAGCAGTGGCTTGGAAACTCCGGAGGAACCTCTCAAGAAAGATGTCAAGGGGAAGAGGAATGCCAAAGGCAAAGGCAAAGGAGAGCAGACAACCTCCAAACCGGCAAGGGACTGGGGCGAAGCAGCAGACCAGCTAGAAAAGGGGGTGCCTGATATGAGCCACAGTGACCCGCTATTACGACTGGTGAAAGGTCTTCTGTCATGGTGGAAACAGAGGTTTCGAATCACGGCCCCGGGCCTACGCAAATGGGGTTACATGAACGCGCGACGACTGGGCAAACTGAGAGAGGCCTTTGAGACAGAAGAACACGACTCGGAACGGTTTGGCGAACGAGTCAAAAACATCGAGGAGTTCCGACTGCTAGCCCAGGATTGTATCGGAAGTCGAGATGTGGGGTCGCAACTCTTCACAGCACTCCTGCGAGGCCTCGGATTAGAGGCACGGATGGTCGCGAACATCCAATCACTCGGTTACGGTTGGAGCAAGATAGAAGAGGCCGACGAGGAAAAGCCCAAGAAGAATGGGCAAACGAATGGTGACAAACCTAGCGAGCCCACGCCGAAGGCCAAGGCAGCGAGCAAGAAGCCGGCCCCCGTACGACCAGCGAGCCGTCGGACGAGAAAGAGTGACAAGGATGCCCTGAAGATGGAACTCGACGAGTCAGACGAGTATTTGGAGCCGGTGATTGATGAAGACGAAGACGGCTCATCTGTGGTGGACGTCACCGAAGACATGCGTCCGAAACGGCTAGAAGCAAAACCCTACGACAAAGACCTCGAATTCCCTCACTATTGGACCGAAGTCCTGTCACCAGTGACGAATAAATACCTTCCGGTCGACCCCGTCGTCAAGGCTGTCGTTGGTAGTAGCAGGGAGCTCGTCGAATCGCTCGAGCCTCGGGGTGGCAAAGCCGACAAAGCGAAGCAAATTATGGCCTACTGTGTCGGCTTCTCCCAGGATGGTACAGCAAAGGATGTGACCGTACGGTATCTCAAGAAGCAACTATTCCCAGGCAAAACGAAAGGAGTACGCATGCCCGAAGAGAAGATACCCGTGTACAACAAGCATGGCAAGGTCAGGCGGCATGATCACTTTGACTGGTTCAAATCAGTCATGCGAGGGTATGCGAGGGGTGACATGAAACATCCCATCACCGAGATTGATGAAGCAGAACAGTCGACGGACCTCAAGCCAGCGATACCGGAAAAGAAGGTGGTCAAGGAAGGAGAAGAGACACTTCAGTACTACAAGACTTCGAAAGAGTATGTCCTGGAGCGTCATCTCAAGCGGGAAGAAGCGCTGCTCCCCGATGCTGCTCCCGTCAAAACATTCAACAACAAAGGCAAGGGAGGCAAGGTGGACGAAGCGGATGTATACCTGCGGAAAGATGTCGTGGCAGTGAAGAGTGCGGAGACTTGGCACAAACAGGGTCGGGCCCCCGTGGACGGGGCCCAGCCTCTCAAGCATGCCCCCTACCGAGCGGCTACAACTAATCGGCGGCGAGAGATTGCTGAAGCCGAAGCGGCTACTGGCAAGAAGGTCTTGCAGCCTCTGTACAGCCAAGACCAGACGGATTGGATCATCCCTGATCCCATTCAGGACGGTATCATTCCGAAGAACGAATATGGGTATGTCACCAATGCACTAAAGAGCAAAGCAGCAGTGACTAACATTGTCACAGCAATATCGACATGTTCGCGGAGCATATGTGTCCTGAAGGTAAGCTTATGCAACTTACTCTATGCAGTCCCATTCTCTAACCGTTCCGCAGGGGCTGTCCATGTACCATTCCGAGGTGGCGTTCGTGTGTGCAAGCGACTCCAGATCGACTACGCCGAAGCAGTCGTCGGGTTCGAATTTGGGCACCGAATGGCCGTCCCCGTCATCCAAGGTGTTGTCATCGCCGAAGAGAACTACGAGTGCATGGTGGAGGAGCTAGAGAAAGACGAAGCCGAGCGGGCTAGGAAGGAAGACGAGAAGCGTCGCAAAGCCACGTTGGGCATGTGGAGAAAGCTACTAATGGGACTACGGATCGCGGACAGGATACGACAGGACTACGGTCATCTAGATGAGTCGGTGGAGGTCTTCGGCCATGCTCGTGGGGATAATAGGGATGTTACGGATATGCGTGAGAAGGACGAGGATATGGCTGGTGGCTTCTTGCCCGAGGGGTATGAGGAGGAGGAGGAGGAGGAGGAGGTACAGAAGGAACCCCGCCATACCTCGAACTTCTTCCCGGCCGCTCAGAACGACGACGACGATGATGAGGACGAGGACCCTTTTCAAGTCGAGTATGGCAACCAACACGCGGATCCCGAGCTTGAGGCTGAACCTTCCCCTAAGTCCGTGCCTGAGCCAGAGCCAGAGGTCCCAGCGAGGAAGGTGCCAAAGAAGGCAGCTCCGAAGCCGAAAGCCAAACCGAAGGCCAAACCGAAACCGTCACCTCGCAGGCGCTCTCGGAGGAAGCAGGTAGTTTCCTCGGATCAAGACGAGGACGACGATGATGATGAGGATGAGGATGAGGAGTTCTTGCTTTCTGATAGCGATGAGTGATGAGTGATGAGTGTTGTAGCAATACCATGCGATGGGCTTGCACCATGATAGAATACTCTTGTAAAATACGTTTATTCCTGTGTATGCTTCTTGCTAAATGCCCGTGCCTTGACAGAGTACTGCAGTGGGTTCTTGCCCTTGCCCACGTCTAGCAGACCTCGTCCGAGGACTGCCAATGCACTGAAGCAGCGGTTCGCACCGTATCTAGGTACCTTCCTCTGGGGGATGGGAAGTGTAAAGCCGCATGGTCAGTGGAGGATATCCTTGAACGACGACGCTTTCGAAGGCAAATCAGTACATCCCTTCATATGTCCGTTTGGCATGCCGTGTAATCAATTGTTACCTACCTACCCAGCCCGATCTTCACCTTTGTTCCTTGCATTTTCCTCGGTCGACGGAATCCAATACAGAGGTCCATGAGAGTCTTCGCCCAGCCTGGCCCGCGAGTAACGACACTGCATTTCTTCACTGTCAACGAGCAGCATTCGTTCTGGCGAGCATGCACGGTACACTCAGCCCTCGCAAGTCTCCAGACGCGCGTTGTTTATAAGACTCCAGATTACCCACGGAAATTTCGAGATATTGGATTAAGCATATAGGAATAAGCAGCTTTGGTTTGATACCCCACTTTCAATGCTTATTCCATGGTGCTTATTCCGATTCGATAGATTTACCGTTGTTTGCTGGACGGGTCGTGTACGGAGACTTATGAGGGTCAAGTGTAACTGCATCACATGTTCTTAGTTAACTGCAGCACACTACGAACATGTTGTGGATCCCAGCCACTTGATCCAGCCACCACCAGTACCTTATCGGATCTCCTGTCATCCAGGGCGTTCTACAATAAGGTTACCTGGGATGGCTGCCCCAGGTGACAGGTACCAACCCACTGTAATTTAGGTATTTAGATACTTCTCGGATGGGATCCCTCCCATCCGAACTAAACAAAGCACCAACCAGAATACAGATCATGCCAACCAACACTTGTGATAGATCTCCGTTCTGGTTCCGCTACCACAAAGGCACAATGTGATGCCAGCCCTCCGATTAACAGGGTTCTTTCGGCACACTTAACTAAGGTAACTTACCTACCATACCTCAGGCGCCTCTTGTGGGGACCTGTTTTCTCGCACTGGTACTTGGGCATTGGGTGCATTTAAATTCAACTGGCAATCTCTGCACCACCACACTTCCACCCCCCCCTCATCCTTCACCTCGGGCTGCCGCTGCGTCCTGGTGACCTGGCAACCTTTCGACCACGACATTTACAGGCCACTGCACCTCTGTGGCCTGTCGTCCTCTACCATCCGCGCTTTCCTGTACAACACATTTCTGTGGTCTTCCGACCTGATTGCACTCCTCCCACCGCCTCTCACCACCCTCGGCGACCGCATCGCAACTGTCACCATGGGCAAGCCCGTCGGTGGACCACCGCGAAGCAAGTACGTCATTTCGCTCCCCTCTCCCCAGGCGTCCCTAACAAGGTTGGTTCGCTAATTTGGTGTGAATAGCGATGCGACTGGAATGATCACGATCAAGGTCTCAACCGGCGATGAATCCCCTTCTACAACAACGTATTCGCATACCACTCCCGGTTCGGACGCAAGGTTATGAAGTTCCACAACGCCGGCTTGTTCTCTATCGAAACCTCCAAGACTGCCATGGTAATGTTCACGGAATGGATGTACCTCAAGAATTTCATGAACGGCTGCATAACTGGGCACAACTCGACACTGGCAAAGGTGGACTGAATCTTCGGACGCTCGTCGATGCTTGGCTTCTGGGTGAAACCTTTCACGCGCCTTCATTCCAGAATGACATCATGGTCCTTCTGGTCGACGAGTTTCAACAAACCGAGAAGACTCCCCCTGAGCTGATCAAGATGATTTGGACGAGAGCTCCCAACTCTCCTCTCTGTGCCCTAGCTCTTGAGGTATACTCCCGCAATATCGTCACGGTCTATGGGGTCGAAGAACAAATTCAGCCCATAGAGGACGATGGGCTACTGTTTGCCGTGTTGCGTTGCACAGTCGCCCGAGAGGAGGAGACACGACGCAGAATCAGCTCCTTTCATCTCCGTACATCCAGGGACCCCTCTGACCCCTTTCATCCCTTTCAACTGCAGCCAGCTGTCCATACACATAACTGACACCAACTCCTCAGACGCCCTCATAGCTGTCATTTGTACCTTCAACTACTATCAGCTGACCATCCACCTTCTACTGGACACAGCATTGGGATACCCGTGGCTTAGAGAGAATTGCATGTATTGGGAGAGGGCGTGAGCCACTCCAAAGCTCCGGGCCAGCCGTCGAGGCACCAGCAGCCAGTCTCCTTGGAAGGAGCCCACACGTATGTACAGAAAACAGAGCAGAAAATCACCACCCAGTTGATATCCTTCCTCTCATCTCAGCCAGCGTAGCAGAGCCCTTATGTATGGGCCCTGACGCGTGCCCTTGCCCTAGCCATAGCTCGACCCAGTAGACCAAATCATCATGGTGGGGTGGTCTCTCTTCCAATCTAACGAAGCTAAAAGCTGTCATATTATATAAGGTGGTTTATATGGCTGATATCCGTGTATTCAATAATAGTACCATCCCCCCCTCCCTAGTACTCGGACACCCCTACTACTCGGACAGCTAATTCTTGACGCCACTATTAAATCACTATATATTAACTTATACGGCTATTAATAACGAAAGGTTAGTCATAATTTAAAAAAATCTATTAAAATAAAATAAAGATAAGGCATTTAACCGATATACGCTTTGAGCTGTTAATATTATATTAGAAAGTTATAATAAAAATATTTTGTAGCTTATAATAATCAAGTTTTATATATAAATTAAATAAGCGAGTAATTCTTATATGACCCTAAATAGTTTAATAATTAAAGTATCTAGAAATAACATTCTTTTAATTATTATATAATTATTTAATTATATACTTACATATAAAGTTTTATATTTATAAAGCTTATATATGAAAAGTTCTTAAAAAGTGGTTATTATATATAATAGATTGATATAAAAGTGTTTGAGTAATAAAAGTGTTTACATATTAAAAAGAAGGTATTACATAATAAGCTTATTAGCTCGCTTTGGTTTACGCTACGCGTAGCTTAAAAAGTAAAACATAACGTATATTCAAAAATAACACGCTTTTAAGTCTTAATAGTTTAATAGTATTAACTATATTTAAAAACGGGTATTATTATTATTTAAACAAAGATATTATTTATTTAAAATCGCTGCTTTATAACGAGTCAAAGAACGCCGGGGGCCTTTTAAAAAAAAAGGCTTTACTAGCTTTAAAAAGGGTTATATAATAGCGTTTTTAAGCAACTATATTATATTCGTATAGCTATAACAACATGTACGAATTAAGACCTTACAGTTTAAATTAATCTACCGCTAGTAACGTAAATAGAATAAATAATAATAATAATTTCTTTTCGTTATTATTTATATTTAAGTAATATATAAAATAAAAGTCTCGTATTATAAAGTCTTATATTATAAAACTAGGCTAAGTAATTATTTAAAAATATAGTATTTGTATTTTAACTTACGGCATATAAGTCGTCTTAAATTTAAGTTTAAAGATAAATGTTAATAGTGAAACCCGCCTTTTTTTAAAACAACCTGTCGCTTTTAAAATAAACGTAATTTTTTAATATTATAAATTGTATATTCGTAACTTTCTTATTACTTTAAAACATATCCTTTTTAAATACTATTAAGTTTAATAAATTCAAGTTTATTATATTTACTACCAAAAACGTTAAAAATTTTCCCCTTACTTAAAAAAAAACCTTACTTTATAAATGTTATTAATGTTTATAATAACTAAGTCTTAAACTTCCAAAGCGGTAACCGTAATTATAATATTAAAACGAATTTAAATAAACCTTGCGTTATGTACTTTTATAAAATTATGAAATGTAAGTACAAACTTATCATAAAAAATATGAACTAGTTTATTTATATATAATAATAATAACGAGAACTTTGTCATTCTTTAAAAAGTATTAAAAAGAAACTATGATTATTAAGCCGTAAAAAACTCGTAAAAAAGACGCCGTTTTTTTACTAATATATATAAGTCGGTTATAGAAAAATAAAAAATAAAGTTTATATAATATATTTTATTATAAATTTTTATTATATCGTTTATCTTATATAAAGTATTATTAACACGGCTTTAATAATATTAAGTTTAAATATCGTATGATACAAACTAGTTATTATTATTTTTAACAGGATTAATATTGGTTTTATTAATATTTTCATTTTCATTAAAAGCTCAAGCTAGCTTTAAAACCTAAAAAATCAATTTAAATATTAAAGGTTATAAAATCCAATTAAAAAGATTGAAATTTTATCTACGGTAATGTTACGAACCAACAGATACTACGGCCTGTTAGAGGGCCAAGGGAGGCACACCAAGACCTAATGGAATCAGAAGCCAGGAACAGAACAATGGGTATTACGGATCACTGGATCACGAAGTGAGCCTGCGAGGATCACTGGATCAGGGAGTGAGCCAGTGAGCATCACTCTGGGACAAGGTGATCCTATTCTATCTGTGAGGGAGAGATTGGATATATAAGGACAGGCATTTCCCAACTAGATAGATAGACAGTCTCTACCTCAGTGATCAATCTAAGCATCTTAGCCAACCCTAAGATGGGAGAAATCTCCTGACGACTTGACTACGCAGTGAACCCAGTTCAGAC